CGAAATGCTACATCCGTCTGAGATATACACGGCATGTTACTGCCACTTTTGGCGGACATTTTCACTGTTGAATTTGACAATGTTCAAGTATTTCTTCCAAAATAACTGCAGTGTTCCATACAAGACACCCCCTCAAAAATATCCCCACCCCCAAAAGAGGGACAAACCTCACCGGGGTGAAATGCCTTCTGCCCACCTCCCTACACACATTGGATAAGTCACTAGTTACAACCAAAGAAAAACAAACAACAAACAAACAAACAAACACCCCAACAAACAGCCCCAACAGCCTAACTGACAAACAAAAAACATACCCAAACAAGAAAAGACAGAATAAAGAGAATTTGTTTTTGTTATGGATCACACCATTAATATGCGAACCTTTCTCGAAATTTTAGGAAATTTACCTCGGAAACTTCTGTAAATGTACATCCCCAAAATTAAAAAAACCCTAAAAAACAGATAAATAGAAAGGTATCTTACCTTTACCGTAGTGTACATATAGAAGAAGGTACAGTGTCCACAAAGAGACACGGCAAATGAAAGAGTTTCTCTTTTTATCACACCCAGCAGCCGCAACAGTCATCATCACTAAGACTTAATGGCGGTTTAGTAAAAGACAAACCGTTTCACCAATAGTTAACGTGAGCTTTAGGAGCTTTTTCAAACACGATCGTCATATCTCATTTCGCTACAAATAAAGGAACATTTTTGGAAGAATACCTGTTTATATAGTGAGGGGTAAACATAGTACATTGACGTAAAAGGGGAGCCCCAAATAAAAGAGGAATGTTTGCCATTGTCCCCGACCATTCGGCATTGTTGCCCTTACAGTTCACGGCACTATTTTGACGATTTCGCAATCGGTGCGCTTTCAGTAAACATTTCGGTAAGGCCGCATTTGTAAATTTCCGGGAGATATATTTTTAGATAAACAAATAGTGAATAAATCCCCCAATAGGCGAAAATAAACCGTGCCAAACTGTCATTAAAATATCAATTTATTTTTGGGTTAATCGGGAGGGCGCTCTTGTCATTTTTTGACTTATGAATTGGGCTTTCACATCCTAGATTTTGAACACGCTACATGCAGAAGTTCTTAAAAAATAAGGGTTACCATTTGGGTTTCTTTTTTTACTCGACCTGTATAAACTCTGATAGCACGGACCCATTTCAGTAATTGTTATTCATTTCCACCTAAATTCTCATATTAACTGTACATGTGGGGCAATGTCCCAAAATTGAGAAAATGCCAAAATGAGACATTATAGTTTAGGAGGAAAATATATCAATAATTAAGTCATTTCTTTTTGATTTTATGTCATCTTGGCTTGAAGTTATGGACAGTCACATCTCAGTAGCCTGTTGTTGTGTTTTAATAATATATTTTTTTCAGGCTAGTGACATGAACAACTCGTAGCGATGAGCGAGGCTGCTACGCCTAAACTCTTGATCGGGTTCCTGGATTCAATTCTCATAGGGATTTTCCTCGTGTGGAGACGAGGTACTAGACGAGTTGCCTCTCTCATGTTCGTTCATCACAACCATCTCGAAATCTGTCTGGCATGCCTGGCTTCGCATTGCATGGCGGGTCGGCATCCTGGATAAAAAAAAGATTTTACTAATCATCTGAATGAAATAAAAATATATTTTAGGGTACTCGTCCTTGCTCTCTGTTATCTAAAAAAAAACCCGTAACGAAGCAATTTAATCAAGAAAACTTGACAACCAAACAAACAAACCCCTATAAAAAAGTGCCGTTGTACAAATGTAATGCTATATGTAAATAGTGATAGCTGCACATCAGACTTAATTATAAAGCTGAAAATTATGTGCCTACATGTAAAAGAAAGATTAAAGTACAGTTGGTTAATTTAAGTAATATCGTCCACAAACAGACAATGTAGTATAAGCTGCACATACATGAAATGTTTTAATAATAATAATAATAGAAAATAAATAAATAAATGAACAATACCTTTAGGATAAGGCTCGTTATTTGAATCATAATAATGCGTACTTACAGATACTCATCAGGCCTTTGCGCAGAGTGGTGTGTGGGTACATGCACTCTCGCCTCTGGTTCGGTTGTCAATTGAGCATTCCCAGTTGGGCGATATGTAGCATTCTCAATTGGGCGAAAGGCAACATTGATGTAGATTCCTTCATTTTCGACTGTCGGATAAGCCCTCACTAGCTCTCTGTCTCTAAAAACAGGCATGACTAATTTGTTCCTCCGCCTTAAGGGTAAAACATAACAGAAAAGGTGCTGTGAGTTTACATTGTTTTAAGACGTTCGTTCGTTAAATTTGGTCGATCCGTCCGGCTGTCTGTCTTTACATCTGCACAGCCGTATTAGTCCTTGTAATGCTATAATGATTCACACTGAGTCTTAAACTTTTTAAATTCCACACAACCCTCATCAATTAAATGCAATAACACAAAACCCTCATTAAGTAAATGCAATTTGGTCATAGACAGAGTCCTTGTACCTTTTCCTTTCATTAATGATGATTGCAAGGAGAAAGACCACAAACAGTACCAGGAACAGAGCCAAAATGGACATGAGGATGGAGAGTAGATCTGTAAAACGAGAATCAACAACGGATAAATTTGTCCAATCTCTGAGATATTTAGTCTTGCGCACGGTCCGCTGTCTTATTTTGGTGAGTTTGATGTATTTTCTTAGTGATTGTCAGGGTGGTGTTACCTTTTTGTTGGTTCAACAGGGCCATCCTTTAAAGTCCTGTTTGCACCTGTCTCACTGACTAACACACTACCTGACTGTTACTTATGACCGGGCAGTACTATCATATAGGAGTACCCCTCAAAGCCAATGAATGGGCTCAATCCGGCCCAGAAATTATTGCATGAAAATACCTTCAGTAAATAACTATTCATAATCAATAATTGGCCATCAGCCCTGTATGGGGACTGCTTGACAAGGCTTGTTTTGTCTTGTTTTCAATTGAAGTCTCTCTTGTATGTAGGATTTATGTTATGTGAGCAATTTGTGGTACCATTTTAATGCATCGGATAAAATGGGTTGTATCGCAAATTGACAGTCGTGGCCTACCTGGTATACAAGATCCCGCTGCTTCAAATTCTCCAGTTTCGCCATTGCATGTTATGTTGTATTCATCGACCAGAGTTTGAAAGCCTCTATTACACAAGGTGGTGACAGTTGTACCATCGTCAAAGCATTTGTCGGTCACGTCGCTGTCGATGTTGACTGTGAAGCTGATTGTATTGCTGATGATGGCACACTGCGACTCATTACACTGTGCCATTGCACCCCCTAAACCAAGAAAGGACAGAAAATAAAACCACAGTCGTCAACGTCCTAAACCATCCACAGTCCTCGGAAGTTAGGTAACAGGTACAAAAATAACATGGAATCAACAAATGCCTTTGCAATAGTTCATTTTTAATCGCTTGGGACTTGACTTGAAATTGGATCACTTGTGATTGATTGGTGACGTGGTGACTTGTGACCGACACTGGTATAACACAACACAATATATTCAATTCAGTAATGGTTTATTAATATCCACCTTTAGCGGCACAAGGGCAAATTGCGGTTGGATTAACAATAGCATAATAAACAAGACAATGTCAGACATGAAACAAAATATCGAATCATTTTGTGATTGATTTGTGATGTGTCATTGTGCTTCGACTACTCTTACCAACGAGAAATAGTCAAAGTGGGCAGTGGTAATCTCTTGTAATTTTATTGTTTTTGAAAAATACGGCAATTCGAATGAAAAGAGTCCATAAATGGAGTGTGACCACCAGTTTTGTTTTTCTTACAGACGGGCCTCAGGAACTTTAAAAAATGAATTAATTTACATGTTATTATGACTACTGCATAGACTGTGCTTTTAATTAGATTCTACACCCTTACAGAATGTGCTGTTATTTTGAGAAGCATGGCTCCCTCTGTAACTACTGAAAACTGTTCCTGTAGTTTTAATTAATACACGTCAAAGTTACTCTCACTAAAATTCAAAGTCTCAGAGGAAGTATGGTATAATAAAAAACATGACTTCGTTATCTAATAATATCAGTAATCAAAGTAGAATGATACCATTAAAGAGGTAATTTTCACAGTCAAGCCGCGTTCTTTGTTTAAAGTTAGATAACTCCAAATGACACAAAATGTTGCTGGTTTAATAATTGTAAGCGTTTATGTTATCAGCGTATATACACCACCATTGTGGTTCTAGTTTTGCTCACCCGCTGATAGGCAGAACAAGCCCAGCACAATGTAAACAGAAATCCGTATGAACTTGAAGCCCCTGTGATCAATATACTTCCATGCCAGCCGACCAATCGCTTTCGTTTGATTGGGTTACGTAGCTACAGGGTCTAATCCAAGATGGCTACCAGGATTCATTTGTGTCGATACTGTATATACAGTGTGACGATAACCAGCTTTACTGCCGGCTCATACTAGTTCAACTTTATGCTGAGTTATGTTTCCTCGTTGTTGCCCGAACTGGTATTAAATTTGAAGCTCGCTGGGAGCGAGGGATAGGGTCAACTGTACATGACGTCGGTGGAAAGTCTACGGGGGTGGGCATTGTCAACATGTTCTTTTCGTTTTTCCCCCAAACAAGTCTTGTTATGTAAATGATGTCACAATGTCTGTCTAGTTATTTTTGCTGTGAAGAAAAAAAACCTGCACCTTTATCATAGCTGTAGTCAGAACATGATGGTTGATGTTTTATTTTTGATCCAAAGTTGACGCTTCTTTTGTTCTCTCTGTTATTTAAACGGAATTGGACCCCAATCTCGGATAAAATGTGTAATGTCGTAAAAATTAATGTCGGAAGTTATATTTTTTCCCCAAAAACCAACGCTGCTGTTTAGTGAAACCGGACGTAGCACATTTCTTTTTTACTCCTCATTTTTTTCTGTCATTTAACAACACTAATGACATGAATCAAAACCGTCCAAACATTAACAGCAGCATAATAAACCAAACTTGTGGAACATCTGTTTTTAAGCATTTTTATTTTATTCACGTTTGAAATACTTAAAGATAGCTAACAACCATCAACATTGACAACGGACAAAAACAACACACGACTTGAAGTGCATCGTTTTATATTGAAAATTATGTAAAAAATTATCACTTACATCTAAAAAGTAAATGCAACTCTATTTTCTTCTGGTAAATTATTCCTTGCAAGAAGCATAAAGTTTCAACTGTTTAAAGTTTAAAGTTCCAGAAAGGAAGGAGCGAGGAACAACTGGTTTCCATTTAAAAACGTGCAACAGAGACTCCATGCCTTTTCCTATTTTTACTCCTTTTACAAAATCTCAGTTCACTAATACACAAAAGCAGATTCAGCTTTTTAAAACATATTTTTAATGGCTTCTACGCTACAGACTTTTGTCTGAATTCAGACTTTTTGAATCTGAGAGAAAGACATTATCAGTATAGAAAGAAATACCTTTCAGGCCTTTCATTCAATTTTCAGACTTTTTTAAATTGACAATCTCATCCCTGCAATGCCATTAATTTTATACATTTTTAACACTTGGAAAAGTAAGGTACTTAAATGGCTAACAACAATAAAGGTTTGGATGAGCTTTTTATAGCCACAATTATACTGATCAGTCTGATGACGAAAGCTTTTTGCTCATTTTTTATGAATCAGTTTTAGCTACGAAAGCTTAACTTTTATTCTGGTAAGCCATTTTATTAAGTGCAAACTTACTTTTCAATGTGTTTTTTGTCTGACTAACGCGGTTGTCCACCAATTATATATATATGTATTTTAAGTTAAAGCGGGCATTAGACAGACACAAATTGGATTGGTCAGGTTTTAGCAAAACAGCCTGACCATAAACACAAATTATTATGATTCAGTTAGAACCCTTGATTCTGGTAGATATTGTCATCGTATCGCGTGTCCCGATTGGGTACCACCCCTTCCTCCTCGTCATCAGTGAAATCGTCTTCGAATTGATCAGGATCTTCGACGTGCCCATTTGGTTCTCCCCGCCGGCCGTTTGCGGCCTCAGGATCAGCCTTAGCGCGTGCGCGTTTCTTCTTTTCTTTCTTGACCTTTGACACGTTGTGCTGCTTGCGCTTTCTCGGAGTGCACCTGAGATAAAAATAAAATAGCATTTAAGATGTTGTCTTAAGGGTGACATACAAATGTTATCAGTAGTCTGTTGCAGTAGCTAACATCCTATTAGAATCAAATAATTATGAATAGAGGGCGCTGTCGTGAACGCCCAAAACTGTGTATGAACAATAGAGGGCGTTTTATTGATGAGTTATGAAATTCGGAGAATTGAATCTAACCTCCAGTTATAAAAACACAGGAAGCAGAGGAAAAAGATCAAAATCGCTACCATCGACGCACTGGCGGCTACGAAAACGGTAAATAGATCTGTAAAGAAAATTGCAAGAAAATATCATATTTGAAATTTAGTTTTAACAGGGAAAAGGCAAATCATGGAGCTATAAACACACGGCTCCATGGGCAAACATTAGACGAAGATACAACAGATAAAAAAAGAAGATAATGATTTTGTTTTTAATGGACTTGTTTTTAGTCTAGGATGATTTAAATCACCAAACATTGAGTGCTTATAGGCACTAATGCTGCATCATCTCGAATTAAAACCGGAGTCAAATCCAAAAGTAAAATGCGAAAACTCAGTTCAGTTTACCTATTCTACAACCGCTGTCTGGTGTCCAGACTCCATCACTACACTTTGCTGTGTAATTATCGCCACTCAGTCGAAATCCTGGATTGCAGAGTAAAAGGACTGCTCGGCCGGAATCGTAACACGTGTCTGGGGACGTTGATTGGGTGCTTAATGTCGATGGAGGGCGCTCACACATGCCGGAAGAGCATTGCGACTGCGCAATCACTAACACTAAACAGTGAGAAAAAATGACAGAAAAAGAGCAAAATGATAAATTAACTTTCATAATAGAATTAACCTAGCGAAAAAAAAAATCCCAAAACTCAAAAAGATCACTAGGATGGGTCTGAAATGATGAATATGTATGTGGATATGAAAATGAAATAAAATGTGATGATAGGCAATCAACGAGGATTTAGCCTGACAGATATTCTGTTTAATTTCGAATTAGAAAACTGTATGAGGGCCAGGTAAAAGTAGTTCTTCACGTCAAATTATAAACAAGGAAAATCTGCAGACTTTGCAAAGAGACTTGCATATGCCTTGAAACTGCCAAAAAACAAATTTGCTGAAAACAGAAAGGCTTTGCTAACCCGTAAATATTTGGAAGTGGTTCTCAAGCTAATTTAAAAAAAAAATTCGACGTAAACTTGCTGTTGTTCAGTACTCTTTTGCTTCTCAGCGGCTTCATTGTGATGGCGATCTTCCACAGACAAATATAAAAGCTGGGTTTTTTTCATCACCATTTATTCTTTACATCTGTAACAGAAATTTGAGGCTTCTTGGATGTCACATTAAAGTAGGCAACAAACAAGGAATTTTCTTTCAACGGCAACAGGTTTAAACAGAGACGGAAAGTCTGATAAAGTACCTTGCTCAAGGACACAGGTGCCATAATTAATTGGGTGCACAGGTGCCATAATGAATTGGGTGTGGTTGGAAAACACATTCATCCTTAATGTCTCGAGTGTATTAATGCATGCTTAATGTGGTCCTTAGTCCACAACATGTCGTTCCATTAAAACTCTTACTCCACAGCTAATGACACATTATCGAATGCAACAGAACCATTACAACTGCAATAAAATACCTCGACACGCCCATAAAGCAATTGAGCCGATTCTAGATACATGTATAACATGGAGGCCAACGGGTATGCACTAAGTAATTGAGGTGCTTGTGAACGGAGCAAATCACTATAGATGATAAAGATCGAAGAAAAGGAAACAACCTGTATGGCAGATATCCACGGACCAATGTCGTTTGCATAACGACAATTTCGGTTATTATGAAGGACAAACTGAACACTTATCTGAAAGCTTACTATCGGTAAAGAGTAGTCTTAGGTAACGGACGCCACGGGAAGTAATTCTATCTGGCATGCAATCATTTTTTTAAAATGAAAACAAACATCATCAAGAATTTGCTCTTTGACTTTCTTAAGCTGCTGATCCCCCTCCCCAATTGTTGACAAGAAATCGTCGCTCCTGATTAGAAAATAGAGTGATGTTCCCACCAACAATATTCAAAGGGCAGTGTTCGTGTAGCAGTTTAATAAACGGAAGTGCGTGTCTTTTGGGGTATATATAATTATTATGCACAGAACTTTGAGCAGTGAGTGGGCTCATGTTCACCATGCCAAATCACTCAATTTTGTCAACAGATGTTAAGTTATAGGGAAGTGAAAATCACGCCTAGCAGAAAAGAAAATAGATGAATTGTTGTAATTATATTTTGAGAGGAAACCACTGAATATCCCCATGGATTGTTGTTTCAGTTAACCCGGAAACGAAACTTCCCCTACCAATCAAAAATAACTTATAATTATTTATTTCCTCAAGTGTATCAATTGATTATTTTAACTACAATGAAAATACTGTAAAAGCTGTTTCCAAATTGAAATTTGACATGTTGCTGATGACTGGGATTCCACCATTTAATTGTGTGTCTAAAACCATAAAAGTTCCTGAAATCATCTGTACTTGTTTTTAATGTTTACCATTTTTTTCTTACACCGTTTCGTAACTGGGAGGTACACTGAGAGGAAAATAATCACAACTTTTTATCTGATTTTTCAGAAGTAGTCATGAGGCGATTTCAGCAATGGCTATTTTGCTTCCTTCATTGTCAAATAGCTACAAAGTGTGAAATCCAATAACAGACATGGCCACTAAACAACCAAATGAACTTACCCGATTCCTGCAACAAAAGTCCAAGGTGAAACCAGAGAAGTGTGACAAACCCAGCTGGATTCCACGGGGCAAATGCTCGCCCAGCCCCGGTCCGTGCTGTTGGCATGGCTCGCTTCGTGCGACCTCTTCGTGTCGTCAAATTTACCACAAAAAATGTCTGGTGTTCCGATGTGCAGTATTGAAAATGTTCACGACAGTTTGCTCACCATCAATTTCATAAGTACCGAATCTCAGATTTTTGGATCCAAATAAATGCATGTGTGCTTATTCGAGTGTCTATTGACTTGGCAATTGTCCGTGTAGTGACGGTGTGCATGTACATGTACATGTACATTGTACATGTACGCTTCCTCGACCCATGTAAAACACGGTGAGCCACGTTCACGCGCATGCGCGCACAATTTTTCACTCACACAATGAATAACAATAGCCTAATAAAAACACGTCCGTACTTCCCATTTTGCAAAACGAAAATGTCTATTCATGGCAGAAAGGTTGACAGTTCGGTTTTTGTGTGGGATTGTTACAGTGGTGTCGTCGTCACAAACCACATTTTCTGTGTCTAGGCCATTTGATTAACTGATCGAACTGGGAAGTGACAGAACTACAAATGCAGTAAAAATCACAACCAGCGGTTCCGTATTGTTTTTAAGGTGAACTGTCCGTACTGTTTTTGATTTTTAACCCTAACAAAAGTTCCTTTTTTTTTACCCCAAGCAATACAAAACAGTATAGGGTTGCAGACGCCAAAATCAGAACTAAAGTAATTTTTCTTTAAAAATACAAAATTCGTCAGGAGAAAAACCAATTTTTTTTTTAAAGCATCTTTATTAAAGCCAAGGCCATCGGCATTTCCGACAGCTTTTGTGTGCATTTCTATTACTTGTGATGTCTTTGTTTTAATAAGGCATAATTTGTTTGTTTTAGTGGAGTCAAAAGTGGAATGCGATAATTAGCACCTCATCTGCATATAAAGGACGAGTTTCGAGGCCTATAATGCAGAGCCGTCGTGCATCAGGGAAACCAACAGGCAGGAAATGTGAAGTAGGCCTACAGTACGACACAAGGACATCGAGAAAAACAATGAAAGTGAAAGCTGGTATTATGTTGGGCATTCCCTTGTTGTCCCATAGCGAAGCACGTGATTCGAAAGTCATTATTTCATGACAGCGCACAATTTAAGCAGTGTGCAGTCAAACCTTCTAGTTTCCATTTGAACCAAACGCCTGGCCCTTATGGTTGGCACAACTGAATTCAGCACAACAAATTCTCAACAACAACAAAAGAAGGAAAACAGATTACCATCCTCCATGTTAGTTGAAAGATTACCTCCCAAGAATCCTCATGGGCGTAAACTACCGTGGAGTGGGGTGGGGTACCGGGGTGGGTATACATGTATATCCCTCTATATTCAATGGCACAATATTTCTGCCCGGCCCAGCTTCACTTAAGTTAAGTATAAAACGACACTACATTAAGTCTGAAATTCTCGTGCCAAATTCAAAGTGGTAGCGGCTTTGTGGAATATTTTTCTTTCCTGAGCTTATATAGATCGGTCCGACTTTCAATTATTTGTTTTTAGAAATTTTTAGATTTTTAGATATAAGGACAAAGCGAAGCTTCATATATTTAAAATTCGAGAGTCAATTCAAGATGTGCTGGTGGCCTGGAGGTAAGACAGGGAACTTCTGTTCCCGCGACCCGGGTTCGAATCCCGAGGGCGGTTTTTATTTTCGATTTCTTTAGGGTTTTCTAAGGGTTTTAATTATAGGAAGTGTGATTTTCACTGGGGGACCCAGGTAGCGAACCCGGTAGAGGTGCCGACGGGTAAGCCGGCGCCCCTGGTTCGAGTCCCGGCCGCCGCAACTCGGACTGGCTGCAGGGAAACCTGCGGCCAGTCCGAGTTTTGTATCGCGTGTCTACCCCAACTATATAAAATAAAATAAAATAAAACAGAATTTTACTCTTTTTTAATTAAATAAGTATAAGTCAAAAGATGTAAAATGTCGTACTGTGGTTCTGCCGGGACTCGAACCCGCAACCTCCGGCGTGAGGGTCAAGAGTGCCCACCGCTAGGCCAACACGCTCTTCTTACTATGAAGTGTTCGGAGGTAATATATAAATATTCAGGTTTGTATGAGTTATTAAAAAAAAAGTACTAAGTCCACGCGCATGCGCTCTTGCATATGTCTTTTCGAATGATTGGATGGCCAAGTCAGGGCGCATGCGCATATAGCAGCGTCATATTACACACATATGTATCCGCTGTGCTTCCATAATATACATGTACATTTTGATATAAGTTTGGATGGCTAATAGTTTAAGTCAGCGCGCACGCCAAAAAAAAAAATCTTATGCGCAAATGCTACTTTGGTTGTTAAGCCTATGTCTGAGAACTTAAATTTTGCAGAACTTATTTTTTGGGAACTTAATCATATCTGGCTTTCGAGAATATTTTCTTCATGTTTAATTTTGCTCAAATCTTAAAATTTATTGTCTGGAAAATAAAACGGTTGACAACTCTCTTAGTTTAGGAACAATACAAACTGATGTTTCTACAAATAAAAATAATCAGCTATTACGATTCGTTTGCTTTTTACTAAGACATTGTTTTGCCACAAAAAAACCAACACGGTCCCGTTTTTTCGTTTAAACGAAATCCATCCCTTGGTGAAAAGAAATAATAAAATTAAGTAAATAAATATAAAAGTTTGCAACTTATGCATCGTTTGGAATCAAGTTTGTTTTATTTGACCTTACGCACGTTGTCATTTTGACACATCGAATCGACTAGACGTTTTAAATTGGTAACATTGTTGTTGTACATTATAATAGCTACTTTTTAATATACTCAAGAGGTACATCTGAATGTTTTACAAGAAGGCTACAAAATCGTCTTAATATACATGAAAATGCATGCACAAAGAAAGAGTCCAATTCACTTCGAATCAAATGAGTTACAATTTTCCAATTTTGTTCCAAATCCATTATTTACATTTCATACAGTAAAGTACGTTACGGAAAGAATGTTGCCTGACGCTACTTCAGCGGTTGTGTACAAAGTCTATGGAGAGTCAAGAAAATGCTTTAAGTATTTCCTGACGAAATTGGAAATGATTCTCAGTCCCAGATTCATGTCTTATCATTTTTGCAATGAATAACCTTCATTGAGAAAAAGCAGCGTCAGGTTGTAACATTCTTTCCAAAGTTACGAATAAAGTAGAAATTTAAATATAGTCAATTAAAAAAGCAAGCAAGTGGATTCAGGTGAACCATGGATGTAGAATTCTGCTTCAATTGGAGAACTTTAACGGCCTTACACACAAAGTCTTAGCTAGGTCAGCCTCGAAGATGGAGGACTATCAAGGACTTGCCAAGAAAATTACAGACTAAGATTATCTTGGACACGATTTGCAAAAGCTCCATAGTTTCGATCAAACTGCTGGAAATTGCAGTTAACCACAACGTATGCCTTAGTATAGAACTCACTCACCAAGCTGCCATGACGAAGAAAACGGCACGTACGCCACATGCAAATGTCATACGTCCACACGCTTGAGTAAACTTAAAAGAGCCTTTTAATAAGTAACAATGGGCAAGAATTTCGACGATTGGACCGCAAATTGCGAAAACACTCTTCAATCGGTCTATCTACCGCCCTCTACGTCAAGATGATGTCGTCATCAATTTTTTTTTCAAGTAATGTGATTGTGCTGCTGAGAATACATTAATGAACTTACCGGACAGCCCATTTGAAAAAAAAATAATCTAGTACGACTTGGATTCTTAAAAACATCTAAGACTACAATCGTTTCCACCTTTTTAAAACGACAGCCATCTTTTTAATAGTAGTTGTCAACGTTGCTAAGCAACCTCTGGAGGGGTCTCAACAATCCTCTTCTTATCTCCCTTTCTTGCAGGCTTCTTCCTAAGAGGAAAAGAAAAACAGGGAAACTTTTAAAAACGAGGAAAACGATTTACACTATAAATAATGACCAACCTCTTTTCATTGTTTTAATAACAGTTGCCATATTGTCTACCCACTCGGTCGAAGGACTCGGGTCTTGACCCCGTTACATCAAAACGAATTTTTGTAAACTACATATATAATTAAATGAGTGCAGTAACAAGTGCACTTGCAACTACGAATCAATCATTTTTCGGACCGAAATTCATGTAAACCAAGATGACATCGTTACCTTGTGAGAATGCAGTACATGATCACGAAGAAGATGGCGAGAGAGACGAATGCTACTAAACACACGATGATGACGGAGAAAATGTCTGAAATAAAAAAATGTCCACACACTGCAGATAACAAAGTAAATGCAATTTATAATGGCTCAAAACCACGTTACTCTTGTTATCTAAAACTATCATACTTTTAAGCAATTTTGAACTGTATAAACCTAAGTCGGGACATGTTATATGCTGTGCAGTTTGTTCGAAAGACAAACAATTAACACTGGTGCCATATGAAAATTTGGACTCCTATGCAATCTGGTCACTGTTACATTATTTGGACTCGAACCTCACATATGAGGTTCGATGTATACCCACCCCTTAGAATCGCCTAAAGAAATCGAAAATAAAAACCGCCCTCAGGATTCGAACAGTTAGGCATGCGCAATGCAACTAATGAGGCCGTATTTCGTAGAGTCCCATATTTTCTACTACGCAGGCAGTTCCAGAAGCTTTGCAGGACAATGGGCAGTGAATGTTAATACCAGGGATGTATCTCCAGCATTTGCCTGATTTTAGTTCCCCCCTCTCAAATTAAAAATTACATATCGTCGCCATACATGTGTGTGTATTTTCTTTATCCCTCAAATTTCAGGCAAAAAATGTCTTGAATCCACTTCAATCCCTGTAATATGTATTACCTTCTTTGCAAATGCATGATTTCAGTTTTTTCCCCTCAAATTATAAAACATATCGGCACCATACATGTGTATTTTGTTTACACCTGAAATTTCAGGCAAAAGTGTCCTGAGTGCACACACATCCCTGTAATGGGCCTTATTCACGAGTTGGCCATTTTTGTCGAGTTCCCTGAATGTATTTCATTAAGTGTTAACTGTTAAGATGGCGCCAGACTATTTATGCAAGCACAATGCAGCCTTATTGACTGTCATTTTTTTTTTTTTAATCTGGCTTTCAACATTAGGGAACGTTTAATTACAAATTTTAAATTATTCATTGAAGCAGACTGGAAGCTCCTATTTTTTTTGAGGGGATGAAACCGCGAAAGGAAGTTACCTATCACACAGGAATCCGACCAAGTCCACGTGCCATCCTGATTGCACACGACGATAAAGGTATCATCGTCTTCTCCCCTCCGCGGGAAACCAATCTGGCAGTCCACCGTGAGCGCCGTGCCGTATCGGTAGCATTTCTCATCCCCGCTCAGTCTTGTTGTGAACGAGGAGGTGGGAGTACGGCACGTGTACTCGGGGCATTCATCCCCTGATTGCGCTGTCAAAACAAATAGACGGTGAGTAAAAAATACCCGAAATCCAAATGTCGGGATCATTGTTTCAGTGAAGTTCTGTGTGTAGCACTTTCTAAATCTAGGATATGATAGCCCAATTCATAAGCTTTCTTTTAGTACAAGAATCATTAAAATCACTCATGTACGTACTTTCCAAGTTCCGGAATTTTAAACACAACCACCGTTTTAAAGTTCTGTCCACGGATCACAAGAAGGTAAGTGTTCTTTCAGCAAAACGAACGCAAACCACATAGGGATGTGTGTGAATTGTTTTTAAAAACAAACTGTCAAAGAAGTTTCAGAGATGCCGAACGCATTCGGACAACCTTGAACAAAACGAAGAGCTTTAACTTAACTTGTCGCTGATGTGAACTTTTACTTTTAGATGGCACAGAAATTTGTTAAGCGCAGAAAATATTCGCTCAGCAAAAATAGGTTACCAGCTAACATTCAGTGTCATGTATATTGCCTGTCACAGGTTCTCAGCTGATTATTGCTTAATACATACATTTGTTAAGCATTATTTTTTTTGCTTGGCACCTAATTAGTGTCAGCATAAAACTTTCAGCTACATTCTTACCCGTAATGATTCCATAGATTTGCGCCCATATAACAGTTTGCAAAAGGACTCCAAAATGTCTACGTTGCAAGAAGGAAACAGACATGGTGAATGGAGTGCGAAATAACCAACTACGTAGGTTTTCACGAGCAGCGACTGGTGTTACAACTAGAAACAACACCGTTTGTGCACGTTCTTGATGGTTGACATTTACTGGCGTTGAGTGCGCATGCGCGTACAGCCGGCTAGACTTGATTCAAATCCGTATTTGACTGATTGCTATTGTTTCGTGTGCAAAGCTGAAATTCATGCACGGATGACGTGGCGGGACTGGACTTGAGATTTTCTTTTAATCATATTTTTCTTCTCAAAAGTTGAAATTGTTAACTGTTTTATATGAGAGTTACTCAAATAGTTTTGAATCTGGTATTCAATCTGCCTGAAAACGACTGAGTCAAGTCTAATGAGTGGTAGCTGGAAGAAAAAAAAAGAGAAGAGAAATCGTTTTTATGTGGAAAACAAGTTTGTGTAGTAGTGATTCAATAACCAAACACCACTTGCTTCATTGATTTCTTTGGTGACAAACGAATCGTGTCTGAGTCACGTTTATAGACACCCACAATCCATTGCAGAAATTCAGGTGGTACAAAAGTATTACCATTTGAGAAGAGTAGGCCGACCAACAATAATTGAATCTTTTCAAAGTTTCCGCGCCCTGTTGCACATGGGCGGATTATATAAGGTATAAATTGTGCACCGTTACATACAAGGTCTGTTGTTCACACCACTTACAATGTGAAATAAAGGTTAAGGCGTTTCCGTATGTAGTTGGGGAAAAATGGTCGTTTACATACTTTTTCCCTTCTATTTTCAAGGTTCCATAATAATTTCAAAGCGCTGTTTCTGTAATAAACACGGGGGATGTGACCGCATGTGCATGTACAGTGCATACATCATGACCATATCCACTGGTACAATAGACTTATAATGCACTTGTATAATATTTATACGCCCATCGCTTGCTTGGAAAATATGAAGAAAGACATCAGAAAAAAACCGTATCCCCAGGAATCCTTACTACTCTAGAATGGAAATGTATGAAATCGCAGGACAGGGGGTTGTGGGGCCCATTACAATGTGGCAAATGGTCAAAGAGAGATGGGATTGGTTTTTCGTTTAATTATTTTCTATGTTCGCTCCCTGTTGAATCGCCATGTATTGCCCAAGCTGCATTGTGTTGCAATTCTCTAGCACCCTTTAAGGAAAATTTGAGCCCTAAATGTTTTGAACTCTTGGCAATTGAGCCACAGAGGGCGCTCTGTATTAGCGTTACATGAAGAAGTGTACAGGGGTGTTTTTTTCCCCAGCTTTTCTTCCGTGAAAAAAATGCCTCGGGCACGGCAGAACTTTCTCACCACTGGCGCGCGGTTGGCTTTGATCGACTATAAAGACTTACACAAAAACCCATTTTCCCAGGGTTTCAAATTTTACATAATCCTTTTTTGTAGGCAAGAGGTCGGTGGGACAGCATCATGCTTTATGTGTAAGAAAAGTGGAGCTACTTAGACCAATGAAAAGAAGCGAAAATCCTCAGTTCCCTTCCAAATCGGCAATACCGCTGGGATTTTTCACACTGGGATTTTTCACACATTCCTTTAACTTGGGGCTTTTGTTAAGGATGGAAAGAAAAATAACACCCTGAAATGGTAATGTTTGCTTGATCTTTAAAAAAAACACTATTCATTGTTATGAAAGTACAAAGCAAAGGTTAGCCCTTTCTCGCCAAGATTTCAATTGAAATGTTATTATCCACACATCGGTAGCAACATTCAGCAATTTGAACAATAATCGCAAATCAATCATTTTCCAAAAGAAAGAAAGTTTGCCTCCGATGCATTGATGTGCCACTCTTTAGACCTAAATGAAAAATTGAACCTGTAGTTACTAATTCAAGAAGTAGCATGACTCAGCCCTTCCCTCATAACCTTTATCCTACATCCTTAGCCTTAAATCACTGAAAACCAAGATTATGAGACAGAAAACAAACACAGAGTGCGTTATAAAACTTGCATAAATTTTTATTGTGAACATTGCAAATGCAGAATTACTGTAAAAAGTTGCAGTTAAAAATTATTTGATAAAACTTCAAAGAGACACATGTACAAATAAAAAAAACTTTTGCTTATTAATATTATTTTTTTGACGTAAACATTTAACACATATTCTCGACAAAGATAACGAAATTAACCCTTATTGATGTTGGCCACAGAACTTCATATTCAGTACCTAAACAGGCTTGCCCTGTGGTGGTATCGTTTAATTAAAAAAACAACCAAGAATTGTACTGTAGGATGGGCCTGGGCACAAAACTGCTCCATATTGTCATGATATGTTTTAGTATAATTATGTACAACTAAACGCAACTCATAGTTCCATTATCTAAGCGAAATTTGCTTCCGAGTTTGATGCATATTGCACAACGTGGAGACAACTCATGGGCGACGCCATCTTGGATTGAGTCACTTCTGACAAACAACGAGATCAGCAATAATACACTGATCCCCATGAAGTCATTGAATGAACCATCCAAAATAACTATATAATGATGAGGGATTAAGCAATAAATTCCATTCGATTTGTCTTTGTACAATGTATATCAACATTAGGCCAAAAAAAAAAAGTCTCCGGTTTCTGGTATGGAGCTTGCCCCAAAAGTGGTGCGGCGACGCGGCTTTTTTTTTTTTTTTTACCTGTTTTTTTTTTTTTTTTTGGCTTCAAATGTCGGCTGATGACTGCAAATGGTGCCCGACTAAACTTAGTGCAAATATATGGGAGTCCAAAGAGGCCACATAAAGCTTATTCTCGATCATAACCCAATCTAAAAACACGTTAAAATTGTGCAGCAGCAGAATTCCAGTCGAACCAGTGAGTTTGGCGGTTTTGAGACGTCATCTTGTATTGAAAAAAAAACTGTTTCATTTTGCCGACTGGCATGGCTACGGCGACGCGCGCGCATACCAGAAACCGGAGACTTTTTTTTTTTGGCCTTATCAATGATTTTTTTTTTCTCAAAGAGAGAGCACAATATTGGATATGAGTGTTTAAGTCAACTTTCAGAGTATAACATAACTCCTTGTTTTAAAAACAGAGCATCATTATGTTTTGAAACCTTAAAAAAAAACCAGAACAATGTACATATTATTCGTAACTTTTGCCATGCTCAAGCAGCAAGTCACCACCAACCAATTGTCTTGCACTGGAAATATACACTAAAAAGCACCTTACATTACATTTGTTATATCTAGAAGCTTGTACTTATTTTATAGTATTTTTTTTGCCTAGTGACAGGTGAATTTACATATTTCGCCCTGTTATTGGCTTCAGCCCAGAACATGATTACGACCACAGATTTGACAACATCCTAAAATCAGATCATAGCCTATGTTTCCCAGAGAATAAAAGGCTATACTCTCTCTATCTAAACCAACATTTTATTCCTCAATAAAATCAAGGTTTAGGCCCTCAGGTGGATTGTTATCAGTAGGACTATCCACCTCCATGCTGAAATCATTGAAGTCGATGTCTTCCATATCCAAGTCGGTCTGGAGTCCAGAGTCACTTCGCTCTTTAGTCGATGGAGTCCTGGTATAGTGGTCAGGTTCCTGCTGGGCTGGGCCGTTTAACCCCGCGTTAGCTGCCTCTTCTTCACGTCGTTGGATGGTCAGACGGCGCTCTGCCCGGCGTCTCCTGCGCCGGTCTCTGCAAAGGGAGATGGTCAAAACAGAAGTTTAAAGAGATACATTTATTTATTTTTATTTTATTTATTTCTGGTAATGAAACCAATGATTCCTCAAAATTGTCATAGGCACGGTAGCTCGAAAGCCTGAACTTAAATATGTGCAGAGGAGACAATGCATGAGAAGAACTTGCAGTTTTATAAAAATATTCTGGGTAAAACCCACGGAATCAGGTAGGGCCCGACTGAAAACCCAGTCCAGTCCAGGCAGGAATCGAACCCGGGCCATAGCGGTTGAAGGCGAGGAAAGTAACCACTACGCTAACCTGACTCCTAAAATTCACGTAGGTCAAAATCTAGTGTCAGTTTTGGAGAGACCAAATAGGTTAGTAATTTGGATCGAATGAGGGCGTACGACGCGATTTTTCTGGGTACCAAACTTAGAAGTGTACGTTAATGGAAGCAACATAAAAAGGAAGTCTACTTCAATCTAAAAACATGAAGATTGCTACGATGTAATTTGAATTTTAGCAACCTATACACTTACACCAATAACCTTGGCAGGCATGCAACTTTTCCTCAGATCAGCTGATTTCCTCTTTTTTTTACTTCCCAGGTGTGCCATTGAAAATAGAAAAACACTGTACAAAGTCTGGGAAAAATTTGAATTTCCTCTTTTTTTGTGATTTCCCAGTTGCATGCCTGCAAGGCTTGGGAATCCCGTTTGTTTGTATCCACCCCTCCAAAAAAAAACACCCAAAAATTAACTAAACATCGTTGTTAAAGCTCCTATTAATGCCTATTGAAAGTCACGACGTGAATAATGTTTTTCCCCTCCAAAATTGAGCTTAAAACTTGCACACCCTTAATTATGGGTAAACGAAGTGTAAGCGCAAAGATTCATGCATCACTGTTTGTATTACTTCAACCCTAAACGTTTAAGAGAAAGATGCTGATCAGTGTCTCCTTTTTTCTAACTCACTTACCTGGAAATCAAACAACACGATAAGGTTGTGAAAATCAAGATGGCTGCCAACCCTGCAAAACACGCCAGAGCAACAGAGACAGCATCTACGCATGAAGACAAAAAAAATGCATGCAATTTTTGAAACTATACCAAAACAAATGGAAAAGTTAGAAATTACCCCCAAGAATAAGTAGAATTGTGTTTTCCTTTAAAAATAATCCCGTCCCGTCGTATCTCATTATTCTTTGGTCACAAGTGCGGGAAATGAGGCGCCATGCGGAGTTATCGAGGACACTGATTTTTGGTGCCATTTTCACCGATATGAATTTTGTACAAATAACCTCGGTTTCACTTCGCTAAAGTGAAAAACAAGCCATTCATGGCCTCCGGATTTACCATTCAGTGATCGAAGGACATCCAATGATTGTGCGATATACAAGACTAGCTTCATTGTTCTGAAAATTCTTGGTGTTTGTATTGATATTTGCTACATGTACAGTATATACATGTACAATGGAATGCGGATATTTCGAATATAAGGGTATTTCAGTAGATACTGAAAAGCACCTGTGGCTGTGAGATATGGTTAAAGCTATAGTCCATCATTTGTAATTAGTGCATTTTGTTCGTTTGAAGCAACAAAAGTGTTCAAAATCTAATGAAGGATACTGAGCAACTAACTTGATGAAGTTTCAGCTCAGCTTCAGCTGTATATTCCAAGAAAAACAGCATTCTAAGATCTCAATTTCAAATCAAAAGTTACTGAATCATGTTTTGAATTGTTTTGAATTGCAGCTATCCGGTTCGTTAGTAAAAACGTCATACACGCACGCGCACCACTGATTACTAGCGCCCATTGGCTACAAACGCTCAAGCTGCGTTAACTTCCGGTTCCAATCGTGCAGAAAGTGCTGGAGGTGACGTCACACTAACGAACCGGATACGCGACGTCGCGCACTGATCCGACGAATTATAACAACCGCGCGCGCGTGTGCGTCGTTCCAATACTTGTGCGCGCTGCGCTGAATAACAAAACGAACTACTAATTTAAATTTTCCTACGGTGCTTCTTAAGAATCACGGTTGGAAATGCCTTCTTTCGTTGATTACTTCAAAATGACAGATTCCCAGAAAGAATAATTTCACAGGGAGTTTAGTCCCCTTACTATCTTTCAACCAAGTTTGTTTTTCAACAATAATTACGCCAGTTACTTTTCGGATGGCTGCAAATGATGGACTATAGCTTTAAACATTATCTCAGTTTAGCATTTTCCATTCTCTGAAACATTTTGGTTGACTCTAAAACCCCAGAACTTTGCAGGCATCGCTCGTCTGCAAATCTGAACGTTCTTCATTTCAATCTACAAAATGATTATTACTATTACCCTTAGTGAGACATTCCCATAGACTTGTGCACAAACATTTTCAAATTTCATGACCCCTATTACCCTCATTTTACCTTATATCCTACCCCCACAAATTTTAGTTCCTTTATGTTATGGATCACGAGCAATCCATCTAGCCTGTTTGCGACGGTGAAATTATGCCTCTAAATGGGAGTTGTGACATTAGAGAGACATTTCAATGTCTCCTTAATCTAATTTGTCATCCCACAAGGTTTAGCCTAACTTATGACGATCAGGGGCCCTAAAACTGGCCCTACAATTTCTGATAATTTGTTTTCAGTAACAATTTCCTAAAATGGTACAGAGAGTTCTGATATGAACGAGGAATATGAAAACCAAGCCCCAAAACCCTTACAATGCGCCCAGAAAATGGGCTCATAAATGCGTAGTTTGCATAATGGCCGGTTTTGAAGAGCGCCCCTATTTTGGAAGATGGATCCGCCCCCCCCCCCATTATTTGATTTTACGGAGGCCAAGTGCCCGGTGAAAAAAACCAAACGTGTCGACATTTCAGCATGGATGTGCAAGTTTTTGGTGATGCCCCCCCCCCCTCCAGTTTGAAAACCGTTGCGCCGCCGCTGATGACGATATAATTTCTCCTGAAGGGTACATTTACAGGCATTATTTTTCCTTAAATATTATTGTAGAAGGAAACAGTTTATCGGTTTGAAAGAAGGAAATTCATGTTTAACACTCAGAAATAGTTACGGGAAAGGGAGCTGAATCCCTGGCGATCATGGCTGGGAGAACTAGGACAGCCTTTATTCTGTTTTCGATCACCAAATATAGCCTACCCCAATTTGGAACCAGCTTGACTGCCGTTTTCAAACTGTTATTGAGTTGCATGGTCCGGGACATGGTACGTGTTGCAATTCCCCTAACAATGGACAATTTGCTTTTCCCGCGGAGCCTTATGGGGGAGGACAACATAGAAACACAATGGCTACACTGTTGAGTCACTGAATAAGTGACAAATGTGCGGGTTTGTAAAAAAAAAAAAAGCGAACATTGCTCATATCTTGCGTGGGAAATGCAAGTAATATTTCAAAATGATGATGGGGAAACATAAAAGTGAAGCATGATGACTGACTTTATGAGAATGACAACTCTCAAGCTTTTTTTAATGATTAAATTATTCCTGTTTGGGTAAAAACTGATTGGCCACCATCCATGAGCGGCATTTTGAAGATATTTTGATATTTTGATTTGCAAGGACATTTGTTTAACTTTTTCTCTCAAAGGATTTTGATTCTTCTCATTTAATTTTAAAAAAACACGATTGAAGGAAACTGTAATGTCTGGCTCACACTTCATGCCAAGCCATGTCCACTTTCTCGTGTGGAATTGCCCAATTCTTTAAAATAATTAGCAACCCAGACAGAATAATTTCACGGGGAGTATAGCATGCACCAGTACCATCTTTAATCCAAGAAGCTTTCTAAAAATAATTGGGTCTAGGTTACTTTTGGGACAAATGCAAATTACCCTGTATTCCTTTAAATATTAGAAAGGCTAAAAAGGCCAGCAATCGGGGTAATTCTCACCAATGCGACAAATATCGTCACTTCCCGTCCAAGTGCTACTCTCAGTACACGTTCTCGTGAGGTCGCCCACCGGATTATATCCGAACATACAGGTACAAGTAATTTTGTAGTTGACCTGGAAGTTGACGATGGTTTCATCCGAGCAGTTAGTGCCCAATTGCTTGGGAGGAGGAGGACAGGACGAAGAAACCACTGGATGAGAAAGAGAGAGACGTAATAAAAAAGTAATCATATCTTGGTCTAGTTTGGGGTTAGAGTTACGTTTACTTTAGGTTAGGGTAGGGTAGGGACAGGGTTCGGGTGTCGATAAGGGTAAAGGTTAAAGGACCCGACAATATTATTTAGTAACTCCACGTTGTAATATTAAAAAACAACCGGCTCCAGCATGAGAACTGTTAGCTATGTTGACCCGCCATCATTTGTAGGGAGTTACATTGAATAAGTAAATGTTGCAAGAAACAAATGGAATCAGCAGAAGGATAGAACTCTGTCACATAAATCAAATCGTCTTGCAATGATGGAAAAAAAAAGAGTCTTCATCAATGACAAGACAACAAAAACTGTATCCATTAACAAACACAGTTAACGACAAGCTAAGATTGTGCTAAGCACTTCGAGACTTTGCATGTTCTTTTCAAGTGGTTTTTGGAACGTGATAATTGGTAAGGAACGACCAATTAAATTAAAGTAGAGAGAACACGGAACTCACCCGACACATAGAGCAAAATGAGAACATGCAGAATCGCCGCTTGACAGTGTCGTTCCATCGTGGTAGATTAATTGTACTCGGCTGTCAAACTTCAAGGTAATTCTACTTTCGAAATCCACGTCAAAGTTTACTGCAGCTACATGTGCTTAGTAGCAGAGGCGCGACGTGTCCAAGAAATTGAACACCGAATCGAGAAGAGCAGACCTCAAAATGCCAAATAACCAAAGACGCAGCCCTGGTAGCGTTCGGTTGCGCTAGGCACAAAATGTACGTTCTATGCCTATTTTCCTGTGCACTTGTTTCCTTTTAATTCTAGCATGTCATAACGCTCACTGAATTAGAGTTGCTTTCTCACTTGCCATTGTAAGCCTATTTCCCCTACGGTTTTACCCATTATCGGCAGTTTCGCATGACTAAGCTTTCAAGTTTGGTGAACACAAAACTAGACTCCACACAGTTCTCGTGGCGTTGGTGCTGATAAAAAAACTACGCTGTTGGGTCACAATTATTGTCAAAGGTTTACCCAATGCTTCGACACCTGCAACAACCAAGTTCGCATACCTCCATTTTCATTTTTGAATGACTCGGGAGACCTTGATACGTCACACGATGATAATCATGATCGATACATGCAGTGACCTTAGGTCATTTGACTGGTACTCCGATGTTATTTTGCAGTGGTCTTTTGTAGAACGACGCGCATCCAATGAAACAGCGATACCAGGGTCTTTCCAGGCTATTTATTTAAAGGTCGTACGCTGTTCATAGTCTAATGCGTTTACGGAATTCCCTTTATACATCAAAAGAATGTTTTTACTGGGCTTTTGCTTGTGTCCAGCATGAAAAGATTTCCAGGCGACTTGATACTCACAAAAGAAACTTTATATTTAACAGTATTGAATTTACCGTGTACATGTACTTGATTCAATATGGGGAGCGCCAACGTTATTGTATGTGTATTACCCATGGGGCAAGTTTCGGCGCACCTGCGATAAGCACAAGTAAAAGAAACCTTTGAATTCTTCCAAGTTGAAAATAGCATACCCCATCATCCTCTGGGTTATTCTGTAGATGGGGACCGCCTTAAATTCGCGTCGATTTACTGGGCGTTTTGCCCACCACCCACACGATCCACTGTGAATCATGGATTCCGTAACGGGCAACACGCCCAAAAAATCAGCTCGTATACTTGTGTCGTGTAGGCCTAGGCATGCATGGCGTTGTTGTTGCAGTAACTGTACTAACACGAAAGTGTCTGGTTTCGGAAAATTCCGAGAACTGGCAATCCTTGAGCTAACGGAAGACTAAAAATGATCTTCTTTTTTGTTTTTTTTGCACAAACTTAGATATGTCACAGTCCGTGATATTTTGTTTCATCCACTCGATCTAGCTTTCTTTCATTATATCTTTCATTGCAAATGTACTCACGGCAGGACAAGAATGTGGATTTTGGGAGCAGCTGTGTAAAGTGTAATCCGCCAAATTGGCCTTTTTGGAATATCGAAACCAAAAGAAGGAATTTAATTATGCAAAGTTTCGGTCTTTTGTCTATTTTTCAAAGCAAACGGAAAACTCCAGTTGTCTACTCGTACCCCCCCCCCCCACGAAAGATCATAGATTCAACATAATGACCAGGTTTATTCAGTATTCTCCAGCAGTTGTCGTGCAAATGTTGGTGGTTATTTGATGGAGTAGATCAGTTATGCGTAAATAATTAATAACTCAACAGGGTGAAAACGCAGCTGGAGTTTTTTGCAAAGCATTTTAAATAGTAGGGCTGTAGTTTGTCGACAATTTCCCCTGTCTGGTTTTGTATAGGTGGACTCTGGCTTTAAAGAATTCTAGGTTGATATACGGCTGCCAGCCACTCAAAAAGACGCCCGTCTCACCATGGCATTTCCAGTTTCCACCCACACACTTCTATTTCCACAATGGGGTAAAACACCTTTTCTGTACTTTCGATTCATTCCGTATTTATCATCATGATGTGACCCATTCAGTATAACAAAAACACACCTTGGTTTGTAAAGGGTAAAAATTGAAAACGGCTAAGAATTCACAAACTAATCAGCATTAGTCAATCTTTGTCGATGGGCGTTCAACATTATGAATCATTAGGGAATTGCGAAATTGACAGAACAACCCAAAATTTCTCTCCCGAAAGAATAAATAGGGGAAAAACATGACGACTGCAGGTGATCTTTTTAAAACTTCACAAAAATGAAGCAGCCCAATTGTTTATTCATTTTCATAGAACAAATTATACAAAAGTTTGGCTTTTGGGGATAATTGTGAACGTGAGCCAAGAGTTTTATTTACTGTTGGTAAACCCAAACCGAATGTGGTATTTATTTTAAAGAACAATTTGTTACCACTTTCATCATTCAATGTGGTCTCAATCGGGGATTTCGTTTATCTGAACCATTTTGTCAATAATATACAATTTTCACTGTTCATTACATGTACAATTGTACTTTCCAGACAAACCCTAAACGTATGAGGTTGAGTCATCGCATCTGTGATACTCAAAAATATAGAGGGCGGTATTTTATATACATGATAGTACATTATCAAGCGAAAATTTTAAAACAAAAATTGTATTAGTGAACAGAATTATTATACTAATGTCCAGGCCACGGGCCGCACTCAGACTCTCTATAGTCTGGTAGCCTCTGTATACATGTATGTATATATAAGATTTAACTATGACAGCTTTACTCTTTAACTCCCATAATAGACATCTATGTGGTTTGCACTTCTGTTGGCAAACTATGGAAAGCCAACTTTACAAAAGTAAAGAATAGTTATAAATGTTTTCAAATTGGATTGTTAAAAATACAAAATAACCAATCAACCAACGCTACCGAAGAATACAGAAATGCCTCTTTCTTACATAAAGAGGGTGTTAATATGCAATTTTTGGCAAAATTTGTTGCCAATCACGGCTTAAATTGTCATCCGGTCTGAGGCAGCTCATACAAAATGGCTCCCAATGTTTACAAACGATAGAAAGGTCTATAGAGCGCGGTATTCCTGCAAAGAACGAAACATTTCTTCAGATGAACGCATGAGGGCGCTGCGTGAAGTTTTAGCCCAGATTTTACAACGGGTATGAAAAGGTGGACATAAAATGGTCTCTCGGTATACAGTCTTTAGAGTGTCATTGCATTTGTGAACAGGTGCACTGCCAAGTTATTTTGCGTCTTAATTGTTGTAATGATTGATATTAAACAGTAATTGTTTCAGCCTATATGGTCATGTATAGAAAATGCAGCAAGCTGGAATACTGAACTTATAAATACATTTGATTGTTTTCAGCCTATATGGTGGTGTATTTAACGTGCAGCAAGCAGGGATGCTAACCCTTTAAATAATATCAATAATTTGCGAAGTGCAGCTCCATGTTGGGTGACAATGATTTCGGATCCTCGGTGTTGCATCCCTACACATGTCGTGACAGCAATCTTCGAGGGTTTTCGTTATTTGAATACGGTCACAATACGTGAATAAAAGGCCTACTCATGCCTATCGTAGCGCACAAAACCCTCGCCTCCCCTCTCTACAAAGGTGGTTGCTGTGAGTGCAAATTTACAGAGTCTCAGCTCTGACCACAAAATAAAAATCGGGAAAACAAGTTAAATCCTTATACAGTGTGCAGAACGAAACTCGACATTCGTAAATGCATGCATGGTGTAGTTCATAATAATGGCTTCATAAAGTGCATTGGTAATTAAAGGAACTTACATTAATTTTGCCCCTGGCAGGTTGAAAAGGAACAGGTGGAATTAAAGCCCACAATTTTCATGATACTTGCGGTGTTAGACGACGGCTTCTGAAGACGTAGAAGAGACTCGAGACCTGTCTTGCACGCAGAGCGCCCTCATCGCTGACAATGAAAGTAGATGTGAGATATTACTCATGTGTATCACAGAGGCACAGAGACACGTCCCCGCTGAGGGCGCTCTGTGCAAGGTCTCTATACAGCTTCATCAAGGTTACAAAATTGTTAGCAGAGCTCACACAACCAAATTATAACAGTCATTGGCCACGCCCCTCAGAGGGGCGTTAGCTCTTCCTCGAAGTCCTCGGTATTTTGTAAAGTGCTGCCGTTCGTAGGCTTCCCCTCCAGCCGTATTTCTCTCATGCTGCACTCGACGTCAGTGTCGTCAGCCACATCGCCTTGGTCGTAGGCCGTGTTTCGGTAGCCGATCTGGGAGGTGTTGCCGTTAACGGCTGGAGTGAGATTGTAGGTTGATACACTTCGTTTCATACTGGTGAAATAACAAAAAAATAGACAACGAAACGAAATGAAAGAGCCTCACATCTTCATCTTTAAAAATCAACTATACGAAAGAAAGTAACTATTGGAGCAACTCTGGATATTGAAACAGTGCCTTTTCATTTTGTGTGTAACAGTAACAACCTCATAATGTCTAAAAAAAAAACAAGCGCGAGTGCACAATCAGTTCTGGCCATCTTGCATGTAAGTCTTGCATGCAATCAATCAAAATGATCCCTGCCAGAGCTTACAAATGCGACGACTATGGCACATATGGAACACCACACTTTAGACTAATACCTAGATTTATAGCGATTTGTGATAAATATCACGTGACTATAACATTACTGCACATATTTTGCCTCCATTTACAAGCATTTCATAATCATCTTTCCAAATTGTTACAAACAATTTTTGTTAAGTATTTAATTTACTTTTGTTTGCTTATTGTTTTGAAAATGTAAAGTTGGTAGTTATATTTTATGGAAAACTTAGAGGGTTTATTTTGGGACCGACCGACCGACCACCATGTGACATGTAGAAACTCCTGCCAGAGCTTAAAACCATCGGCCCAGACGTTGATAGAGGGCGCCCTTCTTTTCATTGAAGCAGTGTCAACAAAATTGGGCCCGATAAACATTGTACTTACTAAATTACCTTCTACGAAATTTAGAGGGAAAAGGGCTCGTTTGTTACAGCTAAGTTAAACGATTTTGAAGTGCTTACCTTGATTTCGTAAGTACGACGATGAATATCATGATAGTCAGAAGGAAAAGAAGACCCATGAAGATCAAGATTGGGATGATATCTGTGAGGAAATACAAAGGTCACAAAACTTCAGAATTTAATAGACGAACGCCTTTTTCTTCTCATGATGATGACAATCTTCCCAAAACCAGCGGCGTAGCTACGGTACGGGGGTGGGGGGCGTGGTGGGGGACCGCATCCCCCTAAAAGGTTTGCGTCCCCAGTCGCCCCCCCCCCCCCCCCCACTGAAAATTTGGCATCCGGAGTAAAGCACAATCATATGAGTTACCATGATTAGCTGGAAGAACATATAGTCCCCTTTTCCGCGATTTTCTGCGTATTTTTCACAGCAACTCTTTTTTCTCTCTTGGAGTGGCTGTTTATTGTAACGTCCCTTGGAAAGCGAATAGCGGTTAATTATTGTGTAATGTAGCCATGATATACGTTTGGAACAGCGCCCCCACGGGAAGAAGGTGTCCAGCCCCCCCCCCCCCCCTACGGAAGGCGGGTGTCCGATGAACAAAACCTGTCTACCTTTCAGCACTGATGAAAGTTTTGGGCACCCCTCCATTGCAACCTCAAGGCCCCCCCCCCCCCCCCCACACACACGCCCCCCCCCTCCCCCCAGGATGAGAACCCTGGCTACGCCGCTACCCAAAACGTCTTATGGGATGACAGGCCCTCTGTCGATGACCGTTCCCTCGCCTTGGGATAAAAACCTCAAATATCTATCAATTAAGCCCCACCCATTTCACAGGTGGACAAAAACACGTGCGCCTCTCGACAATCGTACATGTACCATGATCGGTCAGTCATTTGAACTGAGTTCTTAACTTACAGCTTTGAGCAGAAACAGTTGGTTTTTTGGATGGGTTTGGCGACTCAGTGGTCGATGGAATGATTGTTGTTTGTCCAACCGCTGTCATAGATGGCACAGTCGTTATATTCACAGGCAGGGAGGTGCTGTCGTTATCCGAAGACCCTACAAAAATTAATGAAACATCAGAGCAACATTCTTAATTGAAAAACATTTATTACTGTTTATTAATGAACCATGTTCCTTACAGTATTGGCCTTGTTCATCTCTTAAAGCACGATTTATTCCACTCTACATTTGTTTTATATTTTTTGGAACATTTGCAATGATTTAGTAATAAAAACATCCAGGCTTTTTTTCGAATGAATGAAAACTCACCAGTTGATTCATCAGTGACTGTCATGGGGTCTGTTGCACTTTCTGTCTGATTTTCTGTGAAAAATACGAATGAAAAGGTTTTGGCGTGCAATCGTAAACGTAAAACACAAAACAAAAGAGTGCATAGCCGACTGGAGTAAAACACAAATAATTAGCTTCGCACTAAAGTTCGCCTTGGCGTTTTGGTTTTCTGCCTTTTCTATACGAGGAGCAAAGGTATGAATAGAAGAGTTTGTAAGCATATAAAAAAAAAATTGAAAATGAATTCAAACTCACCAAGAGCTTCCATATTAGACGTGAATGTTTCTGTATCATTTTCTGATAACTCAGTGGTCTGGTTTACTGTCAACGATGGAAATACAGAAGGCTTCATGAGATTCGACGGAATTCTAAGTTGAATGTTAGCATAAAAAATAACAATAATAACTCTGACTTGTTATTAAAAAAAAAAGGGAAAATGAATGCAAACTCACCAAGAGCTTCCATGGTAGGTGTGAATGTTTCTGTAGCATTTTCTGGTGATTCAGTAGTCTGGTTTACTGTCAATGGGAAAACAAAGGGTCTCATGAGATTCAACGAAAGTCTAGAATCCTAAAATCATCGAAGATAAAGGCACTCTGTATGAAAACAATAACTTGTATACAAGATTATTAAAAGTTCCACCGAGAAATGAAAGTTTGTGCACTGTTTAGACCTGACAACTTTTCCCCTTGTCTTTATAAACCAACCAATAAGTGTAATTCCTTAATTGGGTTCGGTTATTGAAAAACATTGTTGTTGCATTTTCTTCTTTAAACCATATAAAAACTTAAGTTTTAAGTGACTTTTTAAATTACCCTCTTGTGATATCGTCATGTTCTCCAACTCCGTTGCCATCTCCGTAACCCATTCCGTGTGCAGCTCTTTGAACAAAAAATACACAAAAAGCCTCACAGACACATAATATAAATAAATGGCCAACATAATATTATTCATAAGAAGGAATCTGCACTAGAAAGCAGGAGGTCGTGGGTTCGAGTCCCACCCGAGTGATTTTTTTTCCAACTTTCACTCGGGAGATAACACACTGAGTATACAGTGTTTATGCGTCGGTGAAGGGCAAAAACCTAATTTGATTGACAAAATAATATTGTTCGGTTATTTAAAAAGGTCCCAAATATAAACTCAAGAAGATACTGACTCACTTCTCATATTAAAAATCTTGTAATCATAATATTAATATCAAGAACGCATTATGTTTACCTTCTTGGAACATTGTAGCGTTCTCGATCTCCGTTATTATCTCTGTTGTCCATTCTGTCTGAGACTCTACGAGCAAATAGGTAAAAATAGGAATATGCACTTCAATTTACAAAGTTGATTTTCATTAAAACTGCAGAAGATCTGATTCGCCGTCCATAAAAAAGACCCCCCCCCCAGTGTATTTAGCTTCGCAATAAAACATTCATTGTCTGGCTGCAGTTTCACGAACGATCTTTAATAAAAATGAATAATTCTGTCCGTGTAAACCTATAACTCCCAGATGGTGATATGTAATACATAAATCGCACTGACCTGTGGTCCCGGGGGTGGTATTAATATCCAAAGACGTCATGGTTGCGTCAGTAGTGTAAGTTGTTTCCAAAGGGGATGTAGTGACTGTACTTTCTGTGGTTGCATCCGTCATGTTTCCTGTAGAAATGTTACAGTATAAAAAGCGAAAGTTGTTTTTATTTTTTGGTCCACAATTAATTTTTCATAACAGAAAGACGATGTTGACATGACATTTCCCTGTGTCAATGATTTACTATAGCAACGAAATTGCACACTTGAACAAATATAGGGATATAAAACATGCTAATGTAAGGCCAACAACTTATACGGATCTAACGTCAACTTAATTAATCTCTTAATTTAGAAGGGAAAAAAATGTACTTAAAAATAAATAGAGCCAAAAACATTTTCTTACAAAGAACAGACTGGAAGCTTGTCAAAAAATATTTCGACATATTTACTTCAGCTCAAAGCATAATTTTCAATTTATTTCCTGGTAATGTCACCTGCTCGACAATAGCAGTGGGTGTGAATACATATTTGATGAGTAAACCGATACGATATAAGACACCGTCATATACGAAATTCATGAGGTTTATACTGAGAAAGATCAAGTGCCAGACGGGTGTAGCCTCCTTCACATGGCGTCTTTGCTCTGAATCTCACAGTGACATGGTAACGTGAGAGACTAAAACTGCTGGAGAGGAGGCTAATAATAGATGCATAACTCGGGTGTTTGTCATGGAAAGAAAATGCGCCTTGAGACAGGGTGTTGCCAAGCAAATCCTTCATTCCGTCAATAATTTGACATGTAATTCCCTACATTAGATAAATTCCAGATAAATTCCAGCCGACCAGCGTTGGAAAAAAAACCACAGGTTTAAAAAAATAAAAGCCTACTGAATTGCTCCGTTTCATCTTAAGTGGGGTCAGGGAACCAGACTACAGAAACACAGTGGCGTAGCCATGGGGGGGGGGGGGGGGGGCGTGGGGGGCGTGGGGGGGGCGTGGGGGGGGGGGGGGGGGGGGGGGGGCGACAGCCCCCCCATGAAACCTTGTCGCCCCCCCCCCCAGTCGCCCCCCCCCACTGAGATTTTGAGTTTCTAAAAAAATTATCATTGATCTACACATGACGCCCCCCCCCCATGAAATGTTCCAGCCCCCCCCCCCCCCAGCGCCCCCCACTGAAAAATTCCTGGCTACGCCACTGCAGAAACATGATTGTTTTTCTTAGTTTTTCAAACATTTACGACCACATAACTTCAAACAAATCAGTGTAACAATATTTGCCTTAAAATACTTACCCCCAAATCCGTCATTTTCTGAAAATTACAGCAAAAGCAAATGTTCTATTTTCCCTTTAAGACGTATACTTTACCTGTAAAAAGTAATCAAATTCACAGTTCTATTTCAAGAATATTAAAATTTATACGTTTTCTCAGATTCCATTATGATTTCTTTAGCTGCGTGGAATTTGAAATAAATCCGCCGAAGAGATTTTATACATTGCATCTGAGACGTCCGCACTTAACTATTTTGTTTTCATCAAAACAACTGACTACGACGACCCAGTTTCATCTCTAGGATTCAATATCTCTCGATAATTTTGACGGGGCTTGGACGACGGATCCAGTTCGTCCTTCGGGACGCGGCATGAGGCCAGAGTACACACCGTCGTGAAATGGACTAGAAAAAGTGAAGTAGTTCCTACGCCTCGGGCAATTCTTATACGAAACATTTTGGAATAATAAGTAATCTAGGCCTGCGAGTGAAATATATGAAATTCCCAAGGTCCACACACGTCGATTGTTTAGTCAGCCAGAGGGTTTACACTTCCGCATCTCTTAATTAAAACTGCATGGAAAATTTAACAGCATGATCTACACTAATGAATATTTATGATCAGGTGTATCTGAACAGACACCTGTAGCTTTATGGGAATAAAGCGTCCATGTAATTATGTCTTTCAAAGAGACACTGTATTTCATCTTTGCTTTCTGAGGATTCAGGCAAATTTATCCAACTGCATCTGATGATTAACCAATCCGAGTATATATTATTTGAATACCATTCATCGTGTTTGTTAAAAAAAATAGTAATTAAAATGTACAGCTATAAATTATTCATATCTCGTTCGCATATTGCTTTGAATCTATACATGTTTTTAACAGCGCATGCATATAACTCTGCCACGCCTCAATTTTAAAAATTGTCAAATATTGGGCATTTTATTAATTTTTTTTTTAATGTTAAATGAACTGCTAATTGCTACAAGTATATAATGTATGCATTTATTTACATTAACTGGTCATGTTGTGTATATATATATATATTTCTGTTTTGAAGGGCATCAGATGTTTATCAAAGTCTCCTAAATTATAGAGAAACATCGATTTCAAAAAGAGAGAAATTGCATACCTTGTGAAGCGACAGGAAGACAGTGTAGATTTAAAAGCAGCAAGCTAAAAAGCCAGAAGAGAACATGTGAATAATCCTTTGTCATGTCCATCGTCTCAGCCATGCGCCAGTCTGGTGCTCCTCCTGATCGTCTTCTTTGCATCCTTCTCCGGTCCGTGCTACAGTCACACTGAAATCATTGACTAATTGCCTCAATGTCGGGCTCACAAGTTTAATAACGCATCAAAAATGGACGTACACAATAAACGCCAAGCATTTGACATGCATTGCAGTCGTATAGTGCGTGCACACGTCGGCCTCACTGACAGACGGACGCGGTCGTAAAAGTACAAAGAAATCATCTGCGTGGTCCACTGCGACTGCGCGGATTTATGCGAGAACGGGCACGGAGACGTCAGGGCACCAGACACAATTATCATAATTATAATATTCTGTTTTTACAAGAGCATTATTTATGCCTCGCTGTACTATGCCGGTAGACTTTTGTGTGTAGAATATTTGCCCTTTAATGCGCAATTTCGGTAGGAGTAGTTATAAAGAGATCAGATAATTCTAATGTCGGATAAGGTAAAGACAGTACAGAATATTGTGGCTTAAATTTCTAAATAGATTTCGAGAGTTTAGAAGTGAGCAGATACAAAACGAGATCTCCATTTTGTAAAATATATTTTGAAGGTCTTTCGGCTCTTTCCCCTTTCCCCCGTACTCGTCCCCGTACTCGTGATGATAATATGTGCAAATAAGCCTTAACATCACACACTTCAATAATAAGGATATATTGTTGTTTATGTGCCGAAACATACTGTTTTAAATTCTTAACAGTCAAATAACAAGGATAAGTAAATCATGTCGCTTCTAAGTGTTTGATTTGAGAATAAACCGAATATACCAACGCAAAGCATTTCAATAATAACGATACTTTCTTCATTGTGTGATATTTCAGCATTAATCCTGATCCAGAATTTATATCCAAATAAAATTCAAAATATCTCTTCAGCCTCTTAAACTTTAAAGTTCTTTGGATCGTGCTACAAATATAAATCGAACGCAATCACATCAGGAAATGAATATAAAAACAAAATGTAAGGATCAAATGATATCGAAATATACATAAATGTGATTCCCAAGTGACATTTGATCTCTTCCCCTTTAGAGGCCTATTTCCTTTCATAGATGCATTACTCTTATTGTTGTAAATAATGAAAGGTTTGCGGAAACACCATGTGCGAATAATTTCTCAACTATAAGAGAATGGTTCTGAAAAGAACCAGAGGTATAAACTCTCCTGAAGACGGTCAGAGCATACTGACCGGAACGTCGAGTTTATACCTCTGGTTCTTTTCAGAACCATTGTTTTAGTTGAGAAATTATTCGCACATGGTGTTTCCGCAAACCTTTCATTATTTAGTATCTCCACCATGCAAAGCCTCAAATCTTACTTATCTTATTGTTGTCTTCATTTTAAATTAAAAAAGATATTTCTTTTGCAGAGTACATCTAGCGAGTGCAATTATCATGTCAAAATGTCAATGCATCATACATAAGTAGCACTGTAAGTTCACTTTAAAATATATCTAACTATTTGATGTTATATATTATCTTATACAATTTAAGCTTTTGGTTAAAAAAGGAAGGGCTGGCAAGTTGTCTTCAAGTCACTTTTCTGACATATTGCCCATGCATTCGATACGCACCCACTTGCTAATTTCGAAACACAATTATCAAAAGCTAATTCCAAGAGGAACGCAGGTAATTCTACTTAATAAGTAATAAATGTTTGCGTAGTAATATAATTACATGGTGAATTATTGAATAATCATAGGCGCGTAGAGCTCGAAATGAGCTTTCCATCGATACACAAATCGTATACAAGGCTTACATTATTAAATGGTATTATACTATTTTTGTTAGGTTGCTTTATAAATACATTTGTTTTAAAATATATTCTTTTATTTATTATCGCTCTACACGAGTTGTGCAAAATATAAGGCACTGTGCAACTGACCGAACGTGTTCCAGTTAGGCAAACACATGTAGGTCCTCATCTAAAAGTAACATTATTTTGAGTAGTGTACTCCAATGGTTCTCATTATAACAGTCATCGCAGGGATGTAGTCGAGTCAATCACAAGTCCATCACAAGTTCAATCATAAGTAAATCACACGTCCAGTCACAAGAAACAGTGGATGAATTAACAAACGAATGTTTTGTCCAACTCCATTTGAGTAGCTTGTGATTTGAATTGGGACTGAACTTGCAGGGATTTGTGATGGACTTGCAGGGGTGATGGACTCGACACATCCCAGAATCTTTTAAAATTCATGTTCCATCATCAGGTGTATGTAACTGCTAAAACCATGGCCTCCCGTTTCAAGTGTACTTTGTGCTCAAAATAAGCGTGTACATAATTAGACCATAGCGATGATGTGGGACATACTGGTCTGGTCCAAATTTAAAGCACAAAGACGGTAATGGGACACTGCTCTGCTCTCAGGGAACCAGACCAAAGATAATTCAAAGTTTGGTGACTACTTCCACATATGATTCCCGCCTCGCATGATCGTAGTCTGGTTCCGGAAAGTCGGCAAAGTAAACCGATGGCCCGGTTCGCGCCTCGCCGTTGCCGGCATGATGATGCACGGGTGATGAATATTCATTAGGCACAGTTCCCGATTGGCTGGTGGTGTACGCCGGAGTAACGGGCTTTGCATATTCATGTATGCCGCCGTTATTGTTTTCTATCATGATCTCCTGTTGTGAGTACAAAGTACTGATTCTGATGGGTGACCCGGATGTTTGGCGGCCATTTTGGTTGGGCGAGTCCATTTCTTCAACTTCGTAAGCATAGTTCACCTGTGACATGTCATCAATTCTAGGAATTTGTGAAGTCTCCTGGAAATTTATCGTCTCATCTCGTTTGGCTTTCCTGCAAAATGGATGTTACAAGTATTATGTTCATTGGTATAATTTTGAAAGTTCAAGCAAAAAGGCTCACCGAATTGCAGGCGGGACACACCCACCAATTTTTTTTTTTTAACTTTCATTATCATTGATTTTAAAAAGCAATGTCTGTCCACAGTGAGGGCGCTTTGTGCAAACTCTCTATGGGGAAACAGGTGCACACAAAACAAAAATAATGGGAGGAATACGAATACACCATTATCATGTTGCGACCATCTGATTTTTTTCCCATTTACATCAACGTAACTAAAGCGAGGCTGGAAAGAAAAATAGTCTGGTTCCTTTTTGCACAAAACACATTATCATTCAGTTCTGTTAAAGAGCAAAAAAAAAAAAAGAAGAGTTTCCCGCACTCTTGTTAATTACGATGCAATCAACATAATTATCAAGTTTAATCCTATTCATACATAGTTCGCATTTTCTCCCTTATTAAAAATAAGAGTGATATGAGAAACATTCCTATAAATAAACGTGTACTATTACTTACTTTCGGCATGCAACCAGGAGAGCTATGAACAAGACGACGACAAAAAGAAACAGGGCGGTTCCCACAATGATGATCAACCACAGCATGCTTGTAGGTCCTGAAATATTAATCGAATTAGAGAGATACCCAGAAAAAATAAGCCACATTCAAATTACCACCGTCATATACAACGTCTTCAATAGAGGGATACATTGGATGAGGCCATGAAAATAACCGAAATGTGGATATCTTGCATCAACGAGTGCCAGTTATGCATGCAATATAGCCAATGCTTAATTTTCATGACAACAAATGCCACCGAAACAAATGACCCTTTGCAATTATCTCAGCTTCGATCTCTATACGCAACACGCATAATCAGGTAATCGATTAGATCTATTCAAGCATACGAGAAACAGGTGTGGTGCACGGGGCGAAGGTGTTAGTGAAACAGCGCCATCTATAGACAAATATCGGTAAGTGCTCAACGTTAACTTAAAATAGCCTTGTTGAGATATGGTGGACAAAAAGAGAGGGCGTTATTTGATTTGGGTAACTTTGGTAAAACAGAAGAATTTACTCAAACCATGAATTTAAAAAAAGACCAATAGGACGGATGCAGTGTAAAGCTTATTTCTTCTTTACATATATAAACTGAAATGACACTATTTGATAACTCATTATTTTCAAGTAAGGCGATTAATTTTGAAAGAAATAAAGGCAATATATAATTCAGACCTGTACAGTACATGACCACCCGTTTGATGTAAATTCGATTTTCTCCCACAAATGAAGCAATCCCAGTACATTTGTTGCGTCCGATTAGATCCACTTACGTTCACGGGGAAATCCGACAGGCGGCGTTAATGTTGTCATGTTCTCCCAAGGCGTCGAGGTGACATTTCCGTTCGTTACTCCTGCTTGGGAGGCGACTGTAACTTCTGTTATAAGTAACAACACATAAAGCTCTTAGATGGTGACATGACATGAAAACATAATTTAGTTTCTTATCCGTATATTTTAAGGATCTTGCAATGCTCTCATTTCCTAGTGCTTTACTACACTATTATGGAGGATGGGTCTTTTTTATTTTATTATCTATTTTGATTGATGGATTGTTCCAGCAAATTGATTTGAAATGTACAGGATAGGTGTATCACCTGTCAGCTATAAATTAGAACCACGCTAATTGTTTACAGCCAAATAAAAAAATGAAAATAAATTTAACTGTACGTCCAAGAACTTCCCCTTTCCCATCTTTATAAGTAAAAACTAAAACGAACCTCCAATTTCGAAACTCTATTAGAGGGCATTGTGTTTTGTATGGGAACCATTATGTGTCATGCATGCTACAATTGTTTTGTTGTTCTGCAACTTGACTGTTTTTCTTTGTTCTCAGATCCCTTCGAGCACAAATTAATTGCTAGGTTTGAAATGATGGAAATTGCTAGTACCTTTCGCGTCCGTAGCCATCGGCGCATTCGTTCGGTTCTGCTCCGTTGTTTCTATACAAATGGAAAATAACAGCAATATGCACCGAGAAAAAAACACATGTCAGTGGTATGGAACAACTACGACCATCGATCGTTACTTTCTGATTGATGCAAATTGATATCAGTGGGCATGTGAACATGCTATTTTTGACCAGCTTTAATAAAAATAATTATTATAATTACGGGGAATGGCACCTTAGGGGACATTCCCATATAGTTGTACACAAAATGTTTCCATCTTTAATGACCCCTAACCCAAATTTTCTTTATCCTAGCGCCACGAATTCTGGTATTTGTACTAACTGGACCATGAGCAATCAATCTAGCCTATTTGTGACTGTAAAACGTTGCCTCTAAATAGGAGCTGTGACATTAGGGAGTCCCCGATGTCTCCCTAAGGTATACCTTATGACAAAAAATGTCTCCTTAAGGGGTTCATTAACAGGAATTACATCAATAAACGCATCGCGAAACACTGCAGTCTGAAACGCAAACGGGAGCCCCAAGCATGCGCAATACACCCCTTTACAAATCCTGACCAACTGCAAGTGTTGATAGCTTATACATGCACACGTTTAAACGCTTTATACAGACTGTTCCTAAAATCTGTATCTCTGTCGTTTATTACAAAGCATTTTGAAGTCATGCTGTGTTTCACAGAATCTGCAGTTTCCCGTTTGGTTCACTTTGTCATGAAATTCGTAAACAATAATCTCAAAACTATTTATTACGACTGAGACCGGAACTAAAATATAATTTCACTTTATCCATCGATAAATCATTGTGTGATTGACAATTAAATGCAATTCAAATTAGCAGTTTCCATTCGATCGCTTAGGCTATCACAGCGATATTTTTTTCTTCCCTGAATTGGTTGAATAAATCAGGAACCGAAAGTGCGATAACCTACTTTCCGAGAGAATTAATAACAATCATGTTATTCTAATGATTTAGTTTCGATTACAATCATTGCAATTCGATTATATATAGTTTTGATTTACTTTTGGGCTGAATATTTTACTTCATAAACACGGTATGAGGAAAAATTGCACTTGTGGCGTTTCTTTTTCTAAAAAGTCTACTCCACACACTATTAGTTTTCCCCAGAAATAAAGATACAGTTGATTGAATGAATCAAATAAAAACAAAGACATGGAACAAACCTTCTGTGAAAAGAGAAGTCACTAATTCCGTTTGGACGGCTGCGGAAAAAACCCAAATCGTCGCAAATTATCATAGATTAATAAAAAAATGTGGAGGAAGTTAATTTCGAAAGCTTAAGATAATGAATAAAGTTTATCAATAATTTTACAATTAGAAACAAAGAAATTGAACGAACCTTCAGTAACCAAAGAATTCACTGTTGCCGTTGGGACAGCTGTGAAAGAAAAATCACCGAATATATCATAGATATGATCATAGGTTAAATCAAACATGTGAAAGAAATGCAAATCTCCGGGATTTTTTATCAAAGTTGTAGACAACATAAATTTCGAAGACAAAGTGGATAAATTTGACACATTAATTACCAAACAGAAACAAAGAAAATGAACCAACCTGCGGTAAAACCAGGGCTCACTATTTCCGTTTGGACTGCTGCAGTAAGTAAAAGACAAGAAATTCCCGAAAAGTATTATAAATTAAATAAGACATGTTTTTATAAGGTAAAATTCGATGACATAAAAACAATAAATAAAGCTCATACCAGGTTTCACAAATAGAAACAAAGAAAGTGAACCAACCTTCTGTAAAACCAGGACTCATTGTTTTCGTTTGGACGGCTGTGAAAGAAAAGAAATCACAGCAAATTGTCAAAATATTTCCAAATTTTATGAAAGATGTGTAAGGAAAAGTTAAGAATAGTAAACTTGTGCGGACAATTAAAAAAAAAAAAAAAAAGACCCCCCCAGAATACTTCACATACGTCTGTCTGTAGCCATTAGCGTGGTCATGCCGCTCCGTGATGTATCTTTAATTGAACAAAAAACAGGAGAAAAAAATATTGATTATATTTTCTGCACAACACGATGTAAATTGACAGTAGCGCTATAACGGACAGATTGCAATATTCATCAAAGCAATACAAAGATACCGATACAACATGTATACTCAAACCACTTATCGTCTAGTTGACTTCGACACACTCGAGTGGACGCGGTGGTACGCCTTCAACGTCTAAGAACCTTGGCTCATATGGCGACATTAAAATCTCACACTTCAAAGGTGGTGACATTTTAGATGCACGAGGGGTGAATTAGTAGAAATGATGACCGAAACAAATATGGAGAAAAACACATCCCAATCTCACCTTCAGATGTCTCTGTTACCATGGACGTCATTACTTTCGTGGATTCATTGGTTAGCTGAAATTCTGTGGTTAGCTGAATTTCTGTGAAGGTAGAAAACATGAGGAAAAATATTATTAAATTTAGGATATTACTTGGTTAATAAAATACTTTTCAGTTTAAAATCCCAAAGAAGGCCATCAATCAGTATATAAAATCTTCAATTTTACAGTAAATGCGACTTTTGTTTAAAACACCCAAAGGCGGGTCATACTTCATTCATTATTTTAAAACTTCGGAATTCATCTGTATAGATCCCATTAAAACACATTTGACGTCATTAAACTCGTTAGAATTACGCATATTAGCATGAAACGAAATCTGTCGTTCATTTGATTTGAATTACATGCGTGCAATTACGCATGCGCACGAAAGCTCGTTTGTATTTAATAACCCATTTGTTATTCCTAATCTGGGTCGTACTATTAGCACGGAAATAAGCACAACATTTTGCTAAGCACATAATGTCTGCATAGCTGCTCCATGAAATTGGGACCTATTCTCACCTTGGCACACTCCGTCAGTTTGCCACTCGCCCTCTACACAGCTGATGTTGATTGTGACGTTCGCGTCAATGCACACAAAAGCCAGTGTATCCCCTCCACGATACTCCGAACTTTCCCGAGTGCCGTTCGAGGGCCGTTCGGCAGGTCGAGTGCCATTCGGCGGCTCGGGTGCATCGCAGACGTCCGGTAGGCAAGATGGCGGCGGGAGATTCCATTGTCCAGCTGGGAGACACGTCAAGCTGCCTGGGCCGGTTGGGAAGAAACCGTCTTGGCAGGAGATATTCAAGGTCCGACCGGTCTCAAAGAAGGTTTCGTTGGCCGGCGATAACGTCGAGTTTGGGGGAGCATCAATGGGCAAACAACCTGCCAAGCAATCAAGTATTCCCCAGCTATGTTGCTGTTATTGGTTCTCATTAATTAATTATAACCATGTAATTACGATAACATATACTCCACATGGATACGAAATGACGTCAGGTTTCAATCAGGCATAGAGGAAGAAATGCACCTTGATTCCCCAATCCCCATTGCTTGAAGTTACTGCACAATTTATTGCCTTTTTTCATTGAATGTTTTAACGTGTATACTGTATGTTTATATATTTAATTTTCTGTATTGTAGGTATTTGAAATTTTATGTGCTAAGCGAGAAGGAAAATTTCATGCTGGTATGATGAATAAATTGAATTGAATTGAATTGAATTGAATTGATATACAAAACCAAAAAGATAGATGCGCCACCATAGAGCTATGTTGCTGTTATTCGTTCTCATTAATTAATTATAACCATATAATTACGATAACATACTCCACATGGATACGGTTACAAAATGACGTCAGGTTTCAATCAGGCATAGAGGAAGAAATGCACTTTTATTCCCCAATCTCCATTGCTTCACTGAGTTACTGCACATGATTATTGATCATAGAAAAACAACAAGATAGATGCGCCACCATAGAGCGCCCTCTAATGACTCATTGCTCTGTATTTTTCCCTTTCAAGTTCTTATCGATTCCAATCGAATACAAACATAAAATCGGCGACTTGCACATCAACCACAATATATTCATGCTGAGTTGTTTTGTTGTAGTATGATAATTGTAAAGCTTACCAATTTCAAAGATTCGCATCCGAAAGTCGCTTCCGCAGTTCTGCGTGCTGTCTCCGCTGCAGTTGGACCTGCACAAGTACAAGTGCTCGTTGCGTACCTCCCCGTGTATGTCGTACCTCGCCGTACGACTGCCGCAGAAGCACTGCGTACCGGCTTGGAGCCCCGCGTAAACGAAGTCTTTGCGGGCGCACAGGCCCAGACAAGTCGTGACGGACATGTTCGTAGAGCTCTGGCAGTAAGGGACGTTGCTGTTGCAGTAGTTGTTGCATAATCCCATGACGTCATTGCAAGAGGTCAGGTTTGGAAGAACCCGGTTTGTGACGGAGTCGTAGAAACAGCCGAGGAAGCGAGAATCTGTGGCAACAGAAACAAATCAAATGTCACTGTCTCAAATTTGGATTTCAGCATAACCTTTAGAAAAAGATAAATCGATCAGCGATAGTTGCATTTTGTTTTAACTAAAGATTACTTTTTTTATATTCGTAACATAATTTGAATTATAAATTGTCTGACATTGTCTGGATTATTTGGGGGTCGTCCTTGAGTGTCGGGGTTATCCTGTTTGTGTACACGTTGTTACGTATATAATTGTATGTTTTTATTGTAATTTTCATCTCCTTTTATGGAGGTTTTATTGGAAATAAAAAAAGGAAACAAAACTGCCTTTAATATGTTTGTTGGTGATGATACTCTTTTATATAATTCCAATATTTGAGATTTTAATCCTTCTACCACTGAAAGTAGGGAGCAGACGATTTGAGGTGAAACATCACGGTTAAGACATTGGATAAATCACTCTAAACGTCTTTGTCCCCAGATTCACTGATTCAGTTAGAGAGTAAAATGTTCACCCCTTGAAATAAGAGAGTATAAAAGCATCGACCATAGCTGTTGATATAGGTTTCTTTGATTTCACAAGTACAGTCGAACACCTTTATAACGAGGTCCTTGGGACTTTACGAATTACCTTGTTATAACAGGTACATTGTATAATGGAAAACAAAGAAAAACAATGAAAACCAAAGACTTCGGGCCTAAAATGTTGCTTGTTTTTGTTAGCAGAATATTGTAATAACAGTGCTCTTCTTATCAGGGTTCGACTGTATGAGCTTTCGGTTACCATTGGGTTCATAGGCTTACTCACTGTTTGCTGAATAAACTCCGAAATCACTTTTATTTTTCTTGCCGATTTTGCACAAAGACACTCTGTTCGAATTTCACAACGGAATGGAGATTCGAAGTTTAAACCAAAAATGTATGCACACAGGCACAGCATTGTATTGTATACCATTGTAACAAGATTCTTCAAACCCAGAAAACCTTTCCCAATTAAGTGAAGGCAATAAGTGAAAATTTGGAATCCTTTTACACGGACAACGATCCGACGTTGCAATAAAAATAAAAAAGTCAACCAACCATGTTAAAAACTGGGACGATTAAATTTTATTGCCCACCTACAGGAAGATGATGTGTTTTTCTATAGCAATGAATAATTCATTAGAGTTGCTAAGTAACAGCCAATACCTCTATTGTTCGTCCGGAAAATGAGAAGGTATAGTGACAGAGTTTCGCTTTGTCACGAATCCTTCTCTTGGCAACGATGCCATGCCACTGTTGACCGAGCTGGTTCTTTACACCTGAATGTAGTACAGTAGTGTGTTACATGTATTTATCATACCTATATCCAGGAATTTGTAAAGAATTAGGTTCTGCACACATAGAGTAATTACACCTGCAGCGGATTGGTAATTGGTTCAGGCTAAACGTAACAGAAGTGAATTTAAATAACAATTAGGTAACCACTGGGAATTTTAAGTTTGCATTTTAATTATATTATAAAGGTTTTAAAAAACATTATTGAGAGGGCGGGTGTATTAGTGAACAATGTGACTATTGACCGTTATCATATTGCGGCCATCTTGATTTTTTCCTTATCAAATGAACGTAACCAAAGCGAGGCTGGAAGGAAAAATAGTCTGGTTCCTTTAGGCACAAAAACCCCATTATTATTCAGTACAGTTTTTGGATACAAGGAACATGACTGAAATGGTGTAAGCATGATAAAGGTCTATAGAAGAAGCCCATTATTTTATCAGAAAAAAAGAAGAGTTGAAATTGGTCTTGATTGAAAATAATGTAATGGATATGTACCGGTACTGTTTGAAATGGATTATGTACTGTGGATAATTAATGAACGATGTAATTAATTTTGTGCACGAACAAGATAAATTCTGTCGGTTATTTCATCTGAAAATGTATCAATTATTTATTAGCTTTAACTACGAATGAGTGAATTAAATGAGATGTGGCAAAATAAATCCAGAGGAAACGTTTAATATTCTTGTGAAATTGATAATTTTAGAGTTATCTTTTCAAAGTGGTTTCATGTCTTGTTCGGAAAAACCGACATGTACATTCGTGGTAATGATCGCTCAACCTCAACAAGAACAGAATTTGGTACTCAAAAATGAGTGGGGAAAAAACCAGAAACCCTAATTTAGACGTTGAATGCGAGCAGCATTGTTAAGAAAACTCATTTTCTAGCGTCGGCTGAACGTGACTTCTTCCAGAAAGAGAAAATCAAACAGTCAACAAGGCATATATTCTTGCAAGGTCACAGGGTTCTCTTTCTCTGATTGGAGAGGCCTGATTCTGTGAAAGAGGTCCATTAGATGCAGAGTAATGCAGGCATGTCTACGTTCCCCAGATGAGACCAATTAATTACGTACTTGAATGCCTTAACCTTATTTTCTTTGGTAGAAGGATTCGGACTTATTGTGGACAAAGGTTTTAGGTGGATTATAAAACTGCCCTTAACTGCGCAATATATTGGTTCCGAAACCGAGAGAACCCGCTCCCGCTTGTCTTTTTACAAACAGGTACAATAGTTGTTTAATAGTATGCATTAATTCCATGTGCCTTTATTTTATGATATTGTATTTGTAATTGTACGGGTATGTAGTCATATATATTGTGTAATGTATGCAGGGCTCCAATTGAAACCAGTTTTATACTGTTTGGGCATGCCATGGTAAAAAAAAATGTATGCATAAAAAATGCATTGATTAGCACCATAAGAAAGTGCTGTTTCGCTTAATAAAAAAATGGTGTCACCCTTGGAACAGCGTTAAGTAACGTACATCAATGAAGCACTGTACCACACATTTTAATTGGTGCATAACAGACTTTTCAGTAGATAAAAAACAGATGAAAAAAAAGAAACGGACCATGTTTCCTACAAATTCAACGTTTACGTCCTCGGCAAGTCTCTGTAGGTCTATCATTGCTATAATATTATTGTACTTTACATGTGAAAACTCAATCAAAGAAGGATCTACTTTGTACACCCACTTCTATATTAATGAGAGATACTGACAATTAGCTGATGAATTTTGAGAGAAGAATCTTGTTGATGCACCTAAAGTGTGACTCTTTACATGATCTTTTAGTGGCCAAATAGTGTGACACTAATTTTGATATTTTAAGTCTTAATTCGCCTGTCAGATAAATTTACAAAGTGTCGTCGGAGCAGGAAAAATAATACATAACATTTACAAAGCATCACAGGAAAAGGTCTCTCTACAACGGTCTTTTGGATTTAAAGAATTATGCATTAGATTTCTGTAAAATATAACCCGATTTGGCTCGAACGGATAAAAACTACAGAATAAATTTAGCCATGCCTTTTTCGTAAGACTGACAGTAAAACACATGCCTTAATCCATTTTGCACAATGGAGTCAAAATATAAACCTCAGAGGTTTTCCACGTTGTGACTGGAAAAGGTGGTACATGTATTATAACAATACTGACCTTACAACACCTTCATAATATTCACAACCTGAGAATCGAATCTGACGGGGAAAAAACATTGTTGCAGGTGGAATACAAATTGCTGTACATCGATACTGTGCGAGTACGAAGCCACACACCAACATTATAATTAAAGAGTAATTATTTTGCTTACTATAAACATTCGACAATGACAATTTCCCCTCCGCATTGTTCGAATCTGACATATCGATTTCTTGAGGCTATAAACGGTAACTACATTACATGCGCAATCGCCCCCCAAAAACCAGGCGCCCTGCCCAACGCGGAGTAACACTACACGTTATAGGTCAATTCAAGTTGTCCTTGATGTACGCTGGGCTATTGTGCATTCAATATCTTTCTATTGACCCAAATATATGCCTTCCTTTATTTAATATTCCAGTCTCAACAACCCCGGGAATTCGATATGTTCAATGGGGCAGTCAACAGCAGTGATTGTTTCCTCCCTACTCGATACAAACTGCTCGTCGAAAGTCACTTGATAAAAATGTTGACTGGTATATCGTTGGTCCATTAATTCATGAAGGACAGTATTTATTTTACCAAAATAAATCCAGTTTAGTGGTCTTGGTTCGAGCCTGAGAGGTAGCCTAAGTCCTTGAACATCTACCACTTAAATTAAGGATTGACGTGTATATAAAATCATTCACATGTATTATCTCGATAGTCCTTAAGACAATATGTTGACATTATTTTGAAGCAACCTCATATACAGGTTTCAATTGGTTTGTTTGAATAAGTCATTCAATAATAGAAATCAACTTTCAAGATGTCACATTTTTTTTCAAAGATTAGTAAAAAAAAATAGTCTAGTTCTCTTTCTAGCGTCCCTTGATATAAAATGTCCAATCCATTTTTAAATTATTTTATAGATAGGAGAAAAGGAAAGCAATCATAAAAGTCTTATTTCTGAACACAAGAAAAATACTGGTCAATTGGAAGAAAATATTAATTCGATCAAAAACAAAATAATAACATTTCGGGGGGAAAAACCCAAACGTCACCACAAAAGCAATTCAATCACAAGCGCACTTAACTACGAAAGATAAAATTGTAACGTGGGCAGAACAGTTTGTTAATTTGTTTTTTCCTCTGTAGCCACACCTTCAAATTAAAGTAATTTGGTTTCGCAGAGGGGAGAATGTCACGTGACGAGAGTCATCACCACACGACAATAATGACAATCGTTCCTCGATGGAAACCCAAGCCGACTGCACAAATACGAAGACAGATACCAAGCAAATATGGTAAAGGATGGTTGTGTATATATAGCGCAGTGGGCTGCGATGATTCTGGGTCAATTGCGATGTTGAATCATGCTTTACCACCGACAGAATCTACTACATGTATATACCTATACAGGGTGAGTAAAAAAAAAAAGAAGGAAACCCAAATGGCATGACCATTATTTTAATAACGTTCTGCATGTAGCACTTTCAAAATCTGTAGGATATGAAAGCCCAATTATTAAGCTTTCTTTTGGTACAAGAATCATTCAAATCACGCATGTACTTATCAAGTTACGGAATTTTAAACACAACGCCGTTTTAAAGTTCTGTCCATGGAGCACCAAAAAAGGTAACTAATCTTTCAGCAAAACAAAATCAATTTACTCACCCTGCACACAAGTATGGATGCCTATACTATTATCCAAGCATTGACGCTGTGTGAATATTGTAACTTCATTTTCACCCTTCTTGGTGTTTGTGTTATTTGATGAAATATCAAATAATATTTCCATGTCATAATACAACGTCAAATTTCCCGGTGTTTTATATAATCCTGATTAATGATGTCGAAATGGTTGTATACAATTTGCAAGATTACGTCTGAAAGGGAGCTTTCAGACCTTGTCAGTCTGAGAAATGTTGAGTTCAGCAGTGCCTGCAAATTTAGACCATTTTCACATTTTTAAAAAAGCTTCCGCAGTATTTAATATAAGATGTTTTTAACATAAACATCATCAATACATTTCCAACCATTCAGAATGCCAATGTAAAAACATGCCATCACATATTTACAACACGTTTTAGAAGGAAATTATCAAAGGACTTTTCAACCGAAAGGTGAAAATTTGTATCTTGTTTACAAAATACCGCCATAGCATGTTTGGTAACATTGAAATCCTTTCATTAAATAGGCTTTGAATAAATAATCCGCTTCAAGTTGGCTGTCGAATTACAAATACATTGCAATGGCTGTGCTCAATAATATCAGTATAACCGGCCGTTTTGAATATTGCTGCTGATCATATTAATGAAACGCTAATATATTATTGAATATTGCTGCTGATCATATTAATGAAACGCTAATATATTATTGATGCACTTCGGCGTAAACATCACAAAAACGCCATAGCAAGACCACACAACGGATTAAAGTAGCGGCTGCGGAAAAGGTGTCAAGATCATATATGTCTAAATTTCATAACATAATTTTTTTAACATTTTTTTGTTGCTCCATACTTGTAAAACTGAAGCTAGCAAAACAATCAACGGCATTTAGTGAACCCCGGATCCTCTGGTTCGTGATTAATTATGGAACCGACAATATTTGTAAGGTGCCATGCTGTGACAGCAATTAACCGATCATGCGTGATGTAAGAAATGCGCACATTCATAATTAACTTATGCAAATGGCAACCAAAACGGAAGCTACAGTTACCATCTCATTGTCAAATTATACAAAAGGATTATTCAGAAAAAAGCAAAAGAAACCTCCATCACACATGTAGTTATTTTACCATGTTGAGCAGAGACATGTGTGTCTATAAAACCATTAGCTGCACTGCAAACACTCCAGTGTAAATTTAATACCGATGGTGTAAACATTTAAAACCGATAAAGATACCACCGGTGTTAAATCTAATACCACAAGTGTGACTTTAATGTTGGGTATAATCAGCACACAGGTATTAACGCCAATACCACACTAAGTACACAGTGACGATAGAACATGGAAATCAAACTGGAGATGAACGGAGTGTAATCTTACCTTGCCCATGTGTGTTACTGATGAAGATTACCATGGCAACGTGAAGAACGAACATACAGCGCCTCAACCCAGACATCGTTAGTATTCTATATCCTCCTTGCCCAAAACAACGGTAGACAAGATTTAACCTCCTCTTTTAACTTGGTGTCGTGAACAAAATCTGAACAGAAAAGAGATGGTGACAACATAGGGGAGTACAGGAACCGACTTCGTGATAATCGTCTTCTCGTGAATTCCACAGGTTGAGCTGACCTCAATCCAGAAACGCGATCGATGCATAAGAAAGCTGTACAAACATCATCCCCGAATGAAACGAACAATCTTGTAATTGTTGTCTCGTAACATGTCACATGCCGCTGCAAACCTACAGTAAAAACTGAGCGTTGTCTGTTCTGAAATTAATATGCTAAAGACCTTGATGGGATCCGTGGGTGAATGCCTCAGCGCCAAGTTTGTAGTGTGCTACACAATCCAACCCGCCTCGTTATTTAAACACAGGCAAAGGATTGTGATCAAACTCCTATTCACAACGAGTAGTTGGGGTTATATTAAAAAGCGACGTTGGAGGCGTACCGGTATATTTCTAACGTGTAGATAATGACCACTTCGTGCACACGGAGAATACTGTCCTCATACGTACACGGTCGCTATATAACACAAAAATGCCATTACATGTAGCACATCTAAAAACATAACAAGTTTTGTCAATAAAATAATTGTTACTTTAATTACGCATGTATTTTCTGACGTCTGGTTGCAGCAAATCGATAATAAAACTTAGTTTACTTGACAGAAGGAAAATAACTTCTACAGACTACCAAAAAAGGGTAAAATCAGTAGTGTTCCTGGTTTTCAAACGCGGTTTGCTTCCGTGCTTACTGGATTTCATGGAACTAGTTCCCATTTTGCATTAAGTACTACCACACCCACGTACCAACCTTTTTTTAGACTAATCTTCACAGTGACTACTAACACTAAATAACGCACCATGCATAACCCGCACAATTAGCAAACGTTCCTTGACGCGCAACAATTGAATATGTACGACAGGTCATTACCTAGGCCATTACGTCATCCTTTTTTCTTGGAATAAAGTAGTCTCTTCTGTGTTTCGAATATTAACGGCAATATGTGTTGAATGTCAAATAACCCGAATGCATTGCTTCCGACTGGAGTAGCCAATTAAAATGAAATTGGTATGTCGCCATAGAATAATGGCGGACAATACCAATTTACTATTGAAGCCCTTAGTTAAGGTAAAAGGTTAAATATCATGATTTGGTCAGGACATCGTGTACCCATAGTTCTAAATTCAGTTGACAGTTTTATTTCGTCATCTTCGATATTGACTGGGAAAAAGTTGTTGCTTGGATGTATACACAGACTAAGTAAGCAATAACATGATACAAAAAGGACAATAGGAAATAATGGATCCAATACAAACACATGACTGGAGATTGTGTTTTTGTAAACTTCATACCATAACAATTATGCTGTAGCAGCTGTGTCGCACATCATTGCTTTGTCATGCACGTACGTCGCTTGAATCCAATGCTCATTTTAATTCATTTTCAGCGTCTCTCCGCGAACATGACAAATTGGTTTTGAACAAATAACACGACAGCTCTCCCGAAAGATAAATATGCAGGATGACAGTGTTGAAAAGGGCACCACGCCTTATCCGAGAAACACATTATGCCGAATGCGGTATCATACATAGTCGCATTGTTTTGGAAAGGACGGATCATCAATTGTAGCTTCACTACATACGAATTAAAATTATACACTTGCCTTGTTGAATTCCAACGAGTCAGCATGTTTCCTAAAACGCGGTGATTCCATATAAAACCTCATATCTGCGTTCCAGTTTTATGTTTAAAGGAAATAAGCAATAATCTGAATACATTTTAAAACTAGCTTTATAATCGTGGCAATATCGCAGTAATTTCGTAGACTGTTGAGAACTTTTGTTCAAAACTAAAGCTCTCACTGTTAAAGTGAAACCTACGACTTAAATAAATTATTTGTACGACTATAAAAGTCGTAATCAAGAAAAAAAAAACGTTTTTAATCTTCCACTACTTTCACTTCGGATTCCTCACCGTAAATGTTACGCCCTAAAAATATGCAAGTGGCCGACTGTATCATAGATAATGACTGATCCAACACAGATGTGGTCGCATGTATTGAAATTTGTAGAAAAAAAGCGTCGTTGCTATTTTTTTTGCTAAAGCGACGATACAAATGAATATCCCTATAACTATTTGCTGGAAGCAGATGTTGCAGCCAAACGTGAAGTTTGTAAGGTAGGCGTTGTCTCTCAGTTTTAATCACTGGGCATGCCTATCATAGTCTGTATATATGATGCGCGTGCTATATTTGACGAAAGGCAACAGGTGTCAAGTTAATTAAATTATGCAAATCAGTTCATTGAAAGACGACACTCTTTGGGTGGGGCATTTTTTATTTGCCTGTCAGATACTGATTAAAAATGGCCGATCCTGATGTTTGGGAAAAACAAAATTGGTTTCGAAGATGAGGCAATCTTTCCATTTTCGTGACTTCGATTCCGTTCGCGTTCATGGTTTACCGTTTGTATAACGAAGACATAAAGGCCTTCCAAAGACATTATGATGTCCAAAACAAATTAATTCATGCGGTTAAAATCATTGTATACACGAATAACAATAGTCATGTATTCAATTTTCATAAATGAAATGTTTATTTTTTTCTCGTTTGTCAATACAATATTGAAATAAGAAAGATTATATCATCAAAATTACTGTCATACCTTCCGATTAAATACTTTACTTATACCACCAACAGCTAAATACATGAATTTGAACTGCTACATATAAAACTCTGCCATACCTTCGCGTATTCAGATGTACAAAAATGTAAACTGCTTTTAATAATCGGAGTCGAATTCTGTGACAATTACTGCATAATTATAATTGTATCAATATTCAATATAATTCGTAATTAATAAAACTCGGATATATATGTATAGTTTCAGGCTCATCCATGAAATACTGTTTACAGATAATACAATGAAGAGAATGATACACTCTGATCCGACTACGAAAACAAACATCAATCACATTTTTTTAACAATAGCGATTTTCAACAAAATTAAGAAATATATGAAGTGTATACATATTATTTTTTATATGTACATGTATGTACACGTGCATTGAACACAAAGAGCATGTTTATTATGACGAAGCTAAATCCTTCAAGAAAACTTTACTTATACTCTAAGAAATGTACAACTGTTTTGAATATTTGTTGTTTAAGGTTTTGATAAGTACATTTGAAGTTGCAATTAAGATTTTGGCCGCTACATTTACATTTTGATGAAAGTGTTTTCGTTCGAAATGTAAATAAAGGAAAACTTTTAACAATACAAAAATCCAATATCTGACAATAAGTAACTCCTTCGAAACTCACCAAAAAAACCCTCACAATACGTTACAACGAAATTATTTCAAATAATTAAAATAAACAATTTCGCATATATAAGCATTTTTTGTATACAAGCAAAACATTTAACAAACCAAGTATTCAAACATTCAGTGTTTCATAATTATGGGCAGTGGTCGCTTTATAAAGGAAATGAGTCTGGAACATTAAAGTCATGGACAAGATCGTCGCTGAACTTCAAAGTCCGAGTACACAGCAAAAGTAAAGGAATCAGGCGGGAACTCATCTATTGATTTGTGACAATGCACATCTTTTCCATGTATTTTCCATGTTTTCATTTTCACTAGCTTCACTGGGACGTGAGACTTTTGAATACTATTCTCATGATTGGCAGTACTCATCATTTAATTCTTACATTTAATCACAACTCTCTCATTTTCGCTGATTTAAGATATTCATCTATGTTGATGCTTTTTGAAACGTATGATATGATTGTCCACAAAATCCACTCATTAATCTAAAGTCTTGTAGCGGATGATTTGGCAGGGTCAGCGAAGAAGGAGTTTCCGGAAACCTCGGAATTGAGTGTTTCTCTCGAGTCACTCTTCCGACTTTTGTCGATCTGGGCGTAGATAGCTGCGGAGAGGGCATTCGGTTCAACACTCGTGTTGTCCTCGTTAGACTCGCCATCATCTTCATCGTCAAATTCTGTGCGCTGGTACAGGGAACTCGGGCGGCTCCATCCGACCAGATCTTTGGTGCCTGTGCCGTTCTTCTTAGCCCGGCGGTTACCGGTGGCGTAGGCGGCACCAGGGTCTTCAGAGGACACACCCCGCTTGGGATAGGGCCGATCGGTCGTGGCGGAGTACCGCTTGGTGTACCCGGTGTTCCCATCAGGTGTATCTGTCGAGGGAGATTGTTCATTGTCCGGTAAAGCTGCCTCTGCATTGAGGTAGATGGGGCTTGGTGGGTCATCAGGTGACAGCGGTTCAGTCTCATTCACGTGTCCGTACACAGAAACATGAGCTGCCTCACCATTCAGATAGATGGGTTCCTCTGAGAACGTAGACATTCGGGAGTTGTAGACGTTGGCTGGAGGTGGGGAGGATGATTTGCCATTGGCGGAGCTGGAGAGGATGTCCGGCATTTCAACTTTGGCATCTGCGTCGTCCCCGGCAACGAAGCCGGTGTTGATGAAAGTCACCGGTGCTGGCTCGGGCTTCAGTGAGATGTCTTGACCAGCATTTCCAGACCTCCTCCTGTCGAAAACAAACCAAGGAGTACAATATTAACGATACTCAATTAACCATATTTTACAGAATGAAACAAAATTTACCCTAACTGGGCAAATATGGGACTATAAACTTTGTTAAACCCGGACACTTTTTGGGAAGAGGTTAAAAAGACATGGTGAAGCATGGCGCTGATTTTTTTTTTTTTTTTTTTTTTTTACCGAAGTTCGACTTTTTTATTTTTTAAAACAAACGTGTATTCTAAATAGGCCTATCTCAATTGGACTATCATTTATCTAACATTGGCTATAAATTATGACTTTTGTGATATTGGGCATTATTTTGCCCAGGAAAGTCCGCTGTTAAGAAGACATATGGTTTATGCATTCAAATCTCTCTTATTATTATGGGGATGGAATTTTATATTTCATTTATGCTTCCTTGTAGACTGTCCTTTTTCATATACTCGTTTTTTTCACATTTTTTTGTCGAATTTCTTTTGAAACTTCAACAGGTCAATTTCCGTGGACAACCAGTTACTTTGCACAAAGACCGCGCAGGTCGCAATGCATTTTGGATCTCATCAGTCAGAACGGACCCGCAGTGGAGCGAAAAACCCTCAAAGAAACTTCCGACAAAACCTGAAAATATCACAGCCTTGGAAAATATTTACTCTGTGGGTTCATTTGAAATCGAGCGTTCTCTTTTTTTGGATCATACAAAAGTTCCTTTCAATCTTGCATCGGGGAAAAAAAAAATCGTTTTTGTAAAGGAGTCTGGTGAAAGTAAAGGCTTGTTCGAATAGTTTATGCATGTCTGAGCGAGTAATACACACTCCACACAGTATTACAAAATGCAATTTTTCACCAACACTTCCGCATTCTTTCACACACAAAATTGATTAAATAAAATTATTGGGCACCTTCACTAAGAATATATTGATAGTTATAGTTTATTGACAGTAATAAAGTCAATAGGCTTCCTTCTGGTTATACCACATGATATTATCGAAATTAATTTAGACTTATTAGTGGAGAACTAACCTTCCCAACTCTATCAAAATTCACCCCCTCTTTTAGGGGATTTTGGAAGATAAGCCATTATGTACCAAGTCCATCAAATTATACAAGTGGTGGATTTCAACGGATTTGGCACTATGTGAAGCAGAGTCAGTGATGGATTTTGACGGACTCGGTCCTCTACTCAGTAATAACTAAGTAGGGAGTTTTAAAGCGGAATATTTACACACTTTTAAATTAAGATAAACATATTTCCAGGTTTTAGGCAATTTAATTGCTACATTATTAAGGTCTCCTTACCTTCTTCCACAAACACATATTCCGACCAAACACACCACCAGGATTAGGAGAAGTAGCGCCGAGCCACCGATAATGTAAGGCAGAAAATCTAATAAGGAAAACAATTTTTATGGAAATTAGAAACAGTGTCTCTTGAATAACTTCCTGTAAATTACAAATCAATATTAAAATAAGAGTGGAATACAGTTATAGTTCAAAATATATATAAAGTTGGACGATAGTGAAAATCCAGCCCAGTCAGTCTCTTCTTTCAACTTTATAACTCTTATGCATGCACCTATAGTCATTTTCCCTTTTTAATTAATTCTGGTAATTGTTTCCTGGATTATGAAATACAGTTCATAGTCAATTGTAACTTAAGAAAAGAAAAACTTTGTTTTTATTGCATTTAGCAATGAAATCATTTAATATCGGATTTCAAAGTCACAAGTGGAAAGAATCACCAATGTAATGTTGCCAGATAAGGAAGGCAAACGGCTAAAACTCCTTCACAAAAACTGGGTTCTACAAGAAACTATAAAGTGATTGCAAACATCTATGTAAGTGAACAGTGAACTTTGGCCTGCCACAACAAAAAAGGCGCGTAAGTAATGCCCCTCAAAAAAACATGTAAAAGGTATTGGTATGCCACGTGATCAAGCACATGTTTGATGATCAGGTGGTCATACCGTTAGACCTTAATTACGACATTAAATGGTAACCCTCCCAGGGCTGCTGTCAGAGGGCATTTACAATACCCCACAATTTATGATTCCTTACAGTGAGTTTTACAAAAGTATCGTACATTGTATTTGCAAATACAAATCACACTTATAGCCAAAATACAATGTATTAGTTTGCCAGAACTGCGGTATAGAGAAAACTCAAACAAATTAAACTAAGTCATGTGAACAAACACACCGACAAAGAAAAGACTAAAAGGTGCTAAAATGGAGCTGTGCCAAAGGAAAAGATTTTATTATAGAGATTATGACTTCTCAGATTTGTAATCTTACCGGTAATGGTCGTAAGCGGCTTTGCTGCTGTTGTTGTTTGAATAGTGGTCAGATTTTGCATCGTCGTTACAGATTCTGTAGTGGGCTCTGGAAGTGCAAAGAGAAAATACATGTAAATACCTTATTACGTGTATAAGAATACAAATGTGGGAACATTTCATGGGGCAGTTCCGTTCATGTTACTTGGAAATGTAACGCTGTTGGATCATCAACATTTTTAATTCTTAAGAAGCTTAATATTATATCTTGGTGTTTTTCCAGGAGCCTAAAACTTCATAAGCTTTCTCCAGAGGGTCGAATCCCACTCAGGTGCACATGTAGTTGGGGGTGTCTTATTCCTTACCTGTTTTCCACAGGTACCCAACTTGAAGAAATTATTTTCCTGAGGTTTTCAACCTCTAAAGCGTAACATTTCCATAATGTCTTCTCTCTACAAGTTCCCATAGGTTTGCGAGCTACAGTGCCATGGGGGCTTCTGAGGAGTCATCGAATTTATATCGGATTTTTTTTTAAAGAAAGCAGGGAATCGAACCCATGACCTGCCACTAAGATGCCTTCCAATCAACCCAGGTTTGTTGCTAAATGTTCCCTGCAGAGCAAAGACAGGGGATGTCATTTCTGCTGGTCCCAGAGGGCCAGCCTAATGCCGCTTCTTGACTGAGTGTCACTCGTGGCTAGGACTGGCTGTAGGCTGACGAAGAGAACCTGGCAGTGCTATCGTATAGGATAACCCTTAATGTGGCCCATTGTGAAGCCCAGATGCATAAGAAAAGTTGCAATGAATAGCCATTCTGAATCAATGGAATAAACTTGTGTACGCCCTGTATGGTCTGGTGTCCTCTTGATAATAATCTCACTAACTGGCACTTGTTTCTTAGACCCGGACCAGTTTACCTGGCTTGTCTAATCCTTTTCTTTTCTTTTCCACGTGTTTGCCATTCTAATGTGCTTACCTTCTATGACGCCCGTGTAGTTGCAGATTGGGCGCATGTTGGGCTGCCAGCTTCTATCAGGCTGACATGTGACTTGTGCATCGCCAATAATTCTGTGCAATGGCTGGCAGAGGTAACTGAGTGTTACTCCAGCTGGTAGATTGTCGAAGTGCGATATATAGGAGTTCCTGACAAAACCAGGATGGAAGCAGTCTGATCCTGGCACAGGATCTGAGAAAGAAACAAAAGAATTATATTTTGAAACTGAGGAACTTTGATATAAAGCACATGTAAAAGAAAACAATGCAGAAAGAGATAGTAACAAAATTGTGTTAAGGAATGTAATTGTTTAACAAATTCGATTTCCGGGTTGTTTAGCCCCCCCCCCCCCCGCAAAAACAAAATCCTAAGAAATTAGTTCTCGCAGAAAGTTCTGTCAAAAATTTCAGAAAGCACAAGTATAATGAATTATTTTCAAAATAAGTGACGATATACGAACCTTGGAATTCATAGACTTGCATCTGGAACTCTCCACCGCAGGTTGTGTTGTTGTCTCCAGTGCAAGGATGAGAACAGCTTCCTGATGGTACGCCTGCAGCACTTCCATAATGAAACGGGTCCGAGAGGGCGCCTCCACAGAAGCACTGATTTCCTGCCTCCAAGGCGTAATACCGAAGGTTTCTCCTCCTACAAATATCCCGGCAGAGGTCAATAGTCATCATATCCATACTTTCGCAATACCGATGCTCTTTTCCACAGGACAAATGACACACGTCGCTGACTTCGTCACATGTTATCAGGTCTGATAATGCCCGTTGGTGATTGTCGAAATAACAGCCATGATAAGTATCTGAAAAACACAAGCGAATGAATAAGTAAGATAACACTGTTTTGGCTCATGAAAAGCCCAGAAACCTAAAAGAGGCTTCTCCTTGTAAATGTTTTAATGCCGCAGACGTTCACAGGTCTAAGTTCCTGAGGTTATGAATTCGACGATGCAAATTCCTAAAAGTACTAAAAATGAAGTTGCAGGCTTTAGGCTTTTTGCCCTTGGAGGAGCACATTCTGTCATTCAAAAACTGAAAACGAAAATGAAACTAAGATCAGTGTTGAGTTGGAGATGACAAAATACTGTATTTGCTTTGATATTCATAATCCTGGCCTGTTAATAGCTTTTGGTGTCAAAAAGTGAAGGTTTTACCATTAACTTCCACCTTCCGTGAAAACGTATACAAAACTGTAGTTGGTAGCTATAAACTAATAATTTAAGGTGACCTATGTGCTCCTAATTAATTCTGAAAACGTATAGTTGGGTACAGTTGCCTTAGATGCACTATTAATTTAAGGTGACCATATAATGTGCTTCTAATTAATTCTGTCAAAACAGTTTGGTCACTATGATTGCTCTAAAATTAGTTGACATTTTTGTACCAATGCATTGTTGATCAGTGTTTTACATTTACACAGACCTGCGTGCCTATGCAGCTTAGTCCTATACAAAAAATCAATCAGTTTTCCCACAATAGTCTGCAAGAATTGAAAGGCCAGACTTTGAAATTCAAATCCAATAATAAAAAGGTCAGCATTCCACAGCCCTGAGGAGTGGAAAACGAAGAGACTTTCATTGTATAAGTTAACTATAATTCATATATGTATTCCTTTTTATGGCGAAGCACTCCGTCGCCTTGAATTGTTTCGGTAGTAAGTTGTTTTCACCAAAGTCTTGATCAACAACGGAATTCTAGATGTGATTTCATGTTTGATTGACCAAGCTGAGATACATTGAATCGTTTTGGTTTGATGAGCACAACTGTGGGTGTGTCTAAACCTCCCTTTTTAGTACGAGCCAAGGTTGAGTCATCAACATTTGAAAGGATGTCCCCACTGAAGGCCAACCTTCAAAGTTTTCTCGAAAAAATTCGGACACAATTTTGTTTTATCACGTCACAGGAGGGTGTTAATTTTACTCAACCACAATTGATGGAAAACATTGTTTTGGTGTGGACTTCATTATTTTCAAAGTACACTGTACACATTTATAAAGCAACATGCACATATTTCATGGGCGTCAAAAACAACGTTGAAAATACCAAAACAATTCAATCACAATCACGAGTTTCGTCAATAAGTTTGGTAAGACTAAAATTATCCACAATTTACCTGTAATTATACCTATGACATATATACACTATCATAATATCTGGAATCGTAACTAGTAAACTGGCTCTAACGCATTTAGAAAATGATAATTATTAAAAAGTCAAGCAGTCACGTCAACTAAAAATATGGACCCTGTGGAAATATTAAGCCACTTTTAATATAGTGAAATAAACATAAATTTCATTGTTATCAGTATAAAAAACGTGTTATAAATAATAAGGCGGAACTGAAGAATTCCAACTTAAATTTCCTCGACACTTGATGACAGCCATCTAATTATATCATGAAGAAAAGTCATGTCATTTCATGTAAAAAAAGGCATCGTCCACGCTGCATGTGAAAAACATTTTATGATTTAATTAACAAGCACCTGTAAAATAGAAAGTCTTAACCATTTACGACAGGAACATTTCTATCTTACCTGTTGGGTCTTGGCTGAAACCTGATTGGAAACAGCAGCAAAGCAGAACCGCTACCAAAGTGTGTACATCCACTCTCCACTTCATTATTATTACTGCAGACAGTTACAATTCGTTCCAACAAATTCCTCTCAGAGGGCACACGGGTGAAAATCAGTTGATCCTCAGGTTATATTCCTCACACTCCTTCCTATGAGTATGCCGGTACCAATTCGTAAGGTTTACGGGTTATTCAGCTGAAACTGGCGTTCCTTTCTCTTAAGTTATGCAAGGTTTCGATGACATTTCCGTCGACATAACCACTTGTTGACACTATCAAGTTCTCTTGACTGTGTGCGCTATGGTACGTGATATATTAAGCTCTCGTGGATAACGACCATGGGTGTACACATTATATACGCCATAATAGCCAAGGCTACGTCACTACACTTTTTGGTTCAGTGGTTTGCGGGAAAGATTAGATAATTTGAATGTGAATGGTGCTCATTTGAATATCCTTTTGACACCCACAGGGGCGTAAAAAGGGCTACATATTTTGGCGTCGGGGTAAGAGTTTGGTAAATAGGCAACAAAAAGCGAGGGAGAAAGGGGCAGCCTTGGTTTGGTACAAAAGCGGGGCCCGGGAGTTACCCATATTTGGGAGTGACTCAGCCATCCGTCACCACAAATTTCAAAAGTATTATCTAGAATCATAGAAGTATGATGATGCATGCAGGCAACAAGAGCTTCAAAGAAAGCCATTTGCACAATCCAAACGAAAGGATTTTTTTGGATTTTTTTTTTTACCGCACACACACTGTGCCGTCACAGGAGTGCTACGTTTGTGTATTTTATTGCACACAGTGTAGGGGCGGATGAATAATACTTTGTTCTTTTAGAATTTGGTAAAATAAGGAGAATATCTCTTTGCGCCGTCTTTTATAGTTCAAGTTCACATTCAACTCTAAAGCACAAAAACGTTTTCACCGGATGTATTCCACCCACTGATCTCTATATAAAGATCAGTGATTCCACCCATCATGATATCTTTTATTGAATTGGTTTAGTCTAGTATTGGGTCAGATTTGGACCTCGAACGCAGAAACACACGCAAAACAAAATCAGGCCAACTTTACTCACTCTGTAGCCAACAAAATGCTCCAAAATTTCACGAGGCAAAGACAAGGTCCTCAGTATTTTACCAGTCAATGTTGAGGTCTCCATTCAAATGTTAAAGGAGACTTTTCTTCAACAGTTTGCACCTGATAGTAAAGCCAAGCGATTTCAATGTGAAGCTCAGACTATAGATTGCCACATGTCCAACTTTTTATAGTTGAAGACTTGAAGTTGAAGTTCACATTCAAATTTTAAGCACGGTCGTTGAATACAAAACATTTTCATCGGATGCATTCCACCCCCATCGTCATAGATAGTATTATTTTTTATTTTTGGTGTCGATGCCAACCGTTCCTCTGCAAGTTTAAACTGAACGGAAGATAAACTTTTGTCTTTTCACACAATTCACACTACATGTACATGTATTAAGTATTGACACTTTTTTTTGCGAGGTCAACTAATTTTTTTGGGGGGGAACCTGGCTCAAACATTGTACATTTAGCGATGAAGGTGCGCCCGTAAAGACGCAAAGCGTGTTTTTTTGCTACTTTGGTACATCGTCATTTAGTTTCAGACGGTGTCCTTCCTCCCTACCGATTTTGGACTTTCCAACTCTTTTATAAGAAGTTCATCGACAAAAATTATCGTCTTTTACTTTAAAATGCTGGCTATAAGTTTGTTTGAAATTGATTGTACATCGTGGATACGAAAAGAGTTGCAGGAGCTTAAGAAGTTTTATTAGTTGCTAAGTAACAAGGAAAATATGTCAGCCATTCGTCAACCCACCCGTGTGTTAGGGAATGCCAATGTACAATCGTCATAGGTCTTATAATTCTGTAACAACTCCAACTGCATTTTTAATTGCATTTTTCCAACCGGAACTTGTTAGATTACGCAGAACTGACGCACGGACTCACAACAAAGGTATCTAAAATATGTGAACTTGCCTACGGATATTTGGTATTGATACTTAAAATGTGAATTGTTCACCACTTTCACTTTTGTAAAACCCACGATAGCACCTGCTAACCGTGCTTAGTCCGATACCTCGTTCGAGCCCGGAAGGACAGTGGGATTACCAGTGCTCCAAAAAGTACCGAACCGAAAAAAAGGCTTATTATTGCATTTTCACCGCAGTGTGGCATACGTGCAAAAAATACCTTTTAGCACTGGGGTGACGATATAAAGCGGGTAGTTGACAGAGTATATAGTTAGCGACCTGCACGTGACGTACGATACGATCCAATAACTGACACGGATTATTGTGAAAGCCGGAAAATATAGTCATTTCCCCTCATTTGGCGACTGGATTTTAACGGCATCGGTGAAATCAGTTTCTCAGACCACTTTTTGGGGGAATATTTCGACTCGGAAACAGCAGATATGGAGCGGGAAATTGGTAAAAGGGTTGTGGTTGCGGCTGTGGTTTGTTTTCTACTTCCGCTGGGATTTTGTCAAAATTCAGGTGAGTGCAAGTTAATATGTAGGTTTTTGCGGGTAATTTTGCCTTTTCATTTTGGACTAACAGATTGAAAAGCAATATTTTTAAACAAATAACGCCATTTTACTGCACCACGCACACCCTGGTGCAGGATTAAAGTAGATTAAAGAATGAAATGACATGGTGAAAACTGAAAACATAATTGAGTTTCATTAAACAAATCTGATAACGTCCATTGTGTTATCATGGATTTTTTTTTGAGTGGCTAATTAATACCGAGCGAGTCTTTTATCGAGATAAAGATTATTTCAATTCCAAGATTGAACTATGACTGATTTTAAGGGTTCAAATCTTAAATTGTCAATGCTTCAACAGTTAGTATCGTTTTTATCTTATTAAGAACGACCCCCAATTCAGATTTGCGGATTTGAACGACTGTTGTGCCAACCAAATAAGAACATTACGTTTTGTAACACAATGGACAAGTGGAGCATTTCACTTTTTACTTCTGAAAACAAAGTTTCGATTCCTATGGAAAAGTTGCGTTAAACGGAAGTTGTCATAATTAAGTTTCGGTTGGCCGGGACGGTGAAGGAAAGATTGGGGTTTCTGTATCATTTCGTTCCTAAAAGCATCGAAAATGGTGTTCATTACATTTTATTCAAGAGCAAGTAAATTATGGAGCCCTTATGACTCCCTTCCAAAACTAAACCTATCAAGAGTTTGTTCACTCATTGGCTTATACCATGCCGAAAATTATAGTAGAATATGCGTGATTCCAAAATTGCATTTACTTCATACTGATTATTTCTTCTTCATGGAATGGCCGTAGCTTTCTCACCGTTTTTATTATTATTGAATACTGTGCTGACCCATGAACAAGCAGCTTTTCAGGGGCTTCAATATTCAAGTCCGATTCATAACTTTTTCCCGATGAATACTGCAATCACACCTTTAGAATTCTGTAACCTCCGGTCGCAAGGCCTGAACTCAAGAGACAGAATGTAAGAACAAGACAATGACCAATAAAAGGAATTTGAAGAACGGTAGCAACGATCCACACCTGACTAAACTATCAAAACATCGCTTTACCTTGAAACGTGATTCCCAAACCATGCGTTTTTGTATAGAAAGGAGAGTTACATGCATTAAAATAAACTGACAACGATAACACGTTTCCCTTTTGACATGGTTACATATTTTTATAAAAGATGATAACATGTTGATAACCGTTATCATTTTTTTGTTTTGAGAAAAGAAAAATGTGTATGTTGTGTCTCACGATCAGACAACTCACAAACATTGAGAAAACCCCCCCAAAATATAATTTTCTTTCAAAATACGGGAATGATTTATAATCACAAACACTTAATTCATGCTCTCCATTCAAGAATGGACGGTATAAAAAAACCACAAATCTACAGTGTCACAAAATCCGCTGCTATATAAGAACCCCATTAATGGCAAGCTATTTTTCACTGAAATTGTTCAATGTTATATGCCTTTAAAATTGTTTTCCGTGGCGGCTGATAATCACGACATTGAAGCAGGTGGGGCAACATTTTGTTAGAGGGGACTCCCTCCGTAAGCGGCGATGAGTCACGCGCTGCTTGCGTCATTCCATTGGGGGAGCGAAGGTGTGCCTTATTTGTGCTCGCTGTAGCGAATAAAAATACGCAGAAAACACTTGAAATTGCCGATATAGGGTTGATTTCGTTAAGTTGTCGTAAACACAAGTTTAAGCGTTGAAAGGAATTGGTCAGGCTTAAATTTAGTTAAATTAGTTTTCGGAATCACTTGCCGTACTGTTGAATATTCTTAATTGTGAAATTATTTTCATTTTGGACGCTTGTATTTTACCCCTCCCCACTCCTCCCCAGCCCTTGAAACTTGCAACAGTTCGTTTCAAGAATAAGAATGCTTAGAAAAGAAATTGAAATTGCTGAATTTTTTTTAAACGATTGATACGGGTTTTTTTTTTTTTTTTTTTTTTATAAAAAAGTGAATTTCACAACTGCATGATAATATTTTTGGGGGAAGGTATATTCACAGACTGTCCCTACGATCGCGGATACACACACAATGGACAATGCATGGTTCACTTGGGCCAACACAATCAACAAACTTTTATATTCATTTTGGATGAATGCATTTTGCGTATGGGCCACTAGCCCTTTGGTAACACTCACAACTTCATTGTGTTCAAGTGACCTTTATTTTTTGCCAGTGAAGAGACCAGGATCACAATAATTCTTATATTTTATTACGCATGTACTTTTCTTAAGTCCATACACTTCAAGCTTTAACACCACACGGAAGTCCTCGTTTCGAATAATCCTCTTTTCGAAAACATCTTTCGAAGAGAAAGTTTTAATCCGCATTTGACCGGATATACCACACAAGAATAACGAATTATTTTCAGTGGGTTCCCTTGACAAAATATGGGAAAAGACATTAAGGGATGGAAGAGGTGACAAGTCTGTTCCCCATGCAGAACAAATACCAGTCATCGTACTTGGACCAAGAAGAAGGTTCTCATGAGTTTAATTTCCCCTCATGTGTCAGTCAACGATATTATTGGTGACATTAAACGTTACATTTTAAATGACAGTATCTGTGACTTGACAATAGTCTTGGAGACATACTGGGACATCAGGTGACATTATCTGTGACATGGCGGGAACATCAGGTGACGGTGTCCTTGACTTGACAAATAGCCTCGTTGACATACGGGGGCGTCATGTGACTATCTGTGACAATTGACAGTAGCCTTGGTGACATACGGGACATCAGGTGACATCATCCGTGACTTGGCAACAGTCTTTAATGAAATAATCTGCGACATCAGGTGACATTATCCGTGACTTTATTATCCGTGACTTTATGAAATAATCTGCGACATTAGGTGACAATACCCGTGCTTAGACAATGACCCTAGTGATATCATCTGTGACTTGGTAACATTTTCTGTTCCAGATGACGTTTACAAGGGTTGTTACCTCGATGGTGATGGTGAGGAGACACCCCGTGTCTTGACAGACCTCATCTTATGCGATGACATGGGAAACGTGTGTCAGACCTCCTGTGGATCAGAGCAAAGATACTGCGAGAGCGGCGAGATGACTATCCAACTTTGTCAATCACTCTGCAGAGCAAAAAACTTCCAGTACTATGGCCTAGAAGGTGGCAACCAGTGTTTCTGTGGAGGTGCCTTCGCAAAACCATTCGTGTATGGATTTGAACTGGACAACATGCTTTTGAACTGCTCAGATCCTTGCACTGGTGATAACAGCCAGACCTGTGGCGGGGAATTCCGAATCAAGCTTTATGAATTTGAAGGTAAGAGAATTATGGCAGAGACTAACTGAACGTCCCCCTCTTAACATTTTACGGATTTTATGTAAAGTCTGAGGAGCCTCCGTAGGAAATGGTAAATATCAGGCAGAATTAGAGCGCATGCATGGCCTATATGATCCTAAGAGGGCGGTATACAGTTTTAATATTGTGTGATTATCAACGTTGATTTATTCACAGAACCCTTGGAGAATCCTGGTTGTTTCTTCCCTGGAGCGGTCCCTAATGCCATAGTGACGGATGTAGGTGTCGGAGTTGGTGAAACACTGTCTTTCACATGTGAGCCTGGGTTCGAGCTGGTAGGGGATTCTACATTGACGTGTATCACCAATCGCACGTGGTCATCAGATAAACTGCCCATCTGTAATTATACGGGCGTGTTTCCAGGTAGGAATATATTCACTGTTCTCAAGAGTTTGTTTACTTAATTTGATATTACACAAGACAAGGCAAGAATACACTGCTAAAAGGTTGGATAAAACATTGTTGGGCAATGTAGTTTACCAAGCATTGGTATGAAATTACCTCATATTGGGTTGAATTGGATAACAACTGTCAAACTATTGGGAAGAATTTGCCCAAGAGTGTAGGCAGTTGATAATTCGACCAACATTGGTCGATATTCATGATCAACCCATTTTGCCCAACTTGTTTTACAGTGTAGTAAAGGCGGTCCCAGAGCGCTCAAAATGTCTATTCAATTGATTCAGATTCAGAATTGCATATTCAATGGAAGCTTCGTTTCATGCATTTGTGTTTCCCAATTGGGCCGGATTTAGCCCATTTGGCGTCACAGGGTCATCCCATACGATAGCACTGCCCGGTTCCAAAGAGGCAGTGTGTCAGCCAGTCAGTCGGTCATTCAGTCAGTGAGGTGCATAGAGGACACATAGGTTGGCCCACTGGCACCAGCCAAAATATGAGTCTTGTGGGGACTTTAAAAGTCTTTTTGTTTTCTCTCGTGGTACTTATCTTTCTTGGTGGAGAGAAAATAAAATCATATCGAAATTGTATTTAAGAAAAAAAGAACTGTTGAACGTGATAAGAAAAACCTTTTGTTTATGCTTTGGTAAATAATTATTCTATCTGTCTTGGTAAAAAAGTGATTAATTTGATGTTTCGTTAAATAATACAGAACCCACAACTGAACTGCCAACCACAACTGAACTGCCAACCACAACTAAACTGCCAACCACAACAGCATCAGCAACCACTACAGAGGAACCCACAACTGAAAAGCCATCCACGACGCTGTTATTAGGTAACACTTTACCTTTAATCAAATAGTGTTTATTACGTTTATTTCCGAGTTGTTTATCCTCTATATTTGATTTAAAATTTGTCATTTTCACTGATACTTGAATGCGATAGATGACATGCTCCCAGAGCAAATAAGACACATAGGTAAATCTTTTCAAAAGTTTAAAAGATTTTAAACTTTACAGGTGCAAGGATGCTTATAAATTATTTGTTCGATCAACAGAAACTACCAGTTCAGATGTTACCACAGCCAAACCTCAAACTACCAGTTCAGATGTTACTACGGTCAATCAGCAAACTACCAGTTCATATACGAACAAGCCCGACCCTACCACCAAGCAGGAAACTCCTAAAACCACCGTGAAAGTTGTCCCAACTAAGCCCCAAACATCCATAACAGGTGCGTTGTAAATAAATTCGTCCAAAACCCAACCTGTTTGAATTACACACGAAATTAAAACTGATTATTGAACATCCTTAAAAACCAAAACATAAGAAACCTCAAATGAGCCATTATGAGCCAACGATTTGTGGGAAGAGACAGTGAAACCTTTACTACAAAAAGATTGTCAAAAGACTGTCAAAATGTCAATTTGGTTTTCATCAGAAAAAATTTAAACTTACGTAAAAAACCCAGGATTGACGTCTGTTTAATTGTAACTGCAAAATTCGCTCAAAAACTATGGCCTACTGAAAACACGCGGCAAAGACCACACATTGAAGGTAAAAGCAGAAGTACGATTTTCACCCCTTACCTGTTTTCCCCCAAATAGATTACCTGCCGTACATCATCGGTGGGGCAGCAGGACTCCTCCTCCTTCTGGTAATCGTCATGATCGCCGCCCTTACCTGTAAACTAAGGTAAGATACGCCAATAAGTTGTTGGAATCTTTCAACGCTATCTGCTCCGTTCACAAGTACCCCCTCACCGGCTAAGGAAGGGGGTGACCGACCGACGCCATCTTGCCTGACAGCAACTCATTTGCTGCGAAGCGCGGCCACTGCGTGTACATAGTACAAATCTCCTGGTGTACGTGCGTCACACACAAGGAACGGTGCGCGTCAACCAGCGAAATGTCCCGCCCATGGGACGTCGTTGCTAGGTAAAAGGGCGCCCTCTTTCGTCGGCGCACGGAGCTCCATCTTTTTTTTGAACCCACGATGTCGGCCTTCACTACATGTCAAGGGCATTGGCACTGTGAATGTCTGGTTGACCGTTTTCTCGAATTTTTGTTCTCCCTTTGGAGTTTTAAACAGTGGTGTTTCAACATTATCAGTCCCGCTTTTTTATCCTGTAAACATCAGTTCAGATCGATTGTAATAACTTGGTCAAGTGTTTTCCCGGCTCTCTCTCTCTCCTTCGTAGCCCTTCGTCAGGATAACTGTGTGGATACCGTTTTGTTTATTCCACCAATATTCTTCCGCAAACTTCACTAGGAATCAACACGAGACGTTGATGATATGGATTGATTGTGGTCATTTCAGATTCGGTAAGAAACTTACAATCTTATCCTTACTTGTTTGTCATTTCAGGAAACGATCCGGGAACGCAAACCAAAACATCAGTCTGAAGCCGGACGACTTAGCCCCCGTGACACTCCTAAACTCGGGTTTTACTGCCGGTGACGACCCAGAGGCCGAAATGCCAGACATCCTCTTAGCCTCCGAGACTCGTCCGCCAGTGGTCGAGAACGAGTACGTCAACCAAGAACGACCGATGCACCACGAGATGTCCACCTTTTCGTCGGGGAAAGGCGGCGTCAGCAACGGCGACGATCCGTTTTGGAAGGATCCCAACACTGCCTACGAGGATATGAAACCACTGCCACCCATGCAACAGAATCCGATTTACGAGAGCGCAGGTGGATCCACAGTGAACGACACTGACAATTCCGCAGAGAATGGTACTAATGAAAGTCCTTCTGAAGGAAATAAAGCGCAACCAGGCAAACGTGTCTCTCAGTATGAACAAATGGACGCTGGCAAGTGGGGCTCACCAGAGAATGTTACCTCTGAAGATGGGGAATCCAGATTTGACAGAGACCAACGTGCGTCAGTCGCTACCAAACTGTAATCATTAACATTGATATGCCCACCCAAATTGAGTACATGTACTGTGCTTGATGTCTTCAGTGCACATTAGTTAAGCCGATTTGGTATTTCCTTCACGCGCAATGACGTAGTTCAGGTCAAAGGTCATTTCGGATAAAGATGTCCGACGAAAACCTTTTGGAACTAACCATATTAAGTGCAGAAAGAATAAAACAGAACTAACACGACCTCGTTGTCTCGGAGATGGCCCTTTACAGACCACGTGTCCTGTGACGTCATACCAACGGGCTACATTTAAGCATTGCATCCGCATTAAACAGTCTCTTTCACCACTTTTACACCATTCACATTTCAAGAGATATACATGCAGTGAAGAAGAGAACCGATTGCTTAAGTTGGCACCACGTGACCACAACATCCATCTATATTTATTCCGAATGACCTACGACGCACTATTTTCAACACATGCGCAGTTCAAATATCGAATGTAAAAATGGCGTTGTGACATGAAATATGGACCTATACAAGTACATGTGTTTACCCCTACACATACATGTCCTTATACTTGGTATTAGGACACGCGGTGCGTGTTTTTGGCTAAATTTTATTTAACCTAATGTATTTCATGTTGTACATATCAGTTATTATGTATTTAGTATGATCCCAATGGTCATGGTGTCGTTTGTCCAAATAAGTCTTCAAGTTCAGGGTTTTATAAAGAATGAAAATAATGCGATACCTCTTTTATTGTTGTAAATACAAATATAAAATGACATTTGTATCCGTTTGTAAAGTGCTGGTTCACTTGTAAATAGAGTTTTTCCTTTATACATTAATCAATTATTTTGTACTTGCAAACTTTGTAATATTCAAACATAGAATTGAAAAGTATTCAAATATATAGGTTTTTATCAATTCCACAATTATTTAGAGTATTAATCGTTGATTAAGTAAATAAGTGGATATACATGCAGGTATTTTTAACTGGTGAACCTTTGAGCCGATACGTGAACGAGTTAATGAATTGGAATAACATGTGGCTGTAAAATGTCCGAGGAGGATCTAGGAAAAGTTGCTGCATGCACATGTCTGAAAAGAGCGAATGGTTCCCCCTCTCTGGAAAACAGGTTTACAGGCATTTCTGGAGTTGGGCCTATTTGTGGCAAAATTAAGAGAAACACTAAGGGGAATCGGAGAAAAAAATTGGGTTGAAAGAGTTTTCACAGTGTGAGTAAAATGAATTTTTTTCCACAGGTTTTTCTTAAGGGTTTTTTCGAAAAGAAAAGAAATGTCCACACTACGTATGTAACCCATTATGTGTGTGTTAAATAGCGAGTGTGTTTTTGTTATTAGGGGAGGCGGCAAAATAGAAAAGTGGCCGTGGATAAATCGAAGGTGGGAGGGGAGGCGGGACATCATTTGACGTTTGGGAATGAGTTTCAGCCTGGCCCAACAATTAATAAAGGATTACCATATAACATCAACGAATTCTAACTTGTTGGCAACAACTCATTGATTACAAGATTTTTAGTCGTGGTCGTTCGGTCAATCGTGGACCCTTTGTTTGTGCCCCAATTTATTTGTCCCTAGTCCACGATTGCCAGTGTTTACAAACGTCCAGTCACACACGAAAAGTTTTAAGCAGTTTAAGCGTCTCTTTCAGAATTTTTGATTCACCATGGAGGAAGGACGACTGCAACAATCCCAGCATTTTTCTAGAAGTCTAGATGCTCCGTTTTGCGATCTGACCACTTTAACCAGTTGTTGCAGGCAAAATATTTTGACGTACACAGTGGCTGCCTCTTTGCAACGTCACTTAAAAAAATGGTTCTTTTAATTAATTATTTTTTTTTGGGGGGGGGCATGGCCCCCGTTGTAAGAAAACGAGGTCTGCATAAAAAGAAATCGCTGTTTGTGTAAAGCTGACGATATTTTTGGCTCATCATCACTGAAGGTCCACCGAGGCCTGTCGCTTGGCATAGAGAGCTTCAGTAACTAATAGGGGGATCGACAGCAATATAATTCCAGCAAACAAGCAGAGAGCCACGCTGAAACTTCCCGTCCACTCGTAAATCTGCCCTGAAAATAAAAGAACAAAAATGATATTCCCTTTTTGGTGCTAGTAATATGTTTACGGCCGATACCTCACAAGTGCCATCTCAATCTGAACCTATCCTACATGTACATAAAAAGTAATCATGGCTATTTAACGCATTAACGACAAAACAATTGTCGAATGAAAAACTGCAAACTAAAAACTCCTTGCCACAGACTATTAGATATCAACATACATTTTCGTTCAATAAATCTGCTCGAGAGAATTATTGTTCAGTTGAACAGCAAAGTTAGGCTACAGATCTTGCATGAAATGTGACAAACAGAAATTGTTAACAAAAAGGTGTAATGTAGACACATATCTCAAATTGTCAACAAACCTGATATCAATCCGCCAAGTGTCCCCGCAACACCACTAAACATTCCTTGCCAGCCCAGTACACTAACCAACCGGTCATCCGTCGTAATGAACCGTGACATGACATCAATGGCTTGGAACATCACACCGTAACCAACGCCGACGAGTCCAGTAAGAGCCAACTGTCCGATGAACGGTCTGACGAAGGCGTCTAGGAGGAGCGATACACATACGAGGCTCGTCCCGAAACACCCACAAAATGTCATGGATGGTTTTATACCGACCTGCTGAAGGAGAGGCACTATCAAATTTCCAATGGCGTTGCCAACTCCGTACGAAGTGGGAAGAAACGAAGCCTGGATTTCGCTGAGGTTCTGAAACTGCCCATGCGAAACCATGAAAACCACCCACGCATAATAGGTAAAATTTGCTGCGGCTTTCACACCAGTCAGCAAAACAAACCTAACATCTGCCAGCAATGCAAAATCCATTGCTTCCACGACGAGTCGGCAACACTGCCGTGCCCTTTTACAAGGGCCTGGATCTGAGCAACTTGTACCATCGGTATCAGTTTTGTCATTGAGACAAATTATCCCTTCTCTACATTCTTTGCTTTCGTCCTCATCGCTTACCGGAACTTCTTGGTACTTCTCAGTGTCTGGTGAAGAAGAAGATGGATCCTGTCGCACTAACATAGCGCACGCCACCAGATGAAACGAGACACCTCCCAGTAAGAGCGTGGTTCCTCTCCAACCATAGGTGTCAAGAAGTACCTGGGTCATGGGTCCGTAAACCATCATGCTAATAGGAATACCCAAATTCGATATTCCAGCGGCGAGTAGGAATTTCTCTTTAAAGTATGAAGCCATTGTTGCCAAGCTAATGAACAAACAAAATGCAGACCCAACACCTGAAAAAAGGGTTCAGAAAGCAGATTGCTTGATGTGGTCAACTTTAATGATACCTTGACGTAAAGCATAAAAGGCTGGAATAGCAATAATAAAACACGGGCACCAAAAGATATTTGAATCACTCGATAAACTTTATCCCCTCAGTTGTTTTAACAACCTTCACCAGTGCCTGGTATTATAAAACAATTTCGAACAAAGTAATTTACCTGCCAATCCCACAATATAAATGGTCATTGCCAAAACGCTGGTTGATATGGACGTCAGCATGAAGCCTAGCGTACCAAGAAGTCCACCAAACACCATCATGGGACGGCTGCCCAGCAGGCGACACGCAGCTCCGACGACAGGCCCTGCCGAAATAAAGGAATCACATTATATGACATGACGTATCAACCAATGCTGGCTTTGGACTTCTAAACAAATACGTTTTACAAAATATGAAAGGACAACCTAGATTGTACTACGGATTCGTTTAAATGACAAGAAAAGCATCAAGTCTGTTATGGTGATTCTCTAAGGTGTAGTTATCAGATCCAAGATGGCCGCCATTTTTCAAAACCTCTGTCAAATCGCCTTTCCAAATTCGCCGAGTTCGAAGGGACACACACAAACCCAGGCCTCGCATCGAGCATTACGTCGGTTTTCACTCACCCATGCAATGATGCATTATTCCATAGAAGATTAAAACCCATCCGACCAGCCACAAGTCGCTGTCCAGGTCGTTGGTCATGGGAATGAGGAGGACACCCAGCGCTTTCAAGTTACCGTACACCACCAAATTGCAGATGAACAAGGTGGCTACCATGATCCAGCCCCACTTGTCGTCGTCGTAATTTTCAGATGACGCCATTTTCGGAAATGATTAGTCACCAGTCACAACGATGATGACAACAGTGAGCCTACATGATGATATATTTCGATAGTAGGCCTACGCGTTCAAAGGGACGACTTTTCTGTCCCAACTCACGTACTGTCGCTTGAAGCCTTGTCCTAGGGAGTGAAATTTTCCATGATGAATATTATGCAAGTCATGCAGTTACAGGCGGCAGGTTCATTATTCGCCTCAACCCCACTTCTTTACACTGTTTCTGTAGGCACATCAAAGCCATCCAATTGAATAGACATGCAATGCGTGCATTTGATCTTATGCATCATTATTTCCTTTGTGAATGAGGTAGTAACGAGTAACGAAATGTACATGTATAATGTAGTAAACAATATCTGAAACAGCCTTGACCACAAGCACTGTAATAGAGCCGCGGCTGCAATGATATCGCAATGGAATTGTGATAATTAACCATAGCGCTATATTAAATTACTATTTGCATATCTGCGTTTGTATTCCATGACAGGTGTAGCGTGAATATCCGACTCCATGAAATGTGTACTCATTGGTAGTAGTGCGCACGCGTGAGTACGATACTATGCTATTTTTAGAATCGTTTGGGGAGCCTGACCTGTCACGTGCGAGGGATTAACACATAAAAGGGCAAAAGGGGTCCGATTTTCATAGGAGTCGGATTTTCATGTGACACCGGTGCGTAATCGAAGCCGATACGCCCAAAACCGAAATGCACGATCAGCAATTGAGCGTTTAATTTTGCTCTACGCAAACAGCGCGGCGCAACGTGTGCGCGTCCCTCCGCTGCATGCAGATGCTTTTCCCCCGTGACGTTGTTTGAACCGTCATGACGCGCTTAAGTTGTTTGCAAACATCTTCTTCTTGCGCGTTGCATTTAGAGTACACATTTTAATTCAATCCATCTATTTTGATTGTGTTCTACAAACACGCACATAAATTCAAAATGTCTGCGCCCGGAGTGGCTTCAAAGCTTCTCCGCGCCAACCTCGTCCCCAGTGCTTACTTTATTTCCAACCGCGTTTCCAATAGTAAACCCTGGATAGGAAACTTTCTTCCTGTATCCTGATTGGATACCGCAATTTGCCAGTAATGGAATTTTATCGTGTACTTGGTGCTATTATTCACAACGTGCAGTACGTGTTTTCGCGATCATTCGTCCACGCCTTCTCGAAAATACTAATTTCCTTTACAATTTGCTCATATTAATATGAAATATGATACTGCATGTTGTCTCGATAAGATCGTAACAGTTTGATTTCAAAAATCGTGTTTTCGTAACTCACGCCGTGCTCGTGCTGCTACGAATTGACTCTGTTTTTACCCCCGACACCGCATACAAAAACAAACGCTAATGTGTAACGCATATCCAGGCACCAGACTGTTCCTCATTTGCATACGTGTGCAAAAATCTTGCACATGCAAATGATCCAATACCAGGGTGAGAGAGCAGGTAGTGGTGGGGGCGTACTGCTCGACACCCTGGGGACGAGGTTGTCTCCGCGCGCAACAATGAAGAGTTAGCGCACTAGTACTTTAATATAGCTCTATGTAATTAACTCATCTGTCATGCTCTGTAGACTTCAATGCTCGTGTTGGCTCTGACCATCATACATGGCAGGGCATAATAGGGAACCACGGTATTGGAACATGCAATTCAAATGGTCTCCTTCTTCTCACAAAATGTGCAGAACACAACCTCATCATCACCAACACTTTGTTTCGACTTCCAAATAAAAACAAAACGTCATGGATGCATCCCCGTTCAAAACATTGGCACCTGATTGATTATATTATAATCAGGAAGAGGGACATTGCAGATGTGAAAATCACCAAGGCTATGAGAGGAGCTGACTGCTCGACTGACCATCGACTCATCCGTGCGAAGTTCAACTTCAACATCAAACCACTCAGGAGACCTCAGGGCAAGAAGCCACCAAAGAAGCTCAACGTTACCAAATTAAAGACCGCCGCTGTAAAATGTGAACTGTGCAGCGCAATGTACCAGCAATTCATCTCTGCTGACTTGGTCTCAGGCGACATTGAAAAGGACTGGAAATGCTTCAAAGATGCAGTCCACACAGCAGCTTTCGAAACTTTGGGCCCTGTTGTTCGGAAACATCAAGATTGGTTTGATGAAAATGACAATGAGATCAAGAAACTTCTTGAAGAGAAACACCGCTTACACCTATCCATGATCAATGATGAAAAATCCGCATCGAAGAAAGCAGCCTTCCAGAGCATCCGTAAGACACTGCAGGCCAGACTCAGAGCTATGTGCGACTCATGGTGGAGCAAAAAAGCGGACGAGCTCCAGTCCTACTCAGACTGTAAAGACATGAAGAAGTTCTATGATACGCTCAAGAAAACTTATGGGCCAAAATCATGTGGCTCTACCCCCGTCATGAGCTCTGATGGAACCACACTAATCACAGAAAAGAACCATATCATGGACCGTTGGGCTTCTCACTTCGAAAATCTGTTAAACAGAGACTCAAACATCAGCACTGAGGCATTAGATCAACTGCCTCAGAGCACTGTCAATGTAGCCCTAGCTGAAGTGCCCACTACCTCCGAGACTGAAGAAGCCATTGATGTACTATCCATGGGTAAAGCAGCTGGCTCCGACTCCATTCCTGCCGAGATATACAAAGCAGGAGATGCTTCGTTCGTGCAACGCCTCACAGAGCTATTCCAATTGATGTGGATCAAAGGAGTGCTTCCCCAAGAGTTCAAGGATGCCTCCATTGTCCACATTTATAAGAAGAAAGGCAACCGTTCCATTTGCGACAGCCACAGAGGAATCTCCCTGCTGGTCATTGCTGGTAAGATCCTCGCCAGAATCATGCTTAATCGCTTCACAACACACATTGCCAACACATTTCTACCCGACAGCCAGTGTGGTTTCAGAAAAGGAAGAGGTACAGGCGACATGATCTTTGCAGTCCGGCAGCTACAAGAGAAATGCAGAGAGCAGAATACCGACCTCTACTGTGTCTTCGTCGACTTGACAAAGGCATTCGACACCGTCTGTAGAAAAGGACTCTGGAAACTCCTGTCCAAAATTGGCTGCCCTGAAAAGTATATCGAGATGGTGAAGCAGTTTCATGATGGTATGATGGCGCGAGTAACGGACGATGGGGAGTCTTCAAAACCCTTCCCAGTATCAAATGGAGTTAAACAAGGCTGTGTCCTTGCACCAACGCTCTTCAGTGTCGTGTTTGCTAGCATGCTCCTTGATGCTTTCCGTGACATCAACATCGGCGTGAAGATGAGATTCAGGACTGATGGTAAACTCTTCAATCTGAGAAGACTTCAAGCAAAAACAAAGGTATTCGATGAATTAGTTCGTGAACTCCTATATGCCGATGACTGTGCTCTTGTCGCCCACACCCAGAAAGACTTACAACTCATCATGGACTGCTTCGCAACAGCTTGCTCCCGCTTTGGACTTTCAATCAATCTGAAAAAGACAGAAGTGATGTTTCAACCTGCTCCAAGTAAGCCATATGTTCCACCCGTTATCACCATTGGAGATCACATCCTTCATTCTGTTGACAAGTTTACATACTTGGGCAGCACCCTGTCAAGAGAGGTCCACATAGACCAGGAAATCACAAATCGGATATCCAAAGCCAGCTCAGCTTTCGGAAGATTTCGTGAGCGTCTGTGGAATAGGAGAGGCATAAGCTTGAAAACAAAGCTGCGTGTGTATCAAGCTGCAGTCCTGACTTCCCTGCTGTATGCCTGTGAAACTTGGACAACCTACAGCCGCCACATCAGAAAGCTGAACCACTTCCACCTTTCCTGCATGCGTAAGATCTTGCGCATCAGATGGCAAGACAAGGTCTCAGACACTGAAGTCCTCAAGCGAGCGGAATTGCCCAGTGTAGGTGCTTTGATCATGAGAGCTCAACTTCGCTGGTCAGGTCATGTAGTACGGATGCCTGATGATCGACTCCCCAAAAAGATCTTCTACGGTGAACTAACAACAGGCAAAAGATCGGCTGGTGGTCAATTCAAGAGATACAAGGATTGCCTTAAAGCAACCATGAAGCAATGCAACTTCAATGTGAGTAGCTGGGAAGAACATGCCCATGATCGAACGGCATGGAGAAGATTATCACACGAAGGTACATCAAGCTTCAAAGCCCGTCGCATCAGGGAGGCTGAGCTGAAACGACAGCAACGAAAATCTCGTCAGCTAGATGCTTCCCTACGTGTCCACCCCCACCCCCAACCTAGTGTGTCCAGTGTTGGACCGTAGCTTCCTGGCTAGAATTGGACTTATTAGCCATCTGCGAACACACAACACCAACTAGTATGGAGATGTTGGCTGTCATCTTCGAATTTCGAAGGACGAACTATATATATATATATGTAATTAACTCATCTGTCATGCTCTGTAGACATTATCATAGGGCCTATTTGTTTTTACACACGAGCGTGGTATAATGCGGGACCGAATAGACTAAAAAAAAGCAGGTTATCGCCCGATGGTAACCTTTTAGGGCCATGGCTAGGAAACCACGCGGGATTATTCCAATTTATGCAAATAATGGAAAGGTTTGCAGGGCGACGTTCTGCATTTGCTGTTCGTAACCAATAACTATGTTGGGCTGTTTCCCTGGAGCGCAGATTCATCGCGATAAAATGTTTTCAATCGCATATTCAAGTTTTATTCATTTGACGACCACCGACAGCAGTTTGAAGTGTAACAATCGATGGAAAGAAAAATCATAAATAGGCCTATAAGGAACCACAGGTAATTTCAAAGTTTCAAAGTTGTCGTCCATACGCAAACTGCCTTCTACCCTTTTAGAGATTACACAAAATTGGTTTCGGACTGAGTAATCGCGACATATGTGGAGACGCTTTTATAAATGATCAGTTCTTAAATACATGCAGATACATTCATTAAATATTATACTTCCATACCTATTTCTATATTTATTCTTAATGTTCATCAATATCAACAATAATGGAACCTCAGTATCACCCACACTTCATCTTATCTCCGTCAAATTCTTTACTTATTCCTTTATCTACATCTTTATCCATTTCCAGATCTACACCCAGTCACCCCCATCCACTTGACTTGCCTGACCTATAAAGCCTGCCACACCTATTACTATTTTCCCCAGTGCATTGTGGGAGATGGTCGACAAAGTTGCGGCGCTGGGCATTAAACATTGTTATTTTTACCGGTCATGAGTTTCGTAGGCCTAAGCATATGATTCGAGTATGTTGTTCGCCCTTTTCTTTTCTTTTGTCAATGGTATTTTTGTAAGGCGCCAGAACGCTATGCCACAGTACCTAACGAATTAGCTCAAGCTGGCGTTCACTTGAATATGCCGTGTTTTGTCAACCGTAAACTTAAAAAGGGTTCTGTCCTTGGTGCGCACTGGATTGTGAATCGCCCAAAGTGCGCTTGTTAAGACGTTTTAGCATGACAGTATGTGTGATCACACTGATTCCATAACAAAACTGAAAATGGCGTCATCTGAAAATTACGACCAAAACAAGAGGGGTTGGATCATGGTGGCCACAATGTTCGTCTGTTATTTGGTGGTGTATGGTAACTTGAAAGCGCTGGGTGTCCTTCTCATTCCCATGACCAACGACCTGGACAGTGACATGTGGCTGGTCGGATGGGTTTTAGTATTCTTTGGAATAATGCATCATAGCATGGGTGAGTGAAAAAACTCATTGTGGTACTAGAGGCCTTGATTTGCTCTCAGGCTGTCGGAGTTGTGCACTGTGAGTCCCTTCTAACTCGACTTTGGATAGCCGATTTAGTGGTCATTGTTCTAAAGACGGCAGTAGCATTCACTGAAAGTGGTTTAATGATAGCCCGTAATCACATCGTACAATAGGGATAATGCCACTCCATAACAGTCATTTTGAGAGAAAAAAATGGCCGCCATCTTAAGCTTGAATCTGATAACCGTATACCCCTCACAGAATCACCATAACAGATTTGATACTTGTATTGTCATTTGACTTGAACAAATCCGTTGTAAAATCTAGGTTTTTCTTTCATATTTTGTGATACGCATTTGCACTAGTCCAAAGCCTGGTCAGTAATGATTGTGATTCCTTTATTTCGGCAGGGCCTATCGTCGGAGCTGCGTGTCGCCTGCTGGGCAGCCGTCCCATGATGGTGTTGGGAGGACTTCTTAGCACGCTAGGCATCATGCTGACGTCGATATCAACCAGCGTTTTGGCATTGACCATTGTTATTATTGGATTGGCAGGTAAATTACTTTGTTCGAAATTGTTTCATAATACGAGAGACTGAGGTGTAGATCTGGAGACAAAGGTTGCCAAATCCAATGACAGGATAAAGTTTACCGAGTGATTCAATACCATTTCGTATTTTTATCATTGCTATTCCAGCGTATTATGCTTTACGTTAATGCATATGGATCCTTAAAGTTGACCACATAAAGCAATCTGCTTTCTGAACATTTTTTTTCCAGGTATTGGATCAGCACTTTGTTTGTTCATTAGCTTTGCAGTAATGGCTACATACTTTAAAGAGAAATACGCACTCGCCGTTGGAATATCAACACTGGGTGTTCCTGTTAGCACGATGGTTTACGGACCCATGACCCAGGTACTTCTGGACACCTATGGCTGGAGAAGAACCATGCTCTTACTGGGAGGTGTCTCGTTTCATCTGGTGGCGTGTGCTATGCTTATGCGACGCAATCCATCTTCCTCTTCACCAGACACTGAGCAGTACCAAGAAGTTCCGGTAAGCGATGAAGACGAAGGCAAAGAATGGAGAGAAGGGAGAATTTGCCTTAATAAAACTGATACTGATGGTAGAAGTTGCTCAGATCAAGACCATTGTGCAAGGGCTCGGCAGTATTGCCGACTTATCATGGAAGCAATGGATTTTGCATTGCTGGCAGATGTTAGGTTTGTTCTGCTGACTGGTGCAAATTCCGCAGGTAATTTTACCTATTATGCGTGGTTGGTTTACATGGTGTCACACGGGCAGTTTCAGGGTCTCAGCAGCACACAGGCTTCGTTTCTTCCCACTGCGTTCGGAGTTGGCAACGCCATCGGAAAGTTGATAGTGCCTCTCTTTCAGCAGGTTGGTATAAAACCGTCCATGACATTCTGGGGGTGTTTCGGGGCGAGCCTCGTGTGTGTATCGCTCCTCCTAGACGCCTTCGTCAGACCGTTCATCGGACAGTTGGCTCTTACTGGACTCGTAGGCGTTGGTTACGGTGTGATGTTCCAAGCCATTGACGTCATGTCACGGTTCATTACGACGGATGACCGGTTGGTTAGTGTACTGGGCTGGCAAGGACTGTTGAGCGGCGTTGGTGGTACACTTGGCGGATTGATAGCAGGTTTGTTGACAATTTGAGATATGTGTCTACATTATACCTTTTCTTTTAAAACAATTTCTGTTTTCCTCTGTCACATTTTATGCAGGATCTGTAACTGTGCTGTATATACCGATTAATATCCTTCAGCTAAGCAATAAAGCTTCCGATTAACAGTGTTTATTGAACAAAAATGGACGTATGATCATGATATCTATAAGGCTGTGGCAAGGAGTTTATTTCTTTATGATGTTAATGCGTTTAATAGTCATGATTACTTTTTAAGTATATTTAGGAGCGGTTCAGTTTAAGATGGCACTAGTGATGTATTCACGACCGTTAACATATTACCGACACTGGTATCTAAAAGGAAATATCTTTTTTTTTTCAGGGCAGATTTACGAGTGGACGGGAAGTTTCAGCGTGGCTCTCTGCTTGTTTGCTGGAATGATATTGCTATCGATTCCCCTATTAGTTATTGAAGCTTTATACTCTAAGCGAAAGGCCTCGGTGGGTCAATAGTGATGATGGGCCAAAGAGGAGTGAACGTTATAATTCAAATTGAACGTTAAAACATGTTATACATGTTGGAAATATAATCACCAAGTACACGTTGTATATTCCTTCATTAGAATCTGGAAGAGATCATCTATTTGTAAGTTTTGGATCCAAGCTCATGAACTCTCACAGGTATAGGAGTATGCTCCCTCCTCAGAAATCAAATTGTACGGGAAGAAAACTAAGGGACAGTACCTCCTCTACTCTAATTATTAATCGTTGTAGAACTGACAGATACAAAAACTCGACCATACCAGCACTGTCCAGAATTGTTTAACTATAGGAGAACAGTTCCCTCTTTCAAATAACCTCCACGTTTTAAATTCTTTTTTACATGCATGTATGTTTTTTTTTGCAATTTGTATGTATTTAATATTGATAAACAGTTTATACATGCATTTTAACATCGCTCTAGTTTTTAATAAGTCTGATCCAGTTTTTATGCTATTATTATTTCAGATATTTAAGTAATTTTTTTTTTTTTTATACCTTATCAACTTTTTTAAATATTGTATAATCCAGGATCTCGTACTTTTAAGATAAATCTCCTTTTATTTATATGTTTTACATGTCTTTTATTTATATGTTTTATATGTATCAATAATGTTATACTATTGTAAGCCGGTCTCTTCAGACACATTATAGTGGCTGTCGACTTTGTTTTTTTTTTTAAAATAAATACTGCTACCAGAAAACTAATAATTACTGCTATTGCTTATTTTATTGAGTTATATTTTTATTGTATAATGAAACCAAGAAACCCTCAAAAGTGCCCTATAGGCACTGCAGTGTAGCTCGATCAAGCCAGAAGAAACCTGTAAGAAAAGACAATGAGAAGAAACTACAGTAGTATTTAGAAAAAATTTCCGGCGTAGACACAGCAGAATTACCATTAGTGCATATGAATAATTAATTCGCCATAATTACAAAACCCTTTGACCTATAGTCATGAAATTTCTTGGGTATGTTTATGAATAGTAGTTCTATGTATGTACTAAGTTTCATAATTTTTCGTCACTCGATGACCGAGATCTTATAGGGGCGGAATCCGCCCCCCCCCCGCCGGCGAGAGATGATCGAAATAGCCCGGCCCTTTTAGGGTTAATCAATCTTGAATATTAACCCCCAAAATGAGTTAATTAAATCGAAGCTCATTATACCAAACTACAGGTGTACATAAATGTGTTTAGCAGGATTTTAAATTTAAGCAAAGTCCCATCAACCTTGGTCATCCACCACCAATGATCCATTCTTAGTGTGCCTTTCGCTTGGCGTAGATAGCCTCGGCCAGGAACAAGGGAATTGACAGCAATATCACTCCACTGAAAATGCACAGGGCTATGCTGAAACTGCCAGTCCACTCATAAACCCATCCTGTGAAACAAATAAAATAAATACTTTTCATTGTTTTATTAAATGACTTTATCTTTTAGGTCATTTTATAACAGAAAAACCCAGAAAGAAAAAAAAAGAATCAATTTATCAATATTTAAATTGGTAAGTGAGATGTAGGGTCTACATTGAAATTAGTGGATGGAGATTTTGTTCCCTAGAGAGGTAAAGGGTATCGTGGAATAAAAACAAATAAAAGTAAATGTAAAATCTACACACTAAGGCGGAACAAGTATCAAAACAAACCTGATATCAATCCGCCGAGTATCCCAGCAACGCCAACAAACACTCCCTGCCAACCCAGTACACTAACAAACCGGTCATCAGCATGAAGGAACCGTATCATAACGTCATTTGCTTGATACGTCAAGGCGTAACCAACGCCTACGAGTCCGGTAATCACCAACTGTCCGATGAAAGGTCTGACGAAGGCGTGTAGGAGGAACGATACACACACGACGCTCGCCCCGAAACACGCCCATAGTGCCATGGATGGTTTTATACCGACCTGCTGCAAAAAGGGCATTATCAGCTTGCCCATGGCGTTACCCACTCCGTACGAGGTGGGCAGAAACGATGCCTCAAAATCGCTCAGGCCCTGAAACTGCCCGTGCGGCACCATGTACACCAGCCATGCTCTGTAGGTGAGAGAAGCCGTACATCCAGCGCAGATCAGCAACACAAGCCTCACATCCGTCAACAGTACCAAATCGATTGCTTTCAGGATGTTTTGGCAACACTGCCTCGCCCTATGTTCACGATAGTTTGAACTGTTGTCCTTCTTTTCTTCCTCATCACTGACTGCAACCTCCTGGTATTTTTCCGTGTCTGGTGCAGAGGAAGGTGGATTGCGTCGCATAAGCACAGCACACGCCACCAGATGAAAGGAGATACCTCCCAGTAAGAGCATGGTTCTTCTCCAGCCATAGGTGTCAAGAAGTACCTGGGTCATGGGCCCGTAAACCATCACGCCAGCAGGAACGCCCATCGTTGATATTCCAATAGCCAAAGGATAATTCTCCTTAAAGTATGAAGCCATAGTTGCAGTGTTGATGAACAGACTAAATGCAGAACCAACACCTGCGGGAACAAAATTTTTTCTGTCAGATGTAGTTTTCCATTACAATGCTAGGTGGTATGTATGTCAGAAGGCTCCATCATCAATGCCCATGGCTCGAAAGGGTAAAGTTCATTGGCAACTTTGTCAATCTTTTACCACTTTCTTACTAGTGCTTTGCAACATTCACTTACAGAGAAACACTACGATAACTAGTAATGAAACAAACAAGTACAGTCACTTACCTGATAATCCAACAATAAAAACAGCCACTGCAAAAACACTGGTTGATATCGACGTCAACATGAAGCCTAGCGTACTAAGAAGTCCACCAAACACCATCATGGGACGGCTGCCCAGCAGGCGACACGCAGCTGCGACGACAGGCCCTGCAAAGATGAAGAAGGTAGGCCCTACAACTTGAAATTTCCCACTGGAAGGTTTTTGGAATATTAGTGTTCATCGAAAAGCCACAATGGTGGTATGACGTCATCCTGCGTTACTCTCTCATTAGGCAACTACTCGTACTCACCCATACATCTATTCATTATTCCGTAGAAGACGGCGATCAAGCCGACAAGCCACAGATCGCTGTCCAGGTCGTTGGTCATGGGAATGAGGAGGACGCCCAGTGCTTTCAAGTTACCATACACCACCAAATTGCAGATGAACAAGGTGGCCACCATGACCCAGCCCCACTTGTCGTGGTCGTAAGGCGAAGCATCATATCCAGATGGCGCCATTTCCGGACAGTTGCTGAACAGAATAATTATGGTCTTCAAGTTGATACTGGCAGTAGATGCGTGAAAGATTGTGGTCGTTCCTGGCCCCGACACAAATCCACAAAACTAAAATAAAAAAATTCCAAGCCACAACCCAATTAGACAAAACCTACAATTGTTGTGAGCCTTGATGTGTCATTTTTGGTACACGTAATGATCAGACATGCTCAGATCTTGGACTAAGGTTCACGTCACAGCGGTATCACTTACCATGGCTAACAGACTGTGAACAACAGGCAAGAGAAAGGCAAAAATAACCATCTGTCTATTCTGTCCAGCTCAACCGTAACCATTTTAAACCAATTGCAGAATAGGCCGCATCACAATGACCACAAATACCCGATTTTAATTGCCAAAAAAACGGTGTCAGACAGCTGGTCTTTTTACATGGCAATATCGAATAAACATTGATATATTTAAACCCAAAGCAACATCAAATTACCATGGATGTATTCAATTTAACAGAAATGAGAAGTCTTCGAATGGACAACGTCGGTGTATGATAACTACTGAAATGAAAGAGATATAAGCTAGCCTTCGTTTTCAACTCAACACGTAAATACACCGCTTTGCAAATGCCTTTAGAAGCGACTCTCACCGGTGTTAAGCTCGGCTCTGCAGGCTCAACCGGCGCAAAGAATTTAACCTTAGTTTTTGTTTTATTCAAAAAAAAATCATGCAAGCATAGAACAGGGCCGGGTCACAAATTTGGCCAACCCCATTGTGGCCACTGTACGTAAAGCAGATTCGCTTATATGGTAATATATATGCGTTGAATTGGCACAGCAAACTATTGTACACGTACTGTATAGTTCTGGCCAGCATTAATAAGCCGACTTTGATGAAGGACTTGAATTGACGACAATGTGACCGGGCCGGGGATGGAGGTTAAACCTTGATATAACACCAAATTTATCCAAACCAAATATCACCCTCTTCACATCTCCGAAATAAGTTTACAAAAGGGTGATTTGAGTCCGCGTTCTATGATCAACACGTTTGGCCTAGTCTGGGTCGGGCACGCAGTCAGAGAATGCCAGTGACGGGAAATTGATACAAAAGCACAAAGCGGCTTTCAGTATTAGATGTTCGTTAGTAGAATTAATTAGTTAGCAGAAACATTTATTTCAATGTTGCCATTTCCACACAATAAAATGTTACAATGCCGTGTAAACATAATTATACACAGAGCAAAATGCAATGAATTATGTAATTGTGTATAATAATGTACATGGGTCAATACTAGAACACATTTACAACATTTAGGTATAAGGTAAAGCGTCACGCTTTTGTACCCTAACCTATCGACAGACAAGTGGACATGACCGAGAAAATGTGGCTGCATACAACTACAGGCCCCTCACTGAGTAATACATGGTCCCGATTTTCGAGTATCAAAGTAAATCGAAGAACATGAATTCCGCGTATTGGTAGTAGATAGTATGTTTACGTGCAGACGATATTCTTTTAGCCAAGAAGCCCCATTCGTCGGCCTAGCATCACTACAGGCCAAACAAATCATGGCTTTCGATTAGAAAGAGCTTCGATGATTAGCACACGAGTCGCAGGCGCGGATCCAGAGGTGGTGGGGGGGGGGGGGGGGGGTGTCACCTCCAGCTCTGTCTCAATTTTGTTTTTCATAGAAATACATTCTAAATAATGTGAACCCCCCCCCCCCCCCCCGCTCTGACTTTTTATTCCATTTCTTCACCACGCCCCAACAGTTCAAAAACAAGTTTCCGTTGGGGCCCGCATTATGAAGCTCATTCGCACTTCGTTGGGTAAATCTTGTATTTATAACTGGCCGTAATATCTTCTAAAATTTGACCACAAACAACAAAATTGGTAAAGGCATATAGGATTGCTCTTCACTTCTTTCCCATTAATAACATCAACCCAAGCTGTTGAAGTTTCAGTTCAGTGGATTTATACTTTTCGAGAAAACAGTGAAAAGCCGTGAACAACCTTTTGTTCACGAAACACGATTTCGTTAAAATCACTCTTTTCCCCAAAAAATCTGTCAATTGGCCGATCGATGAAAATCATCTACATTTCTTGTCTTCTTCTAAATAACAGCAAGCTAGACGGAATAATTTTGCGAGCTGTTTAGTACCAGTACGATCTTTAATCCAATTTTTTAAAAATAAGAATTCGCGGAAAAAAATAGAGACCATGGATTTACCTTGCATTTGTTGCTCGTATCACACTCTATGTGTAGGCAGGGAGATTCAAGAAATGAAGGATTATTTATTTATCGGCAAACCAACAGAGCGCGTTTATTTGCATACATAAACATAAATAAATGCAAGTCAATTATCGCATACTCATACAATTCAACTGGCATAATGCTTTCAATGAATTTGTTTATCAATATTTATTATAATTGATGATAAAAGCCGTTTACTTAATTGCTAATTTCTAGCAGTACAAACGCTGTTCCCTTTTGAAAGAGATACCAGCAAAATTATCTGCCCGCGTTTACTTATGCAATAATTACTTAACAAGTTTTGAATTGTAGTCGACTGGCAATACAGGCATGTCTTGTGTGCGTTATGAGTGCTACAGCAAGTCAAAATAAAATCACAGTTTCAGAGGGTTGAAAAAGTCCTAAAATCGTAACAAGTGCGAGTGCACAATAAGCTCTGGCGAAAAATGGGACGCTGGTGGCACATATTGGACACCATACTGTTGGTCAATTTTAGGGACAGACAGACAGACAATCTGACCAACCAACCGACCATCAAGTGACATATAGAGGCTCCTGCCAGAGCTTAAAAATTACACCCCACCCACCTTTTGAGGTCATTTCTTCCTTCTGGATACCATCCAACCAACACATGGCACCCCAGGCGCGGATCCAGAGGGGGGATTTTGGGGGTCAACCCCCCCCCCCCCCCAGCTGTCAAAAAAAAAATTATCATACAAATTCCTAAAAAATAAGTCACCCCCCTCCCCCCCCCCCCTGACACCCCCAAAAAATTATCCTGGTATAATGTCCGCCTGTTACAAATACGGTACACCATTCTGTAATCTAGTGTTAATAATCGTCGAATTTGAACAGCGCCCCCTATTGAAATATGGTACCAGCCCCCCCCCCTCCCAGTTTTTGATTTTACGGAGGCCAAGTGTCCGGAGAAAAAAAACCTGTGTACATTTTCAGATTTTTTTGCTGATGAAACCCCCCCCCTGCGAAAATTCCTGGATCCGCCCCTGCACCCATCTTGTTTGAGGAAGATGTTGTACAGCGCAAGCTCTGACTGCGTTGCAAGAAGCCTTGCATAAAAGTCTTGCATGAAATCGATCAAACTGATTCTTTGCAAGAGCTAAAAAAGAATGCGACACAGATGGCACATATGGAACGCCATACTTTTTGACAAATTACCTGATCCAAAATTAAGGGCTACAAGGGGTTGCACACCAGATTCTTTGTTTATTCCACTTCACATAATTACATCACATAATTATTCCAACTACAATTCCCGAGTGGAACTTTTTCCGTCACTGATTAAGGACAGCAACTGTCCACAGCTTCAATTCTGGCTTTTTAAACTTGGACAATCGGGGATCTTTCCAACCGCGCTCACCCTCATGAAAATTAACCTTTTTGCTGCCAGTACTCCGCTTGTTTATAACCCTTTATAGGGTGTTTGAAAGGATGACACGGGCCAATTTCATAGAGCTGCTTAAGCACAAAATTTTCTTCAGCACAAAAAAAACCCTTGCTTAATATTATCAGTATATTGGCCAAAACGCCATGCAATGTACATCGCTTGTGACTGGTATTTAGCTGTTGTTTACTTAGCATAACAATCGCATGACGTTTTGGTGGGTAACCTGATTATATTAAGCAAAGTTTTTTTTGTGATTAAGCAAATTTTGTGCTTAAGCAGCTCTATGAAATTGGCCCCTGACCATAAGGGGGCTGGATTTAGTCTAAAGCATCTTCAGGCAGCCGATGTTGAAACCATCTCCCTTGTGCTTTCCGACCAACCCCAGCAGTGTCTGCTTCTTGTGGGTGCTGCGGGAAGACTCCAGCTCGTACAGGGTGCACAGGTTGAAGAGCATGCCCTCGTCTAGGTACCTAGTAGGGTCACTGTGGACAAGTGTTTCCAGGAGAGCCAGGGCCTCCTTCAGCTTGCCCATGTACAGCAGGCAGACTGACTGGTTGTTGATAGCCTGCATGTAGCGGTAGGACAGTGGAAGAGTTCAATAGGTTAGCGGGTAAAATCTCGACAGTGGTATATTAAAATAGGGTCCTGTTTGCAGAAAGGTACTTCGGGGGGGGGGGGGGGGGGTGTCCTCATTTTTGGCACTAAATGGGTTTGATGATAGTTTTGAACAATATGAAGTCCGTTTCAATTCTCCAAGTTCGGAGCGGGGGGAGGGGGAACACACGGGCCTCAAGATCAAGAGTGGAATGCCCACCCAAATAGGCCCCCTTCACCTTTAAAACAGCATCATCCCTGACATGTTTCATCCAAAACTGTTAATCGATCTCTCCATTTTCTTGTTTATGTACTCACTGTAAAATTTTCCGGATCAATCTCGAGCAAAGCATCGAAGGACTTCCTTGCTTCGGGGTACTGGTTTTGAGCCATTTCCATGAAGGCCCTGTAAAGATTGCCAGTTGCGACAATTATGCACTCAGCACTGATTCCCTCCTTGATTTTTTTTGTAATTAGATGAACTTTGCATAAAATAGTTTAGTGCTGAAAGCGAACCCTCTGGTTCGGTTCTGGTTCAGTTCTGGTTCGGTTTCGGCAACTGTTATCCAAACATTGGTTCGGTTCGGGTTCGGCAACAAATTAGAATGTCTATACAAATTGCTGCGGAATAAACCTGTTAATAGTCTTCGTGCACAATAAATCTGTTTTAGAGGCCCTTTGTAGCACCCAGTCCAGTGCATGCTTTGCACGCAGACTGGTTTTCGACAAATACTGATAAACTGGAATGGTATAATGACTGGTATTCAGTTCGGTTCGGTTGTGCCATGTTCGGCAAAATTTAGTTCCGTTCGGCGGTTTGGCTGCAGCACTAGTTTAGTTGCTACTCACTTATTCATGAGGATGTTTGCTTGGGATGTCACATCCTGTGCTCCGTTGTAGCTTTCCTCAGCCTTGGCGTACACCCCCTGAGCACCTTTCAGATCTCCCAGCTATTGACAAAAGATACCTCAATGACTTTTATCATCATAGTGGTTAATTCAAAAGCTCACAGGTCCATTTCAAATTCATTTATGTTTGTTTGTTTGGTTTTGATTCCAATAACAGCTGCACTCAAAATGAAATGAACATGTGGGATAATAACAATAATAATAACAATGCGTATTTATCAAGCGCACGTATCCACCAGTATTGGTGCTCAAGGCGCTACATCATTATTACCCTGATCATTGGGCCAATGAAGCACTCTAAATACCATCTCAGCTCCCTGGGGAGTATACAGCTTGATGTTGCCATTTTGGTGCAAAGCCGCTAAAATCAATCACAATAACCATCTCTGCCCTCACAGGTACCCAATTAAGTGCCTTACCCAAGGGTTAAATGTAAGGTTGAAAAAACAATGACGGGAGCATGACTTTGCACGTGATTAATTAGGAAAGGGGGGGCACAAGAAGAAGACACAACAACCAACCTGCAAGAAGATTCGTCCGATGCCAGATAAGAGGTTGGAGGCATTCTGGGGGTCCTTCGTGAGTAACGTCTCATATACAGAAGCAGCCTGATTAAAATCCTAAAATAATGCAAAATAAAGGAGATATTGAGATTGGCTGATACATGAAATACTTTTAAAACTTGTTTACAATTAGTTACATGAGGGTTTTTATACTTCGTTTTACTTATTTCTTTTAGGAAGGCAATTTACTCAACCAAATCCCTGATGTGTGAAAATTGGCTTAACTACACTAGACAATCCACATGTTTCATCGAACAGTGGCTGCACTAATTTGGCAATGACATCAACTGATCAATATTGTACCTTCATTGACAGTAGGCAGTTGCCGATGGAGTATAGCACCCGGACTTCTCGAAACCTCCACAGATCGATCGATGCTGGAAGATTCGGAGATACAAAAGTCAGCTTTTTAGTTATAATACCAAATTGTGAATGAACATTTGGACAAATTTTGGCTTTAAAATATTGGTTTCCTTGGGAGGAATGACAGAGAGGGAACAGGGGAGGGCCAAAAATGCGGAAACTGGTTTAATTTTTGTACATTTATGTATATAATGATTTTGTATGGGCCAATTCAAAATGTCACTGGAATGTTCCTGTTCAAGGGGCTGGGATTGGGTCTGTATGTATAATGTTCACTTTTGATTACTTTTAAATACATATTTTTTTTCATTCTTTGATTCACTTTGGCTGTTATTGTGTGTGAAGTGGACATCATGAGTAGTGATGCTTTTTTCTGTAAAAAAAAAAAATTTAAATGGAAAAATTTGAGTCGGATATCAGACCAGTTACCATAGAAAACTTGACTGTACAAAGATATTGCACCCACCTTGTCTGTTGTCTTCTGTCAGCTCGATCTCCTTGCCATACTCACTCATACCACTCTCAAGATTGAACAAAATCTGAAAGGCAGAAAGGACAACAAGTTATTAATAAAACTTGCATCACTATGTAAGACAGACTCAATTCAAATTTCTACCGTATGGTTCCTGATTATTTCTTACCTGATTAACTATATCCAGTATATGGTAGAGCCTATTCAATGCGTCCTGGTATTTTGCCAAGTAGATCGGCAACTCGGCATGCAGCACACGGAATGAGAACGGCACCATGGTTCCTAAACTCCCAAAAAATAGTTTCAAATGTTTTAAAACATGTCAAACTTTTTCAGCAGATGATTCATTGAGTAGTTTTGTGGTGCTGCTGCGGAGCCAATGCATACTTATAGAAAACAGTTGCTAGTTGTTTCCTTTGAAATATGTTTCTCAAGCGTCCAGCAGAGACATTGGACTGGTTGTTTCATACGCTATACTATTTTCATTGTTGTGCAAGGTTTGCTACAAAGATTTACCCTGCCGTCCGGGATAGAGATCTGGGTAGTACTCGAAGTAGAGATCGGGCCTGTCCAGATTGCCGAAGGCTTCACACTCGACCTCCACCATGCTGTACTGCTGCAACTTGATCAGAAGAGCCAGGCGCGTCAGCCAAATCTGGGGAAATTTGTTTTTAAAAGGAATTAAAGACAATCTCACTATGTTTAATCTTGTATTGGCTGTGTCCATAACCGGTGCACACAGTTAAGGCTGGATGCAGGGTGACCGTAAGGTAATGGCAAAATCTGCTAGATGCACTTCAAAAATCTGCTAGATTTAACAAAATCTTTGAAATTGCCTATTATTACTCGAAATACATTGTAAACACTTATACTCAATGTCCTTAAACAAAAACAAAAATTATAAAATTTCCTTTAAAAAAAATGAAATTATTATAGTTTTTTAAAATGTGCATGTGTCTAGCCTGGCTTGCAGTGGTCTAAAGTACTTTACTGTGTACCAAAACACGTCAGGGAACCTCAAATTGAAGCTTTTTCAAAACTAATCAGCTATATCTTTTTCAAATCTGCCATATTTTTCTGTCTGATCGATCACCAATTTTACAGAATTCTGCTAGAAATCTGCTAAAAAAAATCATTCTGCTAAATTTTCTGTCAAATTCGGGTTTTTCCCCCAAAAAAGTCTGTCAAATTTAGCCGAAATTCGGCTAAAATGGTTACCCTGGCTGGATGCACAACTGATTATGTAACTGAACTGCTGTTACAGATTTTCTTTTAATTTTTTTATATTTTTTTTATATTTTTTTTTATAACTGTCCTTGTTTATGCATCAGTTGATAAATATAGTCTTGTTTCCAGCTGCACAAACATTTGTGTCTTACCTGCAGCGACTGGGGTGTGTGCTTGGAGGGTAGCCCTGCTTGACCTTTGCCCTGACCCATAGAGGTCAACAGAAGCCCTGTCAAATCAACTGCCGCCCGCAAGCAGCCAGTATCCTGCATGACGTGAAGGGAAAAACACATTATGAGTATAAAGACTTTCTCTTTCAACGTTTTTACCACTGGACCCTGTGGCACCAGAATGTTAAATAACCTAAGCCATGTTAAAAATCTATTTCGTACTAAAACACTCCGTCATTTGGCACTGCAAAAAAACACGGTTTTATAGTCACAACCATTATCTGTATATGTACACTGTTGCATCAATGATGTTGCAGCCGTAATATATCACATGATTTGCCACAACTTGTGGGATAATGTGGTATCACGGTTCTTTCTTTCAAAGGATATGAAACTTTCTCCAACAAAACCTGGACAGAGTCGACAATTTTTTCATATTCCTGAGATCCTCAGAAATGTGAAATTGTGGGATAATCATTGTACATAATATTATTAACTTATATGTGTATACATGTACATGAGCATGATGTAGTGAAAGAAATACAGCTGATTCGCACTGTTATTGGCTGACTATCAATAAACAGAAACATTTTTACTTACCAATAATTTTTTCAATCCAGCTTCGTCATGTGTGACTTGGTTGGCTGTTAGCGCCACACGCTTACTGGCCTCTGCCTCCCCCATGTACCGAGACACTAACTCCTTCACTGGATCGCCCTGTTTGGGATTAATGCATTATTCATTAACCCTACTCTCTGAGGGTAGTTTACTGCATGTCAGTTGGTTATGCCAATGCCCTCCAGCTGCAGTTTATTGGAGGATACTTTGATGTAGCAGTGAAGGCTCCAATTGGCAGGAGTTGGAGGCCCTGGAGGGTGCCTGATACTGACCAGCTGGGGGCACTCACTTTGTTATCAGAGGACTCTCATTTTTCTCTGTGGCATGTATTGGAGTGCCTGTCCAGTTACCCTTGAAATGACATGGCAGATATTGGAGGGCCATGCAAAAAACATAGGAGATTTTCTTGAGGCACAATTGGCATGCGTTGGAGGGTCAAGTAGGGTAAGGGTTAATGAATTATTCAATATACCACTGTCTATTTCAATACATGGAAATGACATTATGACTTTGCATGTCATGAATTAATCATCACATTACAATTTTTGTTTGTCTTTACTTAGAAAATTGTGTATTAGGCCTAAGTGCCAATTAAAATAATCTTTGCTTACTTGTGGGTCTTCAAGAACGATTCCCGGCATAGTCAACTGAGCTCTGTCGACAAACTCCGTCCCTTGCAAGGCCAGCATCCTATTGGCAAGAACCTTCTGCGTTGCACTGGAGGACAGCCAGGCATCATGTCTGCGGTCGCTCTGGCTTGTGCTAAGTGCCGCGGCAAAGATGTCCTCTCCTTGGGTGGGGCTCATCGGTGCAAAGAGTTGTGGCTTGGGAGGGGTGGTCTGTTTCGGCTCTGGTTGGGGAGTCTTGGACTGACTGGTGGAAGGCACAGGCGATAACTCTTGTTGATCTGATAGCAGTCCTGCTGGTTGTTCAAGGCCTTCCTGCGATATGGGAATAGATGTTCCAGACTGGGTCTTCAAGAAAGCCACCTTGAAGGGCTCACCTTCCATTTTGTCTTGAACATTGCAGACATGGGGGCTAGTGACATCAGCGAGTGGGGAATGCTGGCTGGGAATTGGTTCACCTGGAGTGACTTCAGGGCTATGCTGGCCGGAAGTCTGTCTGGCAAGCTCCAGGAGAGTCTGCTTGGATGATGGAGGATCCTGAGAGGTCCTAGAAGTGTTGCTCTCAGATTGGACCTCCTTGGACGATCCCTCTGTGGGAGAAGGGGGCAAGTTTGACGATGATGGCAAGAGTGAGTCTTTCTGTTGAGGTTGCGGGCTTGCCTCTGGTGCTTCACTTGGACCAACGGCTGCTGCCGTATCTTCATCCATTCGTGGGCTTTCAAAAGATCCCGAGCTCGGGAATCCGTCCCCAGCACTCGTAAAGGAATCAAAGAAGCTCTCCCCATCGGCGTCACCCACCTCGGCCACGTCCCCTTCATCAAAGAAACTACTGATGGGGGGTTGCCCTCCAGGAGCTGTCACCGTCTCCACAGCTACCAAGCTCTGGGGTTGGCCCTCTTCGGCGAAGGGGCTACCCATTTCAGCAAACTGGAACTGACCACCAGGACTTCCGATGGGCTGGGTCTCAAAACCATCCACAGATGTTTGCTTCTTCATGTCCTTGGCTGAAGTTTCAGATCTGTTCAGCTCCTCCTGGGTGGGTTCATCATCTGTACACCTGTCACCTTCGAGGCTCGAGAGACTGGCATCCGGTGCCTCGATGGCAAAATCAGTTGCAGAGCTTGCACTCACGTCTTCGACCAGATTCCCAAAGAGACTTGCATCAAAGGGTTTGGGTGACCCAACTTTGGCCTTCTGGCCTCCCTCAAGCTCTTGTTTTTCCTCAGAGGGTTGGTCTTCAGTTGTGCCAGCCCCAACCTCCTCTCCCGTGGGCTCCGTCTCAGAGATGATACCCTCGGCGCTCAGCGTGTCATCCAGAGGGACCGAGTCTTGGGAGACACTGTCCAAATTGATGACGTCACCGACTGTCGCATTGACAGGGAGGGAGTCAAGGGGATCTGAGAACAGCTCGTTGGATGAATCCATTCTAATCCTGTTTTCCTGGTATTAAGGTTGGAAAAATGTTCACAACTGAATGTTGAAAATAATGTAAAATAAGGTTAGGCTTTAGTAAAGGAGAATTTATACAAATCAAATGTAGCAGTTGCAACAATCATGACAATCCCTTTCCACAAGTCTACGTATTACTACCATTCCTAGTGGCAATCGAATGATAGTAACTTGGGCCTACATCTACACATGTTTATTATATCACAATATCATAATATCTCTTACACCCCCCCCCCCCCCAAAAAAAAGATACACACGATCGAAGTACATAAACTGGGGGCGCGGTTTTGTTTTCCTACCTTCACCCGAATAAAAAATCTGTTCTAAATACCTAAACGGCAGTTGAATGTTGTACTTTCTTGCGATCTCACGATCAACTAACACCGAAATATGTTGTAAGTGTGAAATTATACCGTTCATACCAGATTAAGGTGTGAGAAAAGGACGATCTTCAAGCCACTTTAGCGACGAAAAACACAGCCATAATGGTTAAATGGGACATTATGCGTGATTTGATCAAATGGGGGCGTGCTTCCAAATTTACGGTGGTCAACTTGTCTGGTTTCCAATTTCTACGCGATTATGGTGTTGCAAACGCAAATCGCATGTGGGTACCAGTCTTACAAATTGTCAACATGGAAGACGATGCTCCTGTAATATATGGCTTGGAGTTTCAGGTAAAATAATCCCTTTGCCCAACATGAATATTACAAAATTGAAACGAAGCGTACTTCTTAATGTCTTGAGTTCCTGGAAATTGAAAGGAACAAAATTCGGCGACCATATTCGCCGGCTGTGGGTTTTAAAATTTGTCCAGTTTCCGGACATGTGCAAAACAAAGCCAGCTAAATCACACCGGCTAAATATACACTGCCTTAATTTTTTTTTTATCAATATCATGTTATTGTTAATAGGCCAGAGCGCTGACTGCACAGGTTGCAGAATCTGAGGTCATTAGATTCCTGGTCGGGACTCAGTCATTGAAAAATGAAAATCAGGTAAGGGTTCGTTTATCATAAAATTAGTAAGATGACTAGACCAGTAGGCCTATACTATAGACATTATCTATAGACTAAAGTGAAGTATAGAGTTACCACAATACCAGATATGTTCAAATCCACAACACAATTCAACTGCAAACAGATATTTTCCAGACCCAGGCAAATATTTTTGCGTATGGATCACTCATCTTATTTGTATTGTTATGAGTAGTGGAGTGCCGTGGCCTTGTGGTCTGGAGCATTGAATTCGTAGTCTGTGGGTAATTCTGCAGGTTGTGGGTTCGAGTCCAGCCTGGGGTTATGGTGCATGTGCCCTTGGGCAAGGCACTCTGTCTCCCATTGCTTCTCTCCACCCAGGAGTAAATGGGTACCTGTGAGGGCACAGATGGTTATTGTGGTTGATGTTAGCTGCTTTGCGCCGAAACGGCAGCACTGAGCTGTATACTCCCAAGGGAGCTGAGATGGTTATTGGAGTGTTTCATTGGCCCAATGAGCAGGGTAATAGTGATGTAGCGCCTCGAGCACCAATAATGTTGGATACGCGTCCTTTTTAAATACACGTTATTATTATGATGATTATTATTATTATTACATTTTGAAAATTGTAAAGCACTGTTGTCAAGGTGGATTTGATTGTTTTGATCTTTTAATTGATAGGTTCATTTGCTTGAATTTGATGATGACAACAATATCCTCAACAAGACAGTGTTCCTGCACAAAGATGGTGAAATATGGCACATCAGCTCCAGCCCAGCCAACAAAAGCATCCTGACCACGTGCTACAATAAAAGTAGGTCAATCAGCATTAGGGAGACACATGTGTTGTTTGTTGCCGACAGTGCAAATAGTGGGCGGGGTTAATGGCCAAGTACAGAGCAGTCCATTGTTCTTGATAGTAAGCCAAAGTTCTGAGTTGCCCTTGGATGCTCATATAACTAACTCAATCCTCCAAACATTACACTGTGCAGTTATCTAATGGTACATCTTTGTATTTAACACAAAATTGTGACATTTTGCTGCAAAACTTGTGTAACTTTTCCCATTCCTGTGCAGTCATAGATAGCAAGATCTCCACCTGTGCTGCTCTCTGGCGCATCCCCTCGGATGCTGACCCTTCTGATCAAGACCAAGAGATTCAGGATGACTCAAGTGCATACGCCAGGCCGCTGGAGGTGCTGTGTCGCTTGGACAATAGCGACATCGGCAACTTCATCAGGTAATTAACGTGTATAACAAATTTCAACTTAGGAGAAGCTTCTGTTCAACCATGCGAAAAGTAACTACTTCTAAAATGAGCAGTGTGCTTCTGAGCAGATCCAGAGGTAACAACACAAAACCATACTTCTCCTTTAGATTAAGGCCTATTCATGCTTTCCATTAGCCTGATGTTTTAAAAACTTCCGCTTTGATATTCGCTGGAGTTGAAGTGTGTTCAACTGTTGTGAATTTACAACATGAAAAACTTGTCTTGGCATAAACAAATTTGTGCTTGCATTCTCTTTTGTTCCAAATTGGAACCAGGGTTCCTTCACTTCACAAACTATAGCGGCAAACTTCTTGCAAAGTTGCACCCTCCAACATGCAAATCCTCATATCATAGCTTTGGTTACTTAGTCTTGACTTTAGCTATAATTGTTTCACTTTAATTTTGTAACCCTAAATCACATTTGCACCTTTTTTTTTTCAAAAGAAATTTTTCCAAGTCTCTGCACCACACATTAAGACCATTTTTCTTGGTAGTTTTGACTGATGTACAGTCAAAGTAAATCTTTAAGATGCTAGATTTTCAGCAAATATTGATTTCACCATAACATAGCTAGACTTGCATTTATTGACCTGAAATATGTTTCTGTTCATTGTGCAGTGTTTTATGGGAGCCACAGGGAGATGGTAGCAAAGTTCTCTCGGTATCTGATGGCCATCTGACACAGTGGGATATAGAAGCCAGTGGCAGTGAGGCCAAGGTCAGTTGACAATATCTTCTTTTTTTCTGAGCATTGACGGCCAAAAGTCATTATAACCAATTACTGCTATACCGAACAATAAGACCAAAGAAAAAGACCCCCCAAAAAAGTGAAATAGTTTCTTTGCACAGTGGATGATATTTGAAGATTTAGGAAGATTATTAGGAAAATGCCTGTGTTATGGTTAATCAAAGAATTCTGTCACTTATTTTGAAAGAGCAAAATTAGTCACTGCTGAAGAAAGATTCTGGTAATATGTTAAACTGTTCAAAGCTCTCATACCTAAGTTATCCGTATTGTCCCCTAGGTTTCCAGCTCTGCTGCTCTGGAGAGCAAAGGTCACCCCAAGTTCAGCGCAGGTCGCTGGAACCCACACCACAACAACACGCAGGCAGCTACAGCTAATGACACCACGATACGAGGCTGGGACCTCCGAACAATGAAGTAGGTCGCCCTAATCCTTCCGTATTACTGATTTGTATACTGTCCTTTGTATTATCCATTTAATTTTGCGACGGTAACCACTTAAAACTGGCAAAATCTACACCCTACTTTATCCTTAGTAGTCCTGAATCCACCAATATTTATATATTTCTCCACAAACCCAAGGGACTTGGGGTGAAGATTGGTTTGGGGCTTGGTGTCTTAATTTTGTTGAATTACAAAGAATATGCAGTTATATTTCTTGGTTGGGGACAGTGAATTTCGTGGTACAGCAAAGCACACAGTTCATGTTTGCTGTCATTCTATGGGGTTGCAAAGTACTCCTGTGGAATTCTTCAGGCATTTCGTTAATCTTTAGGTTTTCTCTAGGCACACTGCTGAATTCAAGAATAGCAAAGTGTGAATTCTCCTGGCTCCAATAGTATCCAACAGCTTAGGATGATTTAATGGCAAACAATTTTCTGGAAAAGTGAACTTGGATTCTGTGCTAAATGATGGACGATGCTCGAAGGGGAGTTCCTGTCTCCCCTTCTCAGTTTTCATCTACATAAACTTTTTACACCTGTAACATCACACTGACGACAGGTGGAATGGCATGTACCTCCCTCCACCATCTATTCATTTTCTTTTCCCCCATATAGACAGTGCTATACAATCGAGAACGCCCATGGCCAACTAGTGAGGGACCTTGACTTCAACCCCAACAAGCAGTACTACCTGGCCAGCTGCGGTGACGACTGCAAGGTGAAATTCTGGGACGTCCGCAACACCGAGTTGCCGGTGCTGACTCTCACAGATCACTCCCACTGGTGAGTCTCATGATAATATTGACCCTAACTGCCCGAAATCCTTCAAAATCCAATGATTGGTTCTGTAGGATATTGATGGATTCAGACCACAGAGACCACTATCAGTAAAGATCAATTAACAACCATTCGTCTGCTAGTGGTTGGTTCTTAAAGTACCTTGTGCCTACCCACTAATAACAAACTGCAAACAAATTCTTTATGCTGAGAATCCCAGACCTCTCAAAATCCACCAAATTCTTAACACTGAAAATCCTAGACCCCTCAAAATCCACTAGGGGCTTTTGGAGGATGTTGCAGGATTGAGGATAGTAGATGCCCCATGAAAATAAGAGCAGGAAGTACAATGTGCCATTAGTTCATCATATGGTTTTGCATTGTGCCATTATGTAATGAACTTATGCCAATGTACCAAATCACTTCACAATTATTACCCCTGTTCATCAGGCCATGAGACCACATCTTCTGCTTGAGCTCAAGATCATCGCAATCTGGTCTCTACCGTCACAGGTACTATACCCATTCATACTCCTGCGTGGAGAGAGGCAATTGTAGTAAAGTGTCTTGCCCAAGAACACTAACACCATTGTGTATTATTTTACGTTCAGGGTGTGGAGCGTAAGGTACAACCAGTTCCATGACCAGCTAGTCTTATCCTCCAGCAGTGATAGCAGGGTCATCCTAACCAACGCTGCCTCCATCTCCTCTGAACCCTTTGGCCATTTGGATGAAGAGGATGACGACAGCGAGAAAGAGGATGAGGCAGAGACAAAGTTAGTGTCTTTACTCTTTGACTGCAGAATTGTTTTAATTAGACTGAGTTAAAACAGTGCACAATTAACATCACACTGATATCAGCTACCTAGCACTATTTCGAGTCAGTATATTAGACTGCCGTATGCAAAAAGTTAAAGACCAGCCCAAACAAGAGAAGAACTGAGGTTTTTAACTTTATCACAGTTAACAAAATTCTTATGTGGAATTTGGAGAATTTTAAGAACATATAAGCTGCTAAAATTGACTGGCAACTACACTATTGGTGTTTAAAAGTACAGAATTTTGCAGACCTGAAATTTATGGCGAAAGGCAGTACATGTAATTAAAAAGAAGAGCCTGGCGCGAAAGCTTCATGTGCATTTACAAATATTAAGTTTTTTCAAAAAAGAATATTAGGTTTCTTTAAAAATGCCATGCAATAAACTCGGGGTGTTTTCTCATAGAAAATATTGAAACTTTTGGGATGCTCTTGTATAGCAGTGGTTAAGTTTTGTCTTGAGCCCATCAAGATCCGACTTTTTTTCTTTCTTTTTTCTCCTAGACCCAAAGAACCAATCAAAGACGGGCTGATCGCCAACTACGAGGAACATGAGGACAGTGTGTATGCTGCAGAGTGGTCAACGGTGGATCCCTGGCTCTTTGCTTCGCTGAGCTACGACGGCAGACTGGTCATCAACAGGGTCCCCAAGGCTGAGAAATATAAAATACTATTATGATGGGAATATATAGAAAAGAATTATGAATGTAAAAATGTAGAATTGAATAATGGTTTATAGCAACTGGACTTGCTGACAATGCACCTGCAGTCCTGAAGCAACTGTCGGCCATCTTTGTTCCCCCATGACACACTCATACATACTTTTTTTCTTCAAAGTTTGAGACTGCTGTTGATTATTCGAACATGTTCCTGTGTACAGAATACATAAAGTAGGTGTGGTTTCAAAGATCAAGACCTGCTGGGGGGGGATGCCCCTCCCCTATTTTCTATCATTACCCCTTTACTATAGCCTATAGAAGTAGTCTCTAAGAGCCTACCTAGGGGCCGTATTCACAAAACTCAAACATAAGAGAATAATTCAGTCACATTTAAATCTAAGCATCCTGCTAACTTAAGAGGGGTGCTATCTTAGTGCTCAACGTTTGAGAGGGCTGTCACACATTTACTTCAAATTCCCTTTTTCAATAATTTGATATTGACAAGATTTCCCAAAGCCCCTAGAAAGTCCAATTTTGTGCCTAAAAATTACAAGTCAACAGACAGAAATACATGTAGTGCCGACTTGCTTTTTATGTTTTGTGAATACCGCTCCTGGAATGCATCCAAGGCATCTGACTTGGAAATTGTAAGGACTGGTCTCAACTCGATTGTGTATATTTTATTGTTACATTGTATATAAATCGTAAATGAATGTATACAGATGAAAAAAAAATCCCCAATAAATTATTGATTAAACATGTAAATAATGTATCGTTGGTATTCAAATTTGTACCAGCATTGTGTTCTTTAATGAAATAAAATTATTGGAGATTTTTGTTTTATTAATTGAGGGTTTGTGCAAACAGTAGGTACCGGTCCTAAACAGGACTATAACTTTGTATTTCTGCAAAATATTGATGAAAGTATACCTGGAAATCGATTTATTTTTCAATGGACTGTATTGAGGCACTGTTTGAAGTCCTGAAGAGTCATAATTTCCTGAATATTGGGAGTTATTTTTCATCTGTGTCCGGCGATTTGTGTTCAATTATCTGAAACCCTAGAGGACGACAGGGAGTGAACAACGACGCCCTCTGTAGTTCGCAGTAGCAAACTGAAGAGAGACAAATTTTATCGGAAACTCTTTGCCCTATTTTCCTAAACAAACCAAAGGGAAAGTACTCGTGCCGCTTCGTTTGACCTTTACCAGACACCCTAACTTCTCGCACTTTTCTCGGAATACTTCCAATTTTCATACACCATGAAGTGAAAATGTTTATTGCGCTATATTTAGTTGGACAAGCTCTTTGTTCTAGGATTGCCCTTTTATTGTAGGAAATAAATTAACCAATTGAACCATAGTGAAAGTGGTATACTCTGCGCTGAAGTTATGAGGTTGACAATAAGGGTGCAGCTAAAAGCGAGAAACTTTACATTTGTTACATTTAAAATAAAAAGAGATCGGGAATTTCAATTGGTAATTTCCAAATGCGCTAATTAATGACCACATTTGTCATTTACCACCCCGGAACTGAATTTGATTGTTGTACAGTCAACAAGTACAATAAATTCTAAATCCACGGTAATATGATTAATAATCGATAATAACGAGTATAGCACACTTTAAGAACACGTTGATTGACCGAATGTTGATTATTAATTAATTACCGATTTTAATTAACCAGCTGAGTGAATCGACACGCGATTGTTACATAGGTGTCTTCATTTACTGGTAAAATGACAGCTTGTCCAAATCGATCAATAACTTAAAAAAAGTTTGGAGTGCAAAATTGTAATTGTCTGGCTGCTCTCCTGCTTGCACGTACCGCTGGTGCCCCCCCCCCCCCCCGATCGTGATCACTAGCCTATTTTCTGTCAACTAGAACATTTCTAGTCCGAGACGAACAAAAGGAAGGCATTACCCGACTAGTCAAATCATAGCAAAATGCATGTGGCGCTTGGGAGTGACATATTCGGCCCCGGATTTCGTCATCTTCAAAGAGTACTTTGTACTTTATGTTGTTCAGTTTCTCAAAAAAATGTTTACGACCTATCTGAACATTTTCATGATGGCTTTACCACCGTCGTAGCTTAGCTTCCACCCATCCGGGAAAACCCACAAATGAACCGCAAAGTGCGTGCTGGAATGTGTCTCTGCACTCAGTCTGGACAATGATCATTTTGCCATCTTTGAAATAACTCATTCAGTACATTTGACATTAAATACTTCACAGGCCCTGCACATTGTCACGCCGTCCACTTCATCATCAACCGAGTAAGTAAACTCACGACTGACTTGACAGAAAACAAAGTTTACTTTACTGGGTATGCTGCGCGTACACGAGTGTCCCAGCTGCGGAGAAACTCGTCCGGGGCCGCTGTGCACAGCCGCCCGCCGGAGTCACGGACACTAGTCCGGGTTGTTTTGCTGGCCTTTGCGCCCTCGCAACTATCCAAACTATTCGCGGCTCGCGAACCCAGCGCCACGGCTCCAACTCCAAATATGTCCGCGGAACCCTGTCTTCTTGGCACGCCTATAATGTTTGAGCACGGGGGCTGTTGCACATGTTGTATACTCTCAGGGTTCAATGAGGGATGAGAAGAGGTGAAGTTAACTCTTGTGGACTTGTCAGACAGTAGACCCTACTTGCAAGGGAAAACATTACAAATAAACTTTACAAATAGGACAGTTGTATAAATTTCTGAACAAGTACATCGATTTGACAACTTCTTAAGTAATGTATTTCATATGAAAAATCTGGTGTATCGATCTAGCCTAAAAAGAATATTTTGGCAGTAGCTTCCCCCAAAATTTCTTCCAATCTGCAGTTGGTACAGTAAAGCAGCTCCACTCGCCAACTAACTGTACTGTCCCGAGGCCATGAAAACTAACAGCAAAGTGCTGCCTTTGCCAGAACAAACTGAACCAAAAAACCCTATGAGAATAAAAGGAACCATGCCATTATAATTGATCAAAATATAAAGAACTAAATCAAAACAAACAGTTTAAAAAGAAATAAAAAAGGAAGGTTAGCCACCCCTCCCCACCTTCCCCCACCCCCCCCCCCCAAAAAAGGGGGAAAATGAGGTTTAATACACAAATATACAAAGAAAACCTGATTATCATAAGGGACAATATACATCACATTTCTTCAAAAATTATGAGGTTTTGACTTATATATATCGTGACTTGATTCCCAGTTAACAGTTTGTGGCGTCATTCAAATTCTTTCAGTAAGTCCTGTTTAAAGGATGTTTTTGCATTTATTTTATCAGATGACCGTTTTGTACTATTATAAAAATGATCGAAACGCGCTCATGGCAATAACAGTCTTTTTATAAATAACTAATGAATATAAGAAAAAGAAGATCCTTGACACTAAATGACAGCATTTCAGTTTTGTTTTGCTCTATGAAAAGTTTCTTTCTCTTCCCCTTATGCTCTTATCACAAAAGACAAGGAACAGAAAAACACAGAAAATTGTAATTTTATAAGTTCGTAGAAGTTTCGGTTTCTCTACGCGCCATATTCTGTTGGAGCGTGGTCCTGGCAGGCCCACAAAAGAAGTTTGGAGTATAATTGATATGAGCATGCGCAGTAACTTCGGAATGCATATTATGGGATACGTTTGTAGCAGAAAAGTTTCAGTGCGTTAAATCGTGCAGTGAAGGTCAAATCGCATGCTAATAAGAACGGAGACTTTTTTTGCAGCAACTTCCTGGCGGAAATTTTGCTCCAAACTGCCATTAGATACATGTTGAGTGACTCCAGAGGATAAGGTAGGTGTCTTGTGTGTCCAGTGTGATAGTTTGGCAACTTTTACTGGTATTTTTTAGTTAGTTTGAGTCGGGTTTAGACATCGACTTCCACGAACGCGTGGCGAAGTTTTTGTGTGTGGTGGAGTTTTGCATTGCACACATAGGGGTCATGTGGTTAGAACGCGGGCAACGTGTCGTGTTGCAACTTTTACAACTTCAGCTTATCACTTTTCGAAGTGAAAATAATATCATTTTCACAGCTTTTGCTGTCATACCACCTACATGGAAGGGCTCTCTGTTAACTGTACGCTACTCATGTGTACTTCCCTGCCCTTTAAATGACATAGTTATCGAGTTTTTCGCCGTGGCAAACTGTTACTTATCCAGTCTCGTAAACTATTTTCATGTCGAGTTCCCGTTGCCATCAATTCGCACAAACCACACATGCATCGGACTAAACCATTACAGATAAAAGGGGTGTTACGATAAATTCCAAAACTCATGTCGATACGTTACAAAGGTAACGACTGGATATTTCATAAATATATGTCATTGGAATTACACAGCAGACTAACAATTATTTGAAAAGTGACACTCTTGTTGTAAGTCAATGGTGTATTTAGCTCTTAACCGTGCTTTGTAATTTAATTGTGGACCTTTTCCCCTCCGAACTTAGTAGAAACTTTTTTGAATGATCCCTTCTGGAATGTTGTGAATTTGTCTAACCAGTATGAAGGGAATTTTGCTTGTAAATTTCCAAACTCAAATTCTTGTTACTTGGTTTGCAGAGTGCTCGCAGTTTTCAAGATTACCGTAAAGTTACATTGACATATTGTACAGTTGTTTTGCGTTTGAACATGTTGAAATGAAAGCAGCTTGTCTGCGCTTTGGCAGCTAGGAGTGTGGCTCTTTGTTAGTGCAGTTTGTTGTTGGCTTGGGTCTATTGTGTTTGAAATTCTTTGTTGTTTATATTTTCGGAAGCACCTGCCATCTGACACAGTTGACTTAAAAGTTCACTTAGAACCTGGAAAATAAAAAAAAGCTGAATTTTAACACCTGCGACCTATAACCATGATAAGCAACAAAGGGCATAATTTAACCAACAAAAGTTCGAAATAAGTTAGGCGGGTTTTTGCCACAAAGGAAAATAATACATTCACACTGACCATACTGCCTGCAGCTTTTTATGCATCTTGTTACTTTTGAGCCTGATTATTTTTACAGTGTGGATAGTTCAATTTGTGACTTACAATATCGTCAGGTGTTCATAATTTTCAGTGCATGTGCTAAACTTTGAAAAGGTACAGTGAGAACTGAGAAGAAAATGACATAATTGTATTACGTCTTTATTCACACATTTTTCTGCATTTGAGAAGACTTGCTTGAATCCCCAATAAAGTTTTGTCTAAAAAAACCCAGGTTTGGTTTTAAGTCAGACTAGTCGCATGTGTTGCTGCTGTAATGATCTTAGTGCACAACTAAGGGATGATGTACATGTAGCATGGATGTTACCATGCACAAGGATTCAAGAGAAAAAACATTCAAATTCAAAGTTTTTCATTGATAAATGCTATTTCCTCAATCGTTTGTGCAATATTGTAAACATGTACGTAAGTGAACAAAAACATGTGTCTCAATTTTTTTGTTATTTTTACAACAAGAGTGGAAAACTATTATAAGATGGAATTTTTGCGCCGGGGTGATATAAATCAAATTAGGTTTTGCCCTTCACCGACGTTTTAAACACTGTATACCCAGTGTAGAGTGGAAAAGACAACAGAGTGGAAAAGACAACAAGACAACCAGAGTGGAAAACATTGTTCAAATTATCGGGATAAAAAGAAAAACAACATTTCATGTACAAGAATTTCTCAACATTTTTTCCTGGCCATTTTTTGGCACAGTTTTTCATTCTTCCTTGTTGTATAGTCTAAAAATAAATACATTAAATTAGCCGTTTGGAAAATCAAGTTGTGTTTGGAAGTATACATGTACATGTACATGTAGATTGCATTTTACTGATAATTTTGTCAAAAAATAATTGTTCAAAATTGGTTCAAAAATAATCAGAATTGACGTAAACTTTGCAAAATGAGTGAAAGTTTTGACTTTTCCTGCTCTACCAATTGACTTTTTATCAGATGACCTCGCATAGATCTAATCCCTAAGTCTCCACATGTGTCTGTGACTACATGCATATTCCACAATAAACTTTACAATGCTAAGAATGTTAGACAGGCATGTAATGCTTTTTGCACTGTGTGCGGCGCAACTTGTCTCATCTGGGTACCAGGAAGTTTGACAGATATCCAGACTGGATTAGCTCGCATAATATTTCTACTCGCCACACATCATTGTTATTATGAATAGCAACTTTGTTTCTGTATTTCTTTCTGCATCAGGAAATGGAGTATGAAAAACAAAAGTGCCCTGCCCATACAAAAGTGAACTTAAAAAACAAATCTATCAGACACTTTGTACAGGGTTTCTCGTATGCATGTGTAAATTGTACAGTGTGGTTGACGTGGACGTTGATGTAGCCGTGGTGCAGTTGAGATATTGCTTTGTCATAAAAGGTAGTGTTGGGTTTAACTTCTCTTTCAATTTGTGGAGAGTCTAAACTAAAAAGTTGCAAGTCATGGGAAAAGAGTTCCATGCTTACGATCGAGCTGAAACGTGTTTAGTGAAGTTTAAATGCTATGCTTTTTTACTCGATTTTGTTGTAAATTTAGTTTGCACCGACTCACTCTGTTTTGTTTCTGATTGCAAGCAATATAAACCATGTTTAATAAGAAATTAAAAACCCTATTCTATAAAATTCGCCAGACACCCGTGTTTCTGCCATTGACCGCAGCAAAACTTAACTGTCTGAAAATGCACCTGGCCAGCTTTTGTAAAAACTAAAAACCCACATACCCTGTGCCAGGAAAAACTTGGCCTGAAGTTTTAACATTCAAAGTTATTGCAAATCAAATAAACATTTAGAGCTACGCAGTTTTGGAATTCCGAGTATGTAAATAGAAAGTAAGCGAAGTTAATTCTTGTGGCTTGAGTCTATTTGTGGGATGACTTTTTTTTAACTTTCCAAAATTGTTGCATGTTATATGAAGGGGTATCAGGTTTGACCTTATGAATGTGTAGATTTATCAGGTTAAGGAGAGATCAAATAGTTAACATGGTCTTTTGTTAGGGTTCTTTTGTTGCCGCCCTGAGTATAAACAAGAGAGAATGTGTGTTGTCCTGTTTGTGAGTGCCAGTCAGGACAGATACTGCAGTTTCAGATCAGTACTCCCCGTTGTTTTTGTACATATCTGTAAGGCCAAAAAAAAAAAAGTCTCCGGTTTCTGGTATGGAGCTTGTCCAAAAAGTGGTGCGGCGACGCGTTTTTTTTTTTTTTTTTACCCGACTTTTTGCTTCAATTTTGCTTCAAATTTCGGCTGATGACTGCAAATGGTGCCCGACTAAACTTAGTGCAAAAATAAAGGGAGTCCAGAGAGGCCACATAAAGCTTATTCTCGATCATAATCCCATCTAAAAACACGTTGAAATTGCGAAGCAGCAGAATTCCAGTCAAACCAGTGAGTTTGGCGGATTTGAGACATCATCTTTCATTGAAAAAAAAATCCTTTTTCATTTTGCCGACGTGCATGGCTACGGCGACGCCCGCGCATACCAGAAACCGGAGACATTTTTTTTTTGGCCTAAATGTGATTGCATAAATCTGAGCCTCCAAGAGTTATGTGCACACATTTTGCAAGATACCGTACTTTTGCAAGTACATGGACATGTATTATGTGCATGTACTTCAGCACTTGTTTCCTTTTTGGAATTGACACCAGGAACAATTGTACAGTGTCAAGTCACACCACTATCAGGAAAAGTTTTGAAATCTGCTAACTAATTTCCTTCATGTGGTGAATGAATATTTCATGTTGGTTTTGATTGATGTATGTACATTCATACATGTACGTAGGTGTGTGACGACGGACCATTTGGCCATTTGGTTCGTGGTGTGACTTCATGCGTATAAGTTCCAAAACGTTTAGTATGATATATCAAAAGGCACTGCACGTTGTTATGATGTAACCAAGTTTTGTGTTATAAGTCCTTTGTATAACTATAGTGCGTTAGGCAATCTGAATGTAGCAACGTGACAATGCTTGGTTTTCTTTTCCTTGTTTGATTACATCTTAGTGGCCACTTGTGCACATGCCAAGTGAAAAGAAATATTTAATATGATATATGAAATTTTTCACGATCACACTCCCCTGCCCCCTCCCCCCTCCAAAATCCCCAAACAAACAAACAACTTTTTGATTTAAATACAAGGTAATGTTCATTTACAATTCTCTTCTACTATGCAGGTTGCAAAACAAAACTTTTTAAGTTCCATCATGAATGGAGAGGACAACACAAGGTCACGGGGTCGACTTATCGAGGGGTCAGAGGTCAGCCAATCCCCACGTCGCAGTCTGCGGTCAAAGTCTGGAAGCCCCGTAATTCTTCGCAAGGTAAATGACAAATATATGAAAGATTATTTAAAGGGAATATACATCATTTGCTTTTGCTGTAATTTTCAGAAATGGGTGGAATTGGGGGGTTGGAAATATATAGCAAATATAGTTACACTGACTTTTTTGAGGTTTTGGGTTCGAAAATGCTATAAAAACCAAGAAAAACAATCATTTTCCTGTAGTCTGGTTCCCTGACTCCATATAAGAAGAAACAGAGCAGTTTACATACATTGGGGAATTGTAAGGTCAGGGAACCAGTCTAGCTGGCTCGTACCCGTTCATAGGTTTGTAATAGATTGCAAACAAGTGCAAAGGTCAATTGGGGCCAGTATTTGAAAAAAAAGCCAGTTGTTTCCAACGCTGATCGGCCGATCAGCGTTGGAAATTGATACAAAAATACCACTTTTCTTGAAAATGACAGTATACCATGTGCCATGATTTCACAGGATGCTTTACACTGTCATTCACTAACAGTCCAGCAAGGTATTTCAAAATGATTTGGTAGTTTTATTTTTTGACATTTGCAAATGTTGTATTTTCCCTTTAATTGAGATGTTTTATTTGTTCTGTCGAAGTATTGAAATTGTAATTTCTTATTTACCGAGAAATTTATCTATTCTGTAGTTGGTTGAATGGAGTATAATAACCTAAATATAATAGGAAATGATTTAAAAAAAAATATTGTGATGAATTTTTTTTTGAGACAACTGTTTTCTCAAATTGTTGTCTTTTTTATTGCTCCGTATGCAAAGCTCCTTATGCTTCACAAACATGAATCACGATAATGAAGATTTCTAGGTTTTGGTAAATGTTTGTCTGAAAGTGGATGTACATACTTCAGAATTTTTTTAGTTTGGTATATCATCAGATCAAATGACATTCATCAAAAAGCGTAGGCCTACAAGCTTGGCAAAATGCACACAAGTTTAATTTCCTCAAATGGAGCTTTCCAGTCACTTTAAATAGCCCCCTCTGTTGTTGACTAATGGTAAGGTCATCAGAAGCCACAGGACACACACAGACATGCACCACTCAAAATTAACCTTGGAAAATTCATAAGAATCAGTAATTAGTGCACGGTGTGTCTTTGTCATGTTTGCAGACAGCTGAGGGACAGGCATTGTTCCTTTATAATAGACTTACATACCCGATGGCTGGAATGAATATTGTTCATTAAAAATAATGATTTCAGCAGCACAATGCGCAAATTTTATTTGTCTGGCCGTCATTCAGTTCCGCAAGCCAAATAACCTTTTTTCCCCATTATTTAAGTGTTCAGATTTGATATCTCTGATTAAAGAAAAACAACTTCTGGACCGGCATTTCTTTTTCATTTAACTCACCCGTTTTCTCATTTATTTCTGATGCGATTTAAAAATATTGTGAAAGTGGATTTTGTTGTGAATATATGTTTCAATGAAAAGCGAAGGTTGGTCGTACATGTATGAGACCTTGCAGAATACAAAAAACAGGATTTTATGAAACAATGATTTCTTGACTTGCTATTTAGGAGTTTTTCACATATTATTTAACTGAAATATATATGCTGAAGTTTCATAGGGCATGGTCTTATGTGGTGCATGTTACGTGAAATGCGCACAAAGATATACATGTGTATAAGATATGGCATATTTGTTTTGTCAAAATGTCATCATAAATTTCTATGTTGTACTGTGAGTGGACACCATTGTTTGCATTTATGCCATTCCATATGTGATTTTTGTACCAACTTTTGTTTCAACAATTTGACTTTCAGGAATAAAGGGTTTTCCCCCAACCTGTTTGCATAGTGCTTGATGTTTTAAAGTGCTGATTGAGTTTTGGTATGAAAATGAAAACTTGATGGCACTGTTCGTTTACAACATGGATGCTGGTCCGCCAATACCACTAGTCTGCTGGCCAAAACTCTCCCCGAATGCATCCGTAAACAAGGTTACCTGGTCCAGCAATTGGAAAAAATAATTGTGAATTTAATGGCGGTAGTTTTTCAATAATGTTAATTGTTCATTTGACACGAATGTGAGTGACAAATTGAAAGAAAACTTGAAAATGGCCAAAAAAACCCCACTTCTGCAGAAAAAGTTTGCTACTGAAATTAATCTTTAAAAAAATATCGGAAATGTAAATTGTAAACTTTATACATTATTTGTTTGCTCACAAAAGATTTTAATATCTCCAGTTCACAAAATATTTTCTTGGATTTTCTTGGATTTTCAAGAGATAATTTCCATTTCATCAGGGAATCCCGCTGGCTAGTTCCTCTCTCAAAGCTGAAAACTATTTATCTATTCTTTTGCACAAATACAAAGGACAAAACCTTACAACATGCAGTTATGATATGCAGTTATGCACACACACACACCAATATTTATTATTGACAATACAGAAATTTGTGTTTTTGGCCTCCATAAATAATAAACTGCGGAGACATGTTCTGCCAGCACAGCACATTTTCCCAGCTTTTGTCTCTCGTTTTCTTCCAACCTCAGGCATCAGGATTATCCGCAACTTTCTTTAATGGGCCTTATGTTCCTAATCTGCTTGCTGAGCAAAGAAAAGAATGTGCGTGAAACAGGAAATTACGTCCGTACAAAGAACACTCTTTGTTTCTCCTCCGTTCCTCCTTGCCTAGGCGTGAGGCTATCATCCTCAGCGATTTACATGTAGCCTTCTTTGCTTTGTCTGTTAGTCATCAGAGATCCCAGATATATCTTAAGCATGTTAAGCAATGAATCAGAACAGTAAACCGGTCTTCTTTACTTTTTGTTCAATCAGTATATTTTAATCAACAAAATAAGACAGCCTAATGCTTCCGTCCGAACAGAGTCTTTCTGACGGCCTAACGTTACGATGCTAATCTGTGCATCGGAACCGGGTACCCGAGTACACGACCGTTGATGTCAGGAACCGGTTCCAGATTACGCGATCGGGTACCTGTAACCAACTTTACAAATTACTACGTAACTTCTCAGACCATGAAAAAGAAAGGTTTTGACTGTCATTTGTTGGGAATTTTCAAAATGAAAACCAGGCTACAAAAGTAGTTTGCAGCAGTTTTATTCATTTTCAGTATTTTTTAATGTGATAATTGTGTGCACAGTATAGTCTTATTACAATACTGTAATGTACCAGTACTTGAATGGACGAAAGAGTTGATTACCACAAAGAGGGCTAATACTTCACAGATTTAAAATTAGACAAAACAACAGAAATCCGACACATTTAATGCAATCTGATCTTAATGCATCAGGCGTGCAATATAAGACTGTTATAACATACATGTATGTGTACGTGTACGTGTATGTATCTAAATGTATGAGTATGAACAAGAACATGAGCATCAACATTCCATACGCATCAAACTATCGAACGTGAAGTGCATTTAGATACTTCATTTGGTTCCAAACCGCACATAAAAAGCAATATTAATTTGCCTTGAAACAGTGGATATTAGTTCCTTGTTTAACATGAGGGAAAGAGATAAATCAAATCAGAGTCAATATTGACCTGAAAGTACCCTACACATGCATAACATGTAGGTTTTCATGCATACATGGCATAGGCTGTACACATTGAAATAGCAACTTTGTGGTTTGGCCTTGTGTAGTTACTGCTGTGTATGTTTTGAACAAAGTTGGTTATTGATCAGCATAGTCACGAAACATCTGTGTCACTTTTTTTTTTTTTTAATCCAGACTAATAATAATAACGGGTACTTATGTAGCCCTTGTAACTAAGATCATAGCGCTTTACATTATTATTACCCCTGATCATTGGGCCAATGAAACATTCTTAATACCATCCCAGCTCCCTGGGGAGTATACAGCTGGATGCAGTCATTTTGGCACAAAGCAGCTAAAATGGTGACTGCTCTATGTTCCGACACCCCTATGTTCCGACAACCTAGATTGTGTTACTCCCGGTTAGGGTTAGGAATAGGAATATGTGCAGTCGGAACATAGGGGTGTCGGAACATAGAGGTGTAACCGCTAAAATCAATCACAAAAACCATATCTGCCCTTGTACATGTTGGTGCCCATTTAGGCCTACTCCTGGGTGGGCTGAAGCAATGAGTGACAAAGTGCCTTGCCCAGGGGCACACGCGCCACAACCCCAGGCTGGACTCGAACCCACAACCTGCAGAATTACCCATAGACCACGAGTTGAATGCTCCAGACCACCAGGCCATGGCACTCCACAGAAAACTTTAAATCCTAAATTACAAAACAGTTTAATTATATTTATGTATAGTATATTGTCCTAGGCAAGGCCTATGAAGATGTGTGCAATTTAAGTCCATCTTTGTAATAGGCACATTACAATGTATGTGACATATGGTGCATGGTCAATACTTTCCACTATTGTATAAGATTTAATGCACTGTTCACGAGTTATAATAAAAGTAAGATTTTAGTATTAATTTAAGGTTGCTTTCTATACATTTCATGAACAAATTGGATTAATGGATCAGATACATACATGTATATACGTACATTTCATTATCATTACTATTCAGTGTTCAGTATTTCTGACTTTTTGTCACTTTAATTTGTTCCAGAAATAAAGAAATACGTGATCTTATTTAAGATTTGAAGAAAATTAAAGGAGACTTAGGGCACTCTGTGCACACGTTGATGAGCTTCAGTGGAGTACATGTACATGTACAATGTACATGCAATAAAATGAATTCCAGAACTTAGTAGGTTTTTATTGCACAGTCTAAGGTAACAAACACCAAGATTGTGTACAATTCAGTTCACGCTTCAAAACAGTCGTGAGTGCTACTCTATGTCATCATGTCAGGCTGTAAATTGAAATCTCTCCGATAAAGATTCTATTGCAAATTATCCAAGCTGCAAGAAGCCCCATGCTCCTGACTCTTGCAACCAGCAGGCCCTGAAAGGCTCACCAGATGCCACAGCCCAAAATGCTTCTTTGTTCACTGGAAAAGTTTGTTGGGGCTTCTATTGTCCAAAAGTTTCTTTGTGTACTGAGTAGCTAGTTGGCATGGCACATGTCTCCACAATAGGTGGGGGCCCAATGGGTGCATGTTGTGTGTGCAGTGGAGTTTGGAGAGTGGCTGTTCTGCTTCCATGGGGAGGAGATTTGCCTGGATGATCTTTCTAAAATGTACATTGTTTTTGCTTTAAATGAAGCCGTTAAGGCAATTTTAATTCATTTGTACTGTCTTAAAGTCTGATCTGAGGAAGTTACATTGAGCGCATTAATGACTTTCAGGGTGTTTTATTCAATGTTACTGTTCATTAAGATCGAAGATACATGAAAAGAAAATACAATGTTTACCAATTCAAAGAATTTAAGTCAATTTAAGTTAATTGATAAACGATTGTAGATGATCCATATTTTGAAAAATTGAGAAATTAAAAATTTCAATTTATTTTTAAATGTTGCATACATATAATAAATGGTATAGATCATAACAAGAGGTCAACCTTCCATTTCATTCAAATCCTCTTCCCATCCTGTTACAAGAACAGCCAAACTGTCAGTTGTTTTTATGAATGAAAATGACCTTTGCCCTAACCACTACTGAGTGATCTGATTGGTCAGATCACAATCTGTCAATAGTCCAGATTCTCAGCATGCACAGGTGTCCGTGGTTTCAATTTACTAATGGGTTGCACTTGTTCAGGGATAGCTTCTTTGTTTGATAGTCAGTTTATACATATAGGTTTACATTAGGAGACTTTTTATTTCACATCTAGCAGCTGAGGAAATATTTTAAAAACTTTTGAGAGTAAGAAAATTGCCATTTGTGATATTGGTCAATTTCCTTAAGTTGTTTTTTATAATCATAAGATATCAGTTTGAATAAGGTTGGGATGTGTTGATTTGATATGTTAGATTTTTCTTAGATTTATTGTTAACATTAATAACTAATAATGTATGAGCTGGACACAAAACAATTTTCCTTTACTGGGAAATAAGAATTGAGTTGAACTGATTTCAAAACTTTGTGTGTTAACAAATTAATTTTTCAGTGGGCATATTTTTGCAGTTCACATTATTCACGTTTTAAGAAGATTTAATTTTCTTGTGTCCCCTAAATATCTTCTGGAAACATGTAAAATATGTAGATAATTGTCTTGTATGCGAATTAAAGGTCTTTTTTGTATTGACATGTAGATATTTTCCTTTGCTGGTAAGTGTCATTTATTTTGTATTATGACACACGAGGTCTTCGCCATTGGTCTAAATCATTTTATTACATATTTTTCGCCCTCTGCAGGCAGCTGACGAACATTCGGAGAATCGTTCACCGAGAAAACACATTGCTCATTTATCCAGCGAACATTCAGGTAACTTTTCCGTCCCTGACAGCTTCAACAGCTACGTTTGTAGACCTTTACTATTTCATTTTTTTGTTTAAAGTTTAAGCCTTGAGCAGTGCTTTGGAAATAAGGCAAATCTTGGAAATAACAAAGGTCGTAGTAATTTCTCCATCATTGGAAAGCACATGCATAGATTTTGTGCCATCTTTCGTAAATTCTAGGAATTGTTTGGACACAATCATTCAAACAGCATAGAAATGTGTTAGCAAAATAAGAATATCTAGGTCATGCCATATATTTAGGGTCAAAAGTATGATTTTTTCTGTCCCTGTTATCTTGGTTCTTTGGTGATTTACCATTCAAGCATCATTCAGAATGACTTCAAACAATTTTTCTGTTTGTTGGGTGGGTAGTTTATTTTTCGTAATCACTCTTGGAGTACGACTGCATTAAGGAGTACATCAGAATTATAAAATCATAGACGTCAGATGTAACAGACAGGAAAACAAAATGGACCCCAAATTTATAGAATGACCCATTTATCAGTGTTAGTTTATATTATACGAGCCACTGAACAAATCTCTACAAAAGTATTTTCCTGCAAATATTTAGTTTCGAAAGCAAGAACCCCAAGAATGCAAACACAGTGCTGTCATCCTTTAAAATGGTGCTTGTGTGACATTTCATCTCCATTTTTTGTATCCCACACAAAGCAATGAATAGACGGGTCTCGGTACATCCATTGTACACAGGGCACCATGCACCCTGGATGTACGTCTTGTATACATGCACTGTGCACACGTACACACAATCAGGCCGGCATCCACAAGAAAACCTAGACCACCACTTGCCAAATTCTATTAGGGAACAAAATGGCAAAAGTCAATGGCTTTTCCCTGCCTGTGATTTTTTTTTTATACCGTGGTGAAATTTTGCTTATGGGCCACTTGTGAAATAAAACTTGTTTCCTGTATTTGTTTTGGGTCTGCAGTTCATTTGGATTGCAGAACAGTATTTTTTTCAAGATATTTTGTTAGAACTTTAAACCCTTTTAGATGTCTAATGTGTATTTTTAATAGGGTTCAGGGGATGGATAGGCATAATGTCAAATGCTGGTATTTGGAGTGGTACCGGTAGTTATTTTTTTTTGTATTTTAATTTTTTCCAAGGATCAAAATATTAAAATGAAGAGATAAATATATACTAAAGAACATGGATGTGTCATCTGTTCATTGCGAAGAAAATGAAACTAAGCCATTCTTTCAATTTACAATCACTTGAAGTTCTCTTAAACGTAACCATTGTAGCTGCAATCAACAGTGGCCATTTCTTGTAAAAAAATTTGGAGGGGGGGGGGGCAGGAGAGACCAGGAGCTTTAAAAAAAAAAATAACAAGAGTTGGTGGGGGGGGGGGGGGGGGCTGGATGCCACTTGACTCTTGGGGTGTAATAACAAGAACAGTTAAAAGGCTTTCATAATTTCATTAAAAGTGAAGTATCAGATAAGATGGAACTTCCGATAGTTTTGAAACATCCTGCTTCAGAATTTGAGCTTAAACAATAAAAAAATAGAAATAGTTTTGTTGACACTCAAGGATTTAAATGGTTTAAATGATGGTTAGGTAGAGGTTCTTTGGAAAATAGTCTGAAGAAATTTTACCAATTACAAGACAGCCCTAAAGCAGCGTGCTTCTCCATTAATTGACTTTCGCCAATCTTAAATGAAAACACTTCACTCTGTTTGAGGCCTTTACAAAAATGAAGACGCCCTTCACACAAGATGTTTGTCAATTAACAACGAGGTCGGCCATCTCTTGTTGGCATTAATGAAAATACTGCATCGCTTAAAATTGTATGAGTCAATTGCAAGCAAAAAACACACCGAAATAATTTATTCCTTTCGAAGTTGTCCTTCGTTTTCCCACCTGTTTCGTTGTGGCTTTGATGAAACAGCTACGTGTATTGTGATTGTTGAGTTTTTATTTATTTTTTCCCTCTTTCTTTTTCTCTTGTTCATCTTTACTGTTTGTTGTTCTTAATGAGATAGGGTGGCAGAGAAGGGGAAATCCTTTTTTTGTAAATACCAGGATTATATTTGCTTAATTAAACTTTTTTCCCCTTCTTTCTTTTGGCATGTTTCACACGTTTTTTAATATTATTTTTAGGGCCATTGGTCATTACCTAATTGCGTATCGAATCAATTTCTTGTTTAATTTGGTTTATTACCTGAACCTGCTCATTATACTGCATGCACAGTTTTGGACTGCAAAATAAAAACAGTGAACTTGTGTAAATTCTGGGTTCTTGATTTCTCTCAACAACCCAGTTTCCACCTGTTTCTTGATTTTTTTTTTATGGAACAATCCATGCCTGATTAGACCCCATCTCATTAAGCTTGCCTCTGCTGATTGATATTCCACAACTGGACCGTACCATCACGGTCCCAGGGGTCGCCAAAATCAACAAAAGGCTCTTGAGCATTGAGGGGACACAACTGAGCTCAGTAATTAAAAAACCTATCCTGTGGGTCAATAAAAACATAAATCAGGGTTTTTGCTGAACTCTTAATCACTTAGCTTACTCATTCATATTAATGAGGTCCAAACTCAGTGCAGTTAATACGGATTTAGTTTGAACCACATTTTTAATTCATGTCCAAATGGTTATATTGCTTATTTAAGACCAGTGGTTAACAATTTGACTGCACAAAAGATTGAAAAGTCAGAGATGTCGCTCTGATCTGTTAGTAAGTTTTTGATAAAAATGCAGAGACGGCAGAGGAACTAATTGGTGTTGGCCAGTACTTTTCCATGAGTGCGCGTAAAGAAAATGCACTTAACTTTTACAGTAGTTACAGAAAAGTTCATGTAGGTTTTCGTAAAATCAGCATTGTATGCGGGTGCTTTTTTCACTGTTTTTAGAGACAGAGTTTACTGCCCCCCCCCCAAAAAAAAGATCAGTCTGAGTATCAGTCATTCACATGTGCAGAGCCACGGTACGAATGTCTGATATATCGGAGTCTAATCGGAGTCGACTTCAGAAATTGTGCCATCATTTCAATCAGAACTTTGGCCAAAGCTTAGTCAATTTGGCTGCCATGCTTTTGTAGTACAACAACCGGTTACCAAAGACCCGATAGAAGGCTCTCGTTGAATGGTCAGAATCTCGAGGTCAAGATGCAGTCTTGTTTTGCATAATTATTTACCGAATCTGCTCGAATATCATAGATGCTTGCGTACAAGCGACTATTCAAGCGACTGTTCCATAGACTACAAAAAGAGATGGTTTTCAAGTGAAATAATGTAAATCAGAAAACGTTTACCGTGAACAATAAAAGTTCATGTAAATATTAAATATGTATGTACATGTATGTACATTAAATATGTAAATCTAAACCTTTGCTGTTAAACAAATATAACTTTTGGGACAAAGTTACTTGAGAAATATTTTATAGAATTCTCGTTGAGCACTTATACCTTAAAAAGTCAATTTTGTTTTTATACCAAACTAAATACCAAAGTAATCCCCTCCCCAAACACACACACAAAACTGTGTACAATAAAAACTATGCACTTTGAAAACACCTACGCAACTCATGACAGAAATTGTATCCTTATTACCACCAGTGCTATCTTGATATAAGTAATTTCAGACATAGCCAACTGATAATATTGCCACCTGACACGTTGGCATGTCAAATGTCAATTAGCCTTCCAAAAGCAGTGCCCATTATTTTGGTTCGTGAATGAATTTTTGTTTTACGTGGGTATGTAAGACCAGTGACGTATCAGTACTGTAATGTCATTGGCTTGTGTAATTATTCCATGAAAAACATTTAAACTTTTAAAGTTTTGTTGTAAAGTTAAGTCATAAAGAAATTCAAGCTCAATTTTCATTGTTCTGTACAGTTCGTCAAAATATTTAAATGTAAATTTTGGAAAAGCTTTTCCAGAGAAAAATAAACCAGAAAAATAGTACCATAATTAACGTTAACCACCAGGATGTAACTTGCCGATTTTTTTTTCGCAGGACTCATGTTTCTTGTTAAAAAGTTGAAATTCTATTTCTGTATTTTACTCTCTTAACGTAGAAAAAATTACTCAACCGTGTACAAATGGACAGTTTTTCGTAACAAAGAAAAGTTGAACAAAGAAACTTACTCCAGTAGCACAAAGACTAAAACTCAACAAAAGAGAAAACCTCCCGACTTCTCATCCTCCCAAGTTTTGACAGCGGAGTTAGTTTCTCTGCCCGCTATTATTATGCTAATAAACTAATTTAATTATGTTGCGAGTGCCACGTAAATATAGCCATCTGCTCCTCCCATCGACACACAGACTAACCCCCCTCTAATCCCAGTGCTGCAGTCCAAACTCAGTTATATTACTATTAAGTTTATTATCTCAGCGATTCTTTTGACTGTGGGCTTGTTTTATTATTACGCAGATGTTGTGCATAGTAAACAGCACTGCGTCTTTGTTGAGCGGGCCCCGAGCCTCATAAAGAAAGGGCCAATGAAAGTTGGCTAGTGGGAAAGGCATACTATCTACACTAGTACTAGTGTCACTGAGCGGCGTACGAGTAACAGCGTAGTGGCACTAGTGCTGACGTATGCGCGGTCGGACTGTAAACTTCATTCGGGATTTTTTTTTATTCTTGGCTGAAAAAGAAATTAAACTGTGCGTGCGTGTGTGGATTTTTCTGGCCATCTTTCTCTGGACTCCTCTTGGAATACTGCTGTACTTGGGATGCTCTCATAAGCTGTAGCATTCATGTGTGGATGATTTAGAAGAAGGTAGGCAACTTTTCCTAGTTTAGTGTGTGGCAATTTGAGATGATTTCTTTTGCTCTCTGGGTGTGTGTGTGGAAAGTCCACGGTCTGACGATGATGCGCATAAAAAGTGAACTATGGCTGGGGTGTGTGCGTAGCGTGCGTTGAGTCGGTGGTTGGAGAGAGAAGTGGCACAAGTACCAGTAGCTTTGGAATGGCCTCACCACAAAACTCTACCTGCATTATTTCCAACTCTG